GTTTTTTTAGATGATTTTTTAAATTTTTATTTATTTAAATAAATTAAAAAATAATTTTTTGTAGTTAAAAACATTTTATTTATTAAATTTATTTTATAAAAATACTGTGAAAAAGTCACTGGATCAAAAGTTATAAGATTTGTTAAAACCACTCAATAAATACTGAGTAGGACAGATTTAACTGACACTATTTAAAACTTATGATACAGTTATCATTTTGATATAATTTTTTTTTTAACAATTTTTGCATTTGTAAAGTATTATAAATCATATTTTTTACTATTTCTTTTAAAACATTTTTAAAATAAAATAATTTTTTCAAAATAAATATTTTTTTACTTTTTTACAAAAAAAATTTAATTATTGAAAAACATTTTTAAAACAAGTACTTTTAAAGTTCAAGAATTTTAAAACATATAGTGGGTGTAACAGTTTGTACTGGTGTAAATATATAAACTCCATAATAAGAAAAAGTTTGATAACAAAAGCTCTTCCTAATGTTTTGAAGTTAAAGTTCTGGAACATTTAAAAGCTTTAACATTATCTTAGATTTGAAGCAGTCAAACATAGATAGATTATTTACATACTAAATACTGCTCCTAAGTATAGAGATTTTGCCTATGAAAATTACCCTTAATAAACCCAGCCGCAAAAATTTAATCAAATAAAATTGATATTTTTTAAGTTTGCAGTTATATGTATGAATAAAAAAATGTATAATTTGATAATTTTTTATTTCAAAAAACAAAAAAGTAATAAGTCTATACAAACCATGCACTAGAAAATGCTGTACCTTGTGCTAAATATCTGCAAGACTTTTTAAATCTTTTGTATTAAAAAATTATTTTTTGTTAATAAATTTAATTTATATGGGTATACCTCACATGCTCATGATGTTGACACTTGGTCTACAATGATATATTCCAAATATGTTAGTCAGACAGTGGTTGATATGTGTGTGAAAAAAAAGATACATTATTATGGAATAGGTAGGAGGCGAAGCATGTAGGTTTTTTTGTTATAAGTTAATTGTGAACCGTACGTTGAATATTAAGTCCAGTGTGTCTATTCGCACTGAAAGTTGAATTCATATGTAAAATTTACAAGGAATATTCTAAAAAAATTAACCAAAATAAAGTGTTTTAATTTAATAAAATATTGTAAGCTACCAACCAGAGAGTAAGTAAGAAAGTCAAACATTTTTTAATTCTTAGATTTATTTAAAATATATAATTTTAAAAAAATTAATAATTTCTAATTAGGGAATAAAATCAAATGAATTTTTTAATTAATATCTCTATAATTATTATAATTTCCAATGTATCAAACATTTCATTTAAGATTTAATTAATTTAATGACTTTATCATTTAAATTATACAAAGTATAAAGAATAATTTAAAGCAATGACCCAAAAAATATAATATAAGGTAAATCTATAGATAAATTCTGTGAACTAAATTGACAAACAAAATAAAAATAATTATTAAATCACCAAAACATTTATTTTAAAGTAAAAAATCATTAATAATAAGAGATTCAAACATTTTTTATATTTAATGTTAAATAAAGAAAAGCGTATCCATTATTTTTAACAATTGAACTGTTTCCTTACTGTTTAACCCTGGAACACTAGCGTAAGTCAGACTGATGCATGCGCCGATCGCTTCCTCTTCTATCCCTTCCCTCCTGCACCTCTGTACTTTTTTTACGTGATTTGAATAAAGACACTTAAAAATGATCATAGCTCGTTTTTATTGCAACTCACCCTATACTCACACCATAAACAATAAAAACTATCAAAGGAGTCAAAATGACGCATCACTAATAATATGCGCCTATAAGATATCGCTAGCGTTCCAGGGTTAAACATTTGTATATTACTTCATACTAAATTTACCTGAGGAATTGACACAATTAAAGAATCATATTTATTCAGTATTTCATTTTCATCCTTCTTTTTGGTAGAAAATGTAAAGTTTTTAATACTATATTGAAGTCCTTTATCTCCTGCAATCCAATTTTCAGATATTGTTGAACTATAACCAAGTGCTAACAACGGTTCAGATGTAGTTTTGAACTGTCTTGGAGGAGCTTTTATAGGATCAATAGTCCAATCTAAACAGTTAGGAGGCACTTGATTTGAATGTGGCGATCGTAAATTTGAAGTAGATGGATAAATGTATGAAGATGGCTGAGTAGAATTGGACATCACATAAGGTGGATGGTTTTGAAAATTAGGCCAAGATAACAAAGGGCCAGGATATGCAAGTGAAACTACAGCTTGTGTTGAGACAGGCTGCACATCATAAATGAAAGAGGAAAAGTGAATACCTTCAGAGGTATTTGTTTGTAATTCTATAAGACTTTGAGGATTAAGTGGAAAAGGATTTGTAAACTTTGAAGGATCCGAATCCATCAGATTTATTTATAACTCGTTAACTTTTTTTTAGCGAACCATAGTTTAATAATAAAACACAAATTTAATTAAATAATATTAAAATCGATAAACTATAATCTTATTTAAATTAAAATCTTAAAAAATTACTCTTAACAGTATAAGTACTAGTTCCAACGGTATTTTTATTAACTATATCACCCCATATTACGAAACTAGTATAGTTACCAAGAATGATACCAAGTGCAATTTTCTATATTCTTTCCATGACAAATATTTTTCTCCATGAGGATTTCTAATTAATAAATATTTGTGGAAAACTGTAATACCTCGTCTACATTTTTTCGATTTTTTTTTTTGTATAGCATAAAAACAACACTATTAAATCTCCATAGGAAAAATACGACTATGAAGTTAGCAATTTCTTTGTAACAATTTCTAATCAGATACCAGCAGCGGTTACAACCCATTTCCACCTTATATTGCCTATCAATAACACTAGAGAGAGCTACTTATTCCAAATATTTATTATATTATTATTAGTGATGGGAAATATCGAATAGTAACTATCGAACTATTCGATAGTCATTCAAAAACTATTCGATAGTCTATTCAAATAGTTTTTAAAACTATTCGGTACCTCCATTCGAATATTTTTTAAAATATTTGATAGCCTATTCGAATAGTTTTTAAAATATTTGAAAATGCCCATCGCTAATTTTTTTTATTATAAATTGTATCCTATTTATAATCGTAGTACCTTGAATAAACAGTTTTAAACAATCTTATTTAGTCGTTAGTGTTATTAAAACAGCAAAACTATAAATCTGACTATAATTTTACATAAGACCAATGTTTTAAAAAATTTAACTTGACATATTTTTTTTTACGAAACATTTTGTTGTAAAATGATTATTTCGAGAATTAAGAATGATTTATATTCAAAAAATGAATTTTAGCAAATTATTTTTTTATTTTATTTGTTTGAGCAAGTAAAAATAATTTTAGAAAATTTTTGTGAATATAATTTTAGAAGAAAATATTAAAATCTATAATTTATATTCTATATATTGTTACGCTAAATGTTCAATGATTAACCGACTAATAAAAATAGTTCATATAATTTTTAAAGAGGAGCAGTATTTATTGTTGTCGCCACTTTTACAAATGTAAAAATTTAAAACGCGCTGTTCTCTTTATCGGTGTTATACCTTTATATGACAAAAGAGCAGGTAATGCTAGACTAAGAACAGTATACAAGGTATTAAGTGTAAAATAAGACTTTAGTCAAAAAATTGTATAACTGTTCAAAAGTCAAATGTTATACCTAAAACAGTGAAACGTCAAAAGAAGGTCTTGGAAGAGGGACGTCAATCATAAGACTTGGAAAATCACTTTGTATCTTTCTTAAAAAACAAAAAACCTGAGTAAAATGATCGTGATAAATTATTTCTTCTTTCCTTACTTCCACAAATCAAAAAAAATTCCCGAAGACCAGAAACCTCAATTGTATATTATAATTTTAAGGACTATCCAAAGAGCCAATTTAGGTAATCATCAAGATCCTTATTATTATCAACAACCACATGGTTTTAGCAATATTAATAATTTTCAAATGCCGCTCCTCATAGTTCACCCCAAAGTTCTTCATCCTCCTTCTCTCAGAAAACTCAATATTCAAATTTCCAGAATTATTCCCTCCAAAAAGATATTCCATCAACTTCTCAAAAAACTATTATAAATATGATGTTCTCTTCAACGCCTGTTGTAGATCCAAGATCCGACACACTATTAAACTCAACTCCTTCTCACTTACAAACACCAAACACAGGATCTTTATTTAGTAGATATTAATTTGAAAACTTATAATAAAATGTACATTACAAATTTCTTTTTAACACTCTTATATTAGTTTCACCTGTATGTATGTATGTTTGTAACTCTCCAAACGCCACGCGTTATCGCATATTCCGTCGTCTAGGCTAGACTGTCATAACGCATTCACCACACTCCACGCCACGCTCAACACACGCCGGCAATACTATTCCTACAAAAATTTATTTTTAGTTATCGTACCCGTACACACGTGCTTGTCATCAATTATATATATATGTATAAACACATTTTTATTTTGACTGACCATTATCATCCGCGTGCATACGGCTTACGTATATATTCCTACCGCCGTTTATACCTAAGGTATAACGTTAGTCCGATCCGCCCGCCCACAAAACACGGCTATACCTAATGCATGATACGTTTACGTACTTAAGTCGCTTTACATGTATATATATATATATATTCTAATTACTATTAAAAATATATATTAACACACTTTATTCTTATTTAGAGATATAGAACTCATTCATTCCGATTACAAAGGATGAATCCAGTATCGTCATTTTTCGTCACTACCTCCATGTTCCGGGAGTGGGTAATTTACGCGTCTGCTGCTTTCCTTGGATGTGGTAGCCGATTCTCAGACTCCCTCCCTGGAATTGAACCCTGATTTCCTGTTACCCGTTACAACCATGATATTGATAGTAACTATTATCATAACATAAAACTAAAAAGTAAAAAATATATATAGTTTAAAAAAACTAAAAAAACACGCTTTTAAAGCACATCGAACTAAAAAGTTAAAAATCATTTTTAAAATAATTATGAATAAAAAATACTAGTATTATTGTGATAAAAGCGTCGGGCGCTCAATATAAGAAAAATNAATAAAAGCATGAGTGTTTTGTGCCATATTTTTCTTATATTGAGCGCCCGACGCTTTTATCACAATAATACTAGTATTTTTTATTCATAATTATTTTAAAAATGATTTTTAACTTTTTAGTTCGATGTGCTTTAAAAGCGTGTTTTTTTAAACTATATTTTTATTTTTTACCTCAATTTAACTGTAAATCGCTCTTCTGGTGGTATTGCTAATCGTAAATAAGTATCCTCGTTTTGAAGTTTTGATTCTAATTATTTGAACTAATAGCATCTTTAAATTTCACATAATTCATATGTTTTTTTTAAATTTAATATTGATTCCAAACCGTCCTCTCTTTTACCGTCTTCACAAAATCTTTTTCATTTTCTCCTTTTAATTTCCACCACCGAATCTTTGATTTTTCCCCAGTGTTTCTTCTATTTTTGTTTATCCTCTTTCCAGTACATCACAACTCCATTACCATCTATATTGTGTAATTACACTCTCAACTGGTAAAACTTTACTCGCTTTACGCTCTCTCTCTTCCACATAAAATAATCCATCTGTGATCTATTCCTCCCACTCTTATATGTTATATAATGTTCTTCTCTCTTTCTAAAATAAGTATTAACCACAGCAAGATCATACGATATTGCAAAATCCTGGATTCATTCTCCAGCCTCATTCTTCCCACTAAAACAATACCTTCCATGTACTCTTTCATATCCTCTCCTCTCATTACCTACATGTCCATTCATATCTCCACCTATCACCGCATCCTCATTACCAGGTACCCCTTGCATCATCTCGTCTATCTCTCTCCAAAACACTTCCTTGTCTATTTCATCACATCCCACTTGTGGTGCATAGGCACTTATTACATTCAGCACTTTTTCTTCTAATATCGATTTTACGACCATAATTCTGTCACTATTCCTAGCTACTTCTACTACTCTACTTTTCATCTCCTCATTTATTATTATCCCTACACCATTTTTTGTACTAGACTTACCTGAGTATATTATTTTATAACCCTCACCTATTTTCCTTGATTTCTTTCCTTTCTACTTAGTTTCCTGCACTCAACTAACGTTAACTTTTCTCCTCTTCACTACTTCTACTAATTCTCCACTTCTAACAGTTAATGTTTCAACATTCCAAGTACCTATTCTCACTTTGTATCTATCTTTCTCCCTTATACACGAGTCCAGCCTAGAGTTAATTGGTGATGTCCCTACACTGTTGACACTGTAAGCATTGGGTAGACCTATACACATAACTGGTGAAACAGCTACTGCACAAGTTGGCCGGCTAGTATCAAACATTATTCCTTAGGCCTTCTCCGTTTTTAACTACTTTCTGTTGTCCCCGCGTACATCCGAAATGGGACAATCCGCCTAAGTTTTTTTCAGGATTCCTCATACTTTTTTGACAAAGATTTTTACGCCGACTGTCGAACTGACACAACCTCATTAATCGTCTCTTACGACTGACAGAGGGGCCGTGGAAGTATTCTTATGCAATATCCACAGGGAATAATGAACAAAAAGTACGATTTAGTTATATTAATAGTAATAGTAGTAATTAATTCTAACAGATTTTTATAATACACTATTAAAGAAATCGTCAATAATATTTTTAATTTTTATTATATCATAAATTAAATTTATGATGATAACTGATAATAATTTATACCAATGATAATGTCCTATAGAGTTATCATGTACTATGATTGGCATTAATAAAAAATATTTTATAGCCTTATTAATATGTGGCCCTTGCTATATTTGTCATGTAAATTATGGCAACACTGTTACCATTTGATGAATAACGTCTAATTCTTTAGATTTTTATAAAATAATGATAAAATTTCTTGATTACCTGTTTTATTTTACACTTTTCATTACTCTTTGATGTAAATATATTTTATTAAGTAAAAAAAAATTATTTATCTAAATAATATCTAATACCCAAGACTATAAGTTGAATTTTTTTTTTATTTTGTATTATGTTCAAAACTCAAAGCTAATTATGTCTGACATTTCTTTGAGACTAAAATGTCGTTCGGGTACATTCCCTGTTCAAATATCATCAACATGTAGTTTAATTGATTTTAGGGAGCAAATAGCGGTTCTTAGTGATATATCGTCTAATAAAATCAAGTTATTGTTTGGATTTCCACCAAAACTTATATTACAATTTGAAGGTTCTGTGGCAGATGCAGGAATTAAATCTGGTGATACTATTATAGCTGAATTGGATACCAATAGTTCTAGTATTCAAAAAGCTAAATGTAAAGCAGAAGAAAATACTATGAAACATGTTACTGAACATGAAGTTGGTGAAGGGCCACCATTAATATTACGGAAAGTTGTACCAGCTGATAATTCATGTTTATTCACCAGCATGGGATTTGTTTTAGGAGGTAAGCTATTAATACAAAATTTAAGTTTTAAATATTTTTTGCCTTACTACTTTTTTTATCAAGGTATAATTGTATGAAGGCATTTAATGTTATTCATTGTAAACTATAAAAAGTAGTAAATAATATAAGTTACCCTATTATTTATATTTTAAATAAAAATTTTTTTTAACTAATAGAAAAATAGTAATAAATGGTTACTATAGTTCTTATAATTTCTATAATCTGTTTTTATTCTCCTTATAATTTTGTTTATTGCTATTTTAATTATTATTACATTTTTATTTTTAGTCCTAAAAAATTAATTTTTTATGAGGTTGATGGGTTTAGTAAGTTTCTAGAACAAACAATAATATTAACTTTACGCTATCACTATCCTTACTACCAAAATTTTACATTAATGCAAGGTCCAAAGTCTCCATGTAAATATTTCATTTCCAGCCTCATAAATTTAATATTTTGGGAGACTTTAGGGTTTGAACTAAAAAATTTGATAATTAAATTTTCATATAATAATTAATATCAAAATGCTATAGGAGTTTTCTTTTTACAAATCTTGTTTTAAATATATTTCTGTTGTTTATTTGAACTAAGATTTTTATATATTTGTAGGTAAAATTGACTTAGGTAGTGGTAGTTATATGCGAGAAATAATTGCTAATGCAGTAAAAGATAACCAAGTTGAATTTAGTGAAGCTGTTTTAGGCAAGCCTAATGAAGACTATTGTAAATGGATTCGAAATCCAGATTCATGGGGTGGTGCAATTGAAGTATCTATTTTATCAAATTTCTATGGAGTAGAAATAGCTGTGATTGATACACAAAGTGGGTCAATTAGTAAGTTTGGAGAAGACAAAGATTATCCTCACCGTGTATTCCTGATTTATGATGGAATTCATTATGATCCGTTATATTTGGAATCACCTTTTGGTGTAAGTCTTTAAAAATCATAAGCTTTAGAATCAATAGTAAATTATCACACTTTCTATTGACCTTCAAAAATAATTTGTAATTCTATTATTTGGTAGCATAAAAAACAATTTCATTAAGTATTAAATGAATAAATTGTAAAATTATATTATTATATTCATATGTAAAAATAATAATAAAATTTAACATTTTCTTCCATTCATGGGCAAGACATTACAATGTCACAATTTACGGTTTAATAACATTAGTTATGACAATTTTATTTTTTATTAAATGGCAATTTTTTTTTTAATTATAAGAAGTATATTATAAAAAAAAAAGGTTTATATTTAAATTTAAAATTTGTGTCAATTGATTCCATTTATCAGCAAATTGTTATATGTCTTGGGAATACAGACAACATTAAAATGTTAATAGTATTAACCTTTTTGTTATTTAAGTTATGTATTAACTTAATTCATAATAATTATGATTCAATTATATTTTAGATTGGTGAAATACAAACATTGTTTCCAAAAAATGATGATAGAATGTTGGAAGCTGCTCAAATACTCGCTAATGAAGCCAAATCTAGTAGACAATATACTGATGTAAATCGATTTACGCTCAAGTGTCTGGACTGTGGCTGTATAATGATTGGACAAAACCAAGCACAAGAGCATGCTAAATTGACTGCCCATACAAATTTTAACGAATATTAATATAAGATAGCAAACTTTCAATCTTTTTATATCATATTAGGTACCAATAAATTATTTTAAAATGAATTTTTGCTAAAATATTTATTATTGAATAAACTAAAAGTTTATATTAAATAACAAATCTGAATTAATATAAATACTTAATAATCAATATAAATAGTTTTGAAATTAGTAAAATATTGCAAAAAATTCCTTTATAAACTTATTTGAAATTAATTAATACTTGATCTTATTATATTCAGCTTTATTGCATACAAACCATTGTATGATATGAGCTTTTAAAAAATAGTAAAACATTTTACTTAATATTAAAAACATTTCTTAAAATAACTTGAATTATCAACATTCTTTTTATGTCTTAACAATTTTTAATGCAGTACATCTTTGATATCTATTATGATCTATTTTCCTTGCATGTCTTTTTAAACATTTGTAAAAAATGAAATGTTTACTGTATTGTAGGATTTTAATAAAATTATTTATTTATAAACTGTATTAGCTAATGTTGAGTAAATTACTTCTAAATAATATGAATAGTATGTAAGTTTTTTGTTATATCTATGACATTAAGAAAGTCACTTATTATGGAATTGTTCTTGGTATTCGTTCTAATATATACTGCTTTGATTATAGCTATTATGAAAGGGTAGTCTATGTATTACATAGTTGATTTGGGAATAATTCTATTATGAGGTTAAACCAGTTTTTATATATCATGCTAATAGTACTTTTTTTGTGAAATGAAGCCAGTTTAGTGTTGATATCTAGCTTTATATCTCATGGAACAATTATCAATTGTGTTCTGTTTTATGTTAGTTTGCTAATTTTTTTAATTTTTTTATAGAGTTTTGATTTTGTTGCGGAATAGATTCTTTACATTTTAGCTGCATGTTTGAGTGAGATATTCAATCTTCTTACTTTGAGTGATAGTTCTTCCAATAGATTGAGAATGTTGTCTGAAGAGTTCATACGAAATACCCCTATAGTTAGTTTAAAACCTGCGTTATAAGTGCCATAAAACATTTTAAAAATTGTCACAAGTCTGAAAAGTCGGGAAATTTGAAAATTTTTAATTTTTTGTGGCAACCAAGATTTTCTGTTTAGTGTAGACCAGGTGCTATGAGGGAGATTCATCCCTTGTACTTCAATATTAGGGTCGAGTACAAGTTTCCCGTTTGTTACAGTAGCGCTAGCCCATTCTTTCCGCCATTCCTCAGCACTGTAAAATCCTGAACTGGACAGTTTCCTAGCGGTCTCGACTAAAATTTTGTTTTACATTTTGAATTACGGAAATACAAGACTTGATATTCGAAAGACTTTTTAACTCGAGAAAATTAAATATATTATCTGTATAAATAAATATCTTGCAAAACAAAATCAACAAATACACGAATTTTGTATCATTGATCTTGTCATAAAGACCTGATGCTGTATAAACACATATTGGGTGCTAATAAGGATCTTCAATTGAATGTAAAATAGCATTTTTAAGTTCTAAGAAATGTTTTTTATAGTAGAAGCGACTCTAGAATAATTCCATCTAGTGTCACTTCTCTTGGTAGACCGACTAAAAAACGTTTATCTTGGATATATATATATATGTATGAAGCATTCCATACCAAATCAGCCACTTTTTAAGGTCGTCCTCTCCAATTTTTTTGAAAATTTTTCATGTTTTTAATACCGTCAAAAAACACCTTCATGAATTTTTTTCAAATTTTTTTGACCACCCGTTTCTCTTAGATATTGATTATTTCCAAAATTCAAGTTTTTTTTTCAAATAGCTATACTTTGTGAAAAATACAGCTACCGAGTCCCGTTTTTTTTTCAAAATATTTGTGTTTTAATGTTATTTTAAGAAAAAAATGTGATCTTTATTAATTTATTCATAGTTTTTTTTTAAGTTTTAAGCAAAAAAGCTACTTTTTCATAATGTATGCTCCCTTTGATTTTTTTTTGAAAAAATTCTCAAGAATAATTGAACAAATATAGAAAGTTTTTAGACCAATACGATAGTGGGCAAACATTTTGTTCATTTTTCTTCTTAATTCAATTGATCTATTGAAACAATATGTATAGTAAATAATAAATATTTCTTTACATTTTTTAGCTAAATCAACTTTCTGACACAAAAAACTTAATAATCAAGATACATAACTAAAGCCATTTAATACATTTTTTGTATTATGCAAGTTATACATAAATTATAAAGCAAAATCTAATTTTCTATTGGATTTTGAAAATCTATCAATCACTTTAGTGACCTCTACATGTATTAAATGGCTATAGTTATGTATCTATATATTTTTTGTCAACTATGTCAGAGACAAGATTAACTGGACTTGCTCTTTTGAACATTCATCGTGATATTACCGCTGGTCCTTTAGTCGATCTTAATAATTAATGTGCGTGTTGGCTAGTTTTTGGGCTTAACCGTCCTTTAGTTGGTATAGTGAAAAGGTTTGTGCTGGTAGCTGACGAGAAGCCACCCTTCAGTCTGTTACTTTTGAGCTAGACCACCATGCTGACGGGTCTAAACTCTACCCTTTAAGTAGTTCACTAATTGGAGGGATTGGGGCTGACCAGTGTATCCAACGGGAGGATTTGAGAAAAGCTAAAAACGATGAACTCGTCGTTAGTTAATTTGTGTACTACTTTTGTGTCTACGTTGGGGTACTACCGACGTACGAAAACGAAAAAGAACCCAATAATGTAATAATTGATACACAAAACAATGTTATATGAATAATGTTATACCACCGACTCGAAACACCTCTTGGTCGAGGCATCCAATATTTTCGCCTGTTATGGACACGACTTATTAACTTAGTTCAACTAAGATAATTAGTAACAATATTTTTCTAGTACATAAAAAAAACAAACGATTATTTATTTATAATTAATTACAATCTTAACTATAATTAGTACTAAAAATGTTAATATACAATCAATATTGTGTGGTTCATGTGCAACCTGGCTACAGTTCTCCGTCTTCGGTCCTTACGGTACAGAAAGGAGATGTTCTCCTGAAGTTGATCAGCTAAAGGACATCCAAAATTTTCCACTTGGAACAAAAACCGCGATCACAGGCTTAAGACGGGGCTCTCAAAACCGAGACGCACCGTTACCCGTCATAGGACCGTTTTAGCACAAGCGCCGAACACAGGCTCGCCGTATACACCACACGCGACCACTTAGATCGAGTTAACAGGTGCGGCGCCACTGGCGCTGCGTTTGAATAGGAATTTCATTCCTATTGAGTGAAAACGCTGAATGCCACCATACATATCAAATGAAATCCGAAAAACCATTAGAGTTATACTCAAAATATTAAACTAAAAACTACTCAAAATATAGATGATGCAGTAAAAAACTTAAGAAAGTCAATACAATACAAGCCTCTACCATTTCTGCTACTCCTTCCAGTAATAATCAGTCCCATTTTAACACGCTTTTATTAGTTTCACATGTATGTTGTTTGTATGTTGTAAGTTTGTAACTCCACGCGGCACGTGTTATTATGTCGCGTATCCCGTCGTCTATGACCTTGAGACTAGACCGTCGTAACGCATTCACCCCACCCCGCTCACCAGTCGGCAACTACACTATTTTTAACACGCTTATATTAGTTTCACGTGTATGTTGTTTGTCGTTTGTAAGTTTGTAACTCCACGCGGCACGTGTTATTATGTCGCGTATCCCGTCGTCTATGACCTTGAGACTAGACCGTCGTAACGCATTCACCCCACCCCGCTCACCAGTCGGCAACTACACTATTTTTTTTCTGTATAATTTTGAGTATTTGACTGACCAACACCGCGCGTTATACGCCGCGGTGCAAAGTCCAGCAAGTGCCGCACGGCCGACGACGTACCGCCGCTAATGATACCGTAGTATTCTTCCTGTTGTCAAAGTGGCAACGTCAATAAACCGATCTCCACTCGCGCACCGTCGCCATCAACGCTGCTAACCTTTTGACGCCCGAGGATCACGCCGGACATCGCGTCGTCGACGCCAACGAAAGTGCCACGATATTATGCGAAGATTATATATTCTTACCATCGCCGCTAATATTAATATATATATACATATATATATTATTATTTATATATACGTATATGTTAATATTCATTTATATATCCCTACAGCCGACGCCGCTACCGCCATATATGCCTCGCGCCCCGCCCGCCAACAAAACACAGCTATACCTCGTGCATGATACGTTTACGTACTTAAGTCGCTTTACATGTATATATATATATATTTTAATTACTATTAAAACTTATATATTAATACGCTTTATTCTCATTAAGAGATATATAGGGTATTTATTCCGATTACAAAGGATGATTCCCGTATCGTCATTTTACGTCACTACCTCCACGTTGCGCGTCTGCTGCTTTCCTTGGATGTGGTAGCTGTTTCTCAGACTACCTCTCCGGAATCGAACCCTGATTCCCCTTTACCCGTTACAACCATGATATTGATAGTAACTACTAGAGTAACATGTAACTAAAAAGTGAAAAATAAATATAGTTTAAAAAAACTAAAAAACACGCTTTTAAAGAACATTGAACTAAANGCACGCTTTTAAAGCACATCGAACTAAAAAGTTCAAAATTATTTTTAAAATAAGCTTAAAACAATAATGAACAAAAAATACTAATATTATTGTGATAAAAGCGTGGGTGCTTTGTGCCATATTTTTCGTATATTGAGCGCCCGACGCTTTTATCACAATAATACTAGTATTTTTTGTTCATAATTATTTTAAAAATTATTTTTAACTTTTTAGTTCGATGTACTTTAAAAGCGTGTTTTTTTAGTTTTTTAAACTNAATTTTGAACTTTTTAGTTCGATGTGCTTTAAAAGCGTGCTTTTAGTTTTTTTAAACTATATTTTTTAACACGCTTTTATTAGTTTCACATGTATGTTTGTTGTAAGTTTGTAACTCCACGCGGCACGTGTTATTATGTCGCGTATCCTGTCGTCTATGACCTTGAGACTAGACTGTCGTAACGCATTCACCCCACCCCGCTCACCGCTCATAGAAAAACTATTTTACTGTATAATTTTTTCATTTATCTTCCAACTTACATTCGTAGATTAATAACTTAAAAACACAATAATTAAAAAAAATAAAAAACCTAAATACTAAATAATATTATTTCAAAAAGAGTGTTGTCAGTGGATAGCTTTTCTTCTCAAAATAGTCATGTCAAAAAATCATAATCACCTTTTATGGTTATTGTACTAATATTGTATAGATTGTATAAATCAAATAAAAAAGTAAAAAAATTTTTTGATTGTTACATAGCAACAAGTTTTTATTAAAAAAATTATAGTTCTAATCCTACATATTTTGCATTGTTCTACTTATAAAACATAAATGAGGTTAATAGAAATCAAAATTACAATATTAACATACATTTTTATTCAATATAACTTTTTTCTTGGGTGTATAAAGTGAAAACTAAAAATTGATTATATTATAACTGTAATTTTTTGGAAAATTTCCTTAAATTATGAGGACTTTAGAGTATTCATAATAATTATTGAACTGATAGCTTCAACTAGATATGTTTATTGATTTTATGACATAATATTGATCAAAATTGTGTCATATAAAAAAAAAAAAACACCGAAGAGTAAAATCAGTAGTTTCTCAGTTATGCATTAAAGCTAAAATTTGTAATAATATTTATAAATTATTATTTATTTAAAATTGATAGGAAAAATTGTTTTTTTAAACTTAAAAAATACAATATATCTAGTACTATTTTAATTTTATTTTTATATTAATAGAAGCACAATTTCAATTTATATTCATTATTTTTATAATTAAAATTAAATTACATAGATATTTTATTGGTTATTGCTTATCTTTGAAACACAATCATCATAAACCTGTTTAAAGTGTTGAGCCGATTCTTCATTTTTAAAACGAACAGCCAATAATTCTTTTTGTGCTTTAGGATTATCTTCTGTAGTATTCATACATCCCCAGCATAACGCTTTGTTCGACGACTTCATTGGAACTAAAGTTATTTCTGATGATATGAGGTGATTACATACAACTTTAAAAACCTATTTTTACAATAAAATATAATAAATTATTCAGTGTAAAATATTAATTTTTTTAGGGTAAATGGACTTTCTGATTTTTTTTTCACTTTCATTTTTTTGCATAATATGTAATTTGATTATAGGGGTGATCACACTATTTGGCCAACATCCAAAGAGCTATCAGTATTAGGGGTCGACAATATAAAGGACATGAAACAGTATGAAAAGCAGATAGTATATTTAAACAAATTTCAAAAATTATATTATTATTGAATCAAATAAATTATACTAATTAAAAATAAACTTTTCTCGTCATTACTTTTGCTTACATATTTGGCAAACTATCACCCATTGGCGTACGTAAGGAGAGGGAGAGGATTAGGGGGTTGAAATCTCCCCCAAAAATTTATAAGCTAAACGACAATTTTGAACCATAAACAATAAGTAATAACTATAAAAAAGATCATATCATACTATAAAGTAATTGAAAACAGGAATTTTTGTAAGCTAACAATATGGGCAGTGTCACATCTAATTTTCTTTAAATTTCAAAACCACCCCAAGTTTAATTTCTGTGTACTCCACGGCTATCACCTATAATAATTTTATAGAAAAGTAACAAAACTCAATCAAACTACGGTGCCTACCACAATTAAAAAAAACTTAATTCACATGATTAAACTAATTTAATACAAGAACTTATAATAGAATGAAAATTATGTAAATAAATATTAACTTACTTTTTCTCGTCTAAATAAAAGGCGATAGGTTTTTCTATTTGGATGATGAAGTATTTTCATTTCACCAATTCCTCTTTCTTTGTATTCATTGCCATCTTTTCGAAACAGCTTAGCCCTCTCACAAAATACTAAAAATTATTTAGCATGAATAAATGCCATAGTAAATATAATTTAATTATATAATAAAAATTAATCACTTACGGCTAATATTATTTAAAATTTTAAGTACAGGAGTTACGAAGTTATGACAAAAATTCAATAACTTTTTCAAATTCAATTAATATTTAATATTAATTTCTTAATTTTTATAATTTAATTCTAATATTTTTTTTATATTGTTTTTTAAATCAGTAAAATTATATTACACTTTGATATGATTTAATGATTAAAAAATTCATATTATAACTTAGATTATAATAATAATTGACATACTTATAAATTTAAAAATTAATGATTTATAAAACTATTAAATTATGTTAAAAAATATAATGTGAATTTTATAATATAAAAGCTGGTTTAGCTAAGAACAATATGAACTACTGTGTAATAGAGAAATTAAAATTTATAAAATATATTTTATAATATATTATAACTTTAAGTATGAAAAAAAAAAATTAATAAGAAAATTTCGATTTTAAATGATTTTTAGGTTACAAATTAGAGTTTTCGATTATTATTAATTTGTTAATTTCAGTATATCATATAATAATGATAGATATTTTTATCACCTTCTTTATCACATTTTTATAACCTTATGAATATAACAAAAGAGATATATAATGAAGAGAAAGAAAGGTACCCAATCTACTATACGGTACAACCAAAAATACTGGCACTTAACTTTGAAGAAATAAAAAACATTGTAAAAATGTTAAAGAATAACAAAGAACCGGGAGAAGATAATATAAACATAAAACTAATTAAAATATCAAACTCAAAATAGCGTCAAAAATAAATGGAATTATTAAGGATAATTTAGAAAATGAAATTATTCCTCAAGAATGGAAAACTTCGATTATATGTAAAATGTATAAAAAAGGAGACCCAATGGACACTAATAACTACAGAAGATTATCACTACTTAACACGTGTTAATCGACAATAGACTACACAGGTGGCCCACCACTCACTGACAACTTAAATAACTTTTGATCCAGTTAATAATTTTAGTTGATTTTTTTTTTAAATAATAGTTAGACGTTAGGTCTATAGCTATATCTCAATAATTAATTTTTTTACATTTTATTAAAAATATTAATTATTTTTAAATTTTAAATAAAATGTAAAAAAAAAATCTAAGATAGCTATTTTGTAGAGTAGAATTTAAGAAAAATTTTAGTAAAAAAATATCTTATTAATATTCAGTAGTAAATATTCTGTAGCGTTTTGAAGTTTGTGAAAATTTGAATTTTCATGTACTATTTTACGGTATTAAACATTGAAATACGTATTGAGAAAAGGACAGAAGAAAACGCTATCTTTTCAATATACTTTTGAATGAGAGTGATAAGTAATAATTGCCTTATCTAATTTCTTATCATGGTATTTATGCCAAGTTTGTAATGTATACACACTATCATCATATGTATACACAGTAATCATGAAAAGATAGCGTTTTCTTCTGTCCTTTTCTCAATACGTATTTCAATGTTTAATACCGTAAAATAGTACATGAAAATTCAAATTTTCACAAACTTCAAAACGCTACAGAATATTTACTACTGAATATTAATAAGATATTTTTTTACTAAAATTTTTCTTAAATTCTACTCTACAAAATAGCTATCTTAGATTTTTTTTTTACATTTTATTTAAAATTTAAAAATAATTAATATTTTTAATAAAATGTAAAAAAATTAATTATTGAGATATAGCTATAGACCTAACGTCTAACTATTATTTAAATAGTTAAATATTTACTTCAAACTAGCATATAATAGTATTATAAGAAAAGTTATAGAAGACCCAAGAAGAGTTTGAAGTTCCAGATAAATTAATTCAACTGGTGAAAGAATGTAATTCAAACATCTTTTGCAAAGTTAAATTTAGAAACAAGATAACATAGAGTTTTGAAGTAGGTACAGAGATTAGACAAGAAGGTGCACTGTCTCTAACTCTGTTCAACGTAGCTCTAGAGAAAAATAAGATATTTGCCAGTTTAATAAGGAATGGAATTACTTGGAAACAAAACTATACTTGCATATGCAGATGATATAATGGTAATTAGATGCTCACGTTAAGAAATTATTACTAAAATGTGTCCTTAACGAGGTGGCATAGCCTATGGAACTCGAAATAAATCAATTATATGATTATAGACAGAAAGGCTGAAAGTGCACAGGACCTAATAGTCGGCAATTACAATTTTAAGGCTGTAATCGACTTTAAATATTTGGGAACTAATATAAACAATGCAAATAATATGCATAATGAGATAAAGCTAAGAATTGCAGCCGCTAACAAAAGTTATTTTGCACTGGGAATATTATTTAAATATTAATTCAAAGTTTAAAACCAATAAAATCAATATTTACCCTTAACACAAGTTACCGATGATCATCTTTATTTTATGTATGTGAAACGTAGTCGGTTACAAAGGGCAGTCAAAAGAAGCTTATTGACATTCATAAGGAAAATATAGACTCTAACATAAAAAATGGAGAATATAGAAGAAAAACCAATAAAAAAGTCTACCAAATATACTCCAAGCTCAACATCAAGACATTTTTAAGAGGCAAATGATTAGAATAGACGGGACATGCTTGGAGATCCATTGGTATAATAAGAGATATAAAGACAGGTATTATCAATGGAAAAAACCTAAGGATAACTAAGACAGAGGTGGATAGACATAGTCCAATCAGACATTGAAAAATGTGCATCAGGATCAAAATTAGAAGAGTGCGTAGGTAAAGATAGATGACATCAAATAGTAGAAGTAGTAAATGCCCTAAATTATATTTAGGGCCAAGAAGATCCATTGCCTCCAGAAACTGTTGTAACTCGTTGTATATCGATAAATGCTACAATTTATTATTTCTAACATAACGAAAAAATTTGTGAAATTGTTAATATGTTAAGACTCAGAAGAAGCTCTTTGTATAAAAATGGCAAAAAAAAAAAAAAATTAAAGAAAAAATGTGTTAAAAATAATTTTGTATATATTTGGTCAAATTTTAAAATTCTACCATACTCAATTGTAAAAATACAAAAACAAAATATGTTGAATCTTGAAAAAATAGAAGAATCTTTAGGTATTGCGGAAGAAGTTCAAACTCAGGGTAATGATGGAAAAAAAATACATAAAAATTTGAAGCAGTATTTAATAAAAATCATGGATTAACAGCATTGAAACAAAGATATAAAATTATTTGTGAAACAAATACTGACATGGAAGGCACACCTGAAGAACTAAACCTTAATAATTTAAATTTTTACAAATTATCTCTTATTACATCAGTTGATATAGAGAGATCATTATCAATATACAAAAATATTTTGGGCGACAACCGAAGATCATTCAAAATTGACCAAATAAAAAAACACTCCTTACTTCAGTGTAATCAAGTAATTTAAATAAAATTTTTAAATTTAATTTAACATATATTACTTTTAACACATCATAAGGACGCACTATTTCTATAACATTTTCAAAAGTTGAAAATATTAATTGTTAATACAAATATTGCTACTTTGAATTCATCTGTGGTCAAGTATAGGTTGAGATTTCAAAAAATGATGTTTTCTCTGACCTTTGGTTATTAATAAATTAATGGATATTGATAAACAAAAATTTGTGTATGGAGCTTTATGTCAACATAACTTAATAAAGTACACCTGTTATTTACTAAAGCTTCTCTAATTAATATACAACACTGATATTGTTGCATGATATTGAGTAGTTTTTTAAATTGTGTTTTTAAATACTTGTACTTAATTATAATTAATAAATTTAGTTTAAATTATTTAAATGAATTTTTATTATAACCTTAATTATAAATTTATTTTATAATACACTTCTATTCAAGAACCAATCTATTTACATATTTGCTTAAAGATTTTACTCTTTTTAAAATTTTTAATATTCAATAATTATGACTAGTAAACTATTTAAGGTATAAAATAAATTGACTTACAAACAGTTTCATTTTCTTCTCCAGTAGAAACTACAACAGCTTCAGGTAATGGTATAATTGGTTCAAATTGAGGATCATGACTATTATCAACTTCTTCTTCTCCATTTTCTTCTTTTTCATCCTCAGCAGTTATATTTTGATTAGTTTTACCATTGCATGGATCAACTAACATACACATTAAAATATTGAATACAAATTTACTTGAGTTAAATAATAATTGAGAAATATACACACTTGTAGGTTTAGAATTTTTTTCTAATGTTCCAAATTTAAAAGAGCTTTCACATTTTGGAGCAAATGAAAATATGTTTTCTGACTTTTTATAATCAGACTTAAAAAACTGTGGCTTGGTGGTAGAAGGTAAATTAAAAAGTGAATTGGTTTGAGTTGTTGTAGGAGATACACCAAAAATATTATTAGATTTATCATTACTAGAATTTCCATAATTAGTTCTAGTATTACCAAATATTGGATTGGATCCAAAAATAGTAAGGTTTGTTGAGATATTTTTTAATGCATTTGAAGTTTTATCACCAAATAAGAAAGATGTTGGTGAAATATTATTGGTTGTTGTTATTAATGAATCACTTAAATCAGAAATAGTAGATAAAGTATCTTCTTTTGCATTGATATTTCCCGTTTCCTAGTAATTAAATATTGTTAGATAATTTACAAAAAACATTTTTGGTTTTTTTTTTAATATTATTTAATTTATTAAATACCTTTTCACAAAATGTTTCTGAACAAGTAATTTCAGGTTTATATTCTTCTTTGTCTTGATTCTTAAACAAAATTCAATAAGAAATATTTCAACTTAGGTAGCATTTAAAATTAATTAAAATAATGTTTATAAACATGTTTTAACATATAATGTTATATTAACATTATAAAAATGTTATCTGGAAATTAATAATAAAGACGAAATATACTTCTTAATTATGCAAATACATACATCATCACATCCAATACATCCTTTACATTTGGGTTTCACCTTATATAAGAAAAAATATAAAGGAAGTTTTGTTTTTTCAGCCATAACTTGATCTTCTAAAGAAATTATATCTTTTAGATTTTGTACTTCAAGTAATTTAACACCATCATCTGAAATATTGGACATTAGTTTATGTTTCAAATATTATATTCTCATTACTCATATTTGTTAAAAGTTTTTTCTAAAAGTTGTTACTTATACCAGAAATAGAAAAATATACATAGATAAGCACAATAAAATAAACCCTAGGGTATCTTTATACCAATGCGTACAACAATAGTACACAATGCATTTATAGCACCGTGTACTGAATACTTAAATGGCTCATTAAAAAATTTTATTAATTTTTACTTTAAAATTAAATATGAGGTTTTTACCTTTGAAGGAATGAAAAAAATTATTTAACTACATATTATTGTATTTTTTCAAATCAAACAAAATTTTCAATAGTTTTCTAAAATGATTGTCTTTATTATTAACGAATCATCTAATACATAGTTTTTGTCAGATACAATAACCTGCATTGAAAAATAAAACATTGATTTTTCCAAAAGAACTTAGATATCAGAAAATGCTTTTTTAAAATTTTCATATCCTCTAAGTGTTGTCGAATAATTAATACAGCAAAAAATAGATTACGTTGACAAACAAATTTAAATCATCTATCATAACTTTATTTTGATGTTTTTTTATTCATTATCGCATTCTAAATCATAGATCCTAACAGAACCTTATTAAAACCATCAGATACCTTCTTTTTTTTGTATGAGCTACCCTGAAACTGTCTTAAATTATAACTTCTGAACAGCAAACCCACCAGATACCTAATTGATCTTAAAAAATATACTAATCAGTCTTTCTAAAAAATAATAATTAAAACTGAGGTGCTCACCATTATCCAAGTTTTGATATGTGTTCACTGAAGCTATTTACAGAAAAAAATTGAATTAAAATTACAGTTATTAGTTACAGATAATATGACAAAAATATTATTAACAATAAGAAATAAGGTAGAATTGAAGAATAGTTTTGACTTTAACTTTCCAGATTTGTCGATAAAATATAAGAGTAAAGTTCAACTTGACTAAAATAAAATTTTTATAAAAATAATCTTTTTTTTTTAAGAAAAACATTTGTCAATTCGGTTTTAGAATGTTAACTTTTTTGATTTTTCAAAATGTCTAGTGATAAAAGTAGCAGTGCCCCCATTCCTCAAATTCAGTCAATATTTTAAATTGTTAATAACTTCTGAAATTTTGGTCAAAAATATATTTTCAGTAATTTTCTTAATTGCATCATTTTATAAGCTAGTAAAATGTATTTGTTGCCATTTGAAAAATAAAATTAACACCTCAATGAAGGGATGAACATAAAAAATATTTTATAAGAGATAAATGGAAATACACATGTAACTAAACAAAGACAAAAAAAAAAAAATATTATTTTAAAAGAAATTGAGCGGGTAATGTTAAAAGAATCACCTATATATTAATCAATTCTAACAAGAAATAAATACTTACTTTCTAAATGTTTGGGTAATATATCAACATTTAACAAAGGAGATTCTAATTTCACTAAAATTTAAATAAATTTTAATTAGTTTTTAATTTTTTATAGTCAGTTTAATAAATAAGAGCTTACCATTGGGAAACTTATGATTAGAACTTTCAAATTTTATTGTAGATTGTGGTTTGTTATATTCATCACTTTCATTATCACTTTCTTCCTCATTACTATTATCGCTTTTGTCAGAATCATATTTAACGAGTCCTGCACTTTCTTCCCTCCATGTTAATGGTTTAAATTGATCTATATGCTGAGATGTATTATTAGATGCATTACAGTTTACACTTAGTGAACCAAAAGATAATTCAGACGTATTAAGTTTAGGTGCAAAAGTTGAAATAGCTTGAGCATTTTCTGATTGTGATTGAGGCATACCAAACTTAAACATTGAAGAAAAGGATGACTGTCCAAATGAAAAACCAGTGTTTGATGATTTAATTTCAGTAGTGTTGTCTATTATAACACCAGGTTTAGTAGTATTACATGCAGGACATTTGAGAACACTTGATTCGTGCGATAAATAACATCCTTGGCAAGTCCATGAACCAGGCTTAGGTTTGAATTGTGCCAAGTCATTTAATTTAGGGAGATTTATATTTTGTTGAATATCTGATTTATTACTAATTCCTAAAAGTTCATTTGAATTGTTCTCTGGCTTGATAGATACTGGAGCACAATCTTTAATATTTTCTTTCAGCTCATTAACTTTATTTTTAAATTGATTTAACTGTTGCACAGTTTTAAATCTAATTGCATATAATTCTCTTTTATTTTCTCCTTCAGAAAAATCTTGGCCAATCCATGATACAGCTTTATCAGAAGACAAAACAGGTTTTAGTTCTAAATCTGCAGTAAGTCTTTGATTACAACAAATTTTAAATATTATTTCTCTTCTCATTAATAACTGATAGTATCCTTTTTTTGAGTTATGCAAAATTTTCATTTGACCAATACCTTTTTCTTTCCATTCTTTTGAAGTTGAATCAAATCGTAGTAATTTTGCTCTATCTTCAAATACAACATTAAGTCCTTCTTCTCCTGTGACTATATCAACTTTATCAGGTAATGGTATAACTGGTGTAAATTCTGCGGTTGGAACAAAGTCTTCACTTTCTTCAGTTGGTGTATTAGGTAAATCATTACTTGAAATATTAGATTTTATTATAGCATGTGGAGAAGGATTAGTTTTGATATTAAAAACAGTGCTACCAGCTCCTGGAAAACCTTTAAAATCAGAAGAATTGTTAAAACCAACAGAAGGTGAACTTTTGGCTAATGTACTGAAATAAGATGTTGCAGATAATCCAGATGTTAAATCTAATTTAGGAGTGAAATTAAGTAGTTTATTGTCATCAGTTTTAGAAAAATTAAATGATGAATTATCATTTGCAGTACTTCGATTCAAAGATTCATTTATAGGTGAATTGAATACAGTTTTTTTCTCTTCTGTTGAATTAATTTGACTTTCTGTCATACTAAATAAAGGTTTTGTCAAGATTGATGTTAGAGTAGGAGTTTCTTGAGTATTAATAACTGGCGTTGAAAATTTTAAACTAGAGAACAATCCTTTAGATTTTTCTGGAGTTTTTTCTATTTGTTTAGGTTCAACTACTTCATTGACAATAGGGGGTGCACTAAAAGTAAACCCACCTAAAGTGTGTTTCAATGAATTTTCATTTTCTAAAGATAATGACAAACCACTTAGCCCTTGTGAATTTTTTTTGTTTTCATCAAAAATATTTTGTTTGTTATTAGTAAGTGAATTTTCAACCAATGAAGAATTCTGTGAACATGGCTGTTTTGTTTCGTTGAAAACTTTAATAAAGTCTTTACAATCTTCAGCAGACTTAAATCTTGCACATAAATTTTCAATTTGCATTTGAGTTGTGTCAGAATAATCATTAGCTGTCCATAATACTGCCTTATCATTTTTAGGTTTAAGTTCCATATTGTCATACAAGAAATGATTTGCACAAACTTTAAGTACTTGTTCCCTTCTCATAACCAACCTAACTTTTGCAGTGTCTTTGTTTCTTAAAATTTTTAAAACTCCAACACCTTTTTCTTTCCATTCTTTTTCAGTATATTTATATAATTTTGCTCTGCGCTCAAATAACACAATATCATTTTCTTCGCCTGTAAACTCTTCAGCTTTATTTGGTAATGGTATGATTGGTAGAAACTCAGGTATAGGATCGTGTTCTTCAGTATGACTATCATCAGTGTCAGTGTTTTTAGATTTATTAAGAGATATGTCTAAACTCTCTTTAAATGTAGATAAAGATGTTTGAAAAACAGAAGGTTTCTCTGAAGATTTAGATAGCCAATTGGATGGTTTTAAATTATGGAAAGTAGCAGATTCAGGTTGATTTCCTAAAAGCTGATTATTGTAATTAATAGGTAGATTAGAATGAGAATCAATGGTTCGATTTATTCCACTAAGAATATGATGTGTTGGTATAATAACACTGAGTTGAGGCTGAGAGACAGGAGGTCCAACAGGTAAAGTATCAGAAGATGTAATATTTACATTGGGATTTGAACAAAGAGAAAAACTTTTATTGGTTTGGCTATTTGCTTGACTGTATACTTCATAATTATCACTATTTGTTAATGGAAGTTGGTTCAAAGGAGACTCTTCAAATGTATTATTATCTTGGTAAATATTATATAAATCATCATCTTGTTTAATCTGAATAATATCACTCAACGTATTAATTTTTTCATTTAAATGGTCCTCAAATTTGCTTATTCTATCAATAATTTTAGTGTCTGGTGTAATCTTCATGGGCAAATTATTTGATAAATTATCAAATTTAACAATGGATTCTTTTATATTATTTAACTGATCAATTATTTTATCCACTTTTTGTGATAAAGTACGCATGGTTTCAGTTAAATTATAATATTGTAATCCCATAGTTTGACATTGAACATTTTGTGATTGTACAGCTATTTTCAATTCATTCAATTCTTTCATAACAAGATTATCATCTTCTAGTTTTCGACTCTAAATATAAATACCAAACAATTTTTAATAAAAGAGAAAAATTTTATTTTAACAAAAATTTACATTTGTAGAATGCATAATTAATGAATTATGTGGAGATTTTACAGGTGTACTGGTGGTATTATGATAAGACTTATCATTAAATTTGTGTTGATTTTTTCTACTTGATATATTCATTGTATCTACATATTCTTCTCCAGAATCAAAGTTCATTTCTTTTCCTACACATACATGAAATAAAATAAATCGATTATCAATATATTTATATTAACAATATACAATAATCATAATATAAAATAAAATTTATACATACGACTATTAACTGTTCCATTAAGGTCAGTTTCTAATTGCAATTCTAAAATTTCATCTTTAACTTGAAAATTTAATGGATGTTGAGGATTATTTTTTAAGCGCTCTTTAGTAAGATTTAATAGGTCTTTGACTTTAGATAGTAAAACAGAAGATGAAATGGTATTAGCATTATAAGTGTTCACATCATGCTTTGCCATTTTTTTATAAATCTAAAAAAAGTAATTATTTTTTATGTTGCAATAAAGTTTCAATTATAATGATTATTAGTCTACTTTAAAAGTTACATATTGTTATATTTTTCACTATTAGTTTACAATTTATTTGAAATACAGTTTTGCTACTTAAAATGTTAGCAAAAAAAGTTGTCATGTGAAAAGGATAATATCCTTTTATACATATAATATATAAAGTATATTAAGTATTAATAAATATTTTATAAATTAGTAAGGGGGATTGTTCACTACCAATGATCACGCGTACGATCACCGGTACACGCATTATTAACAATTTATTGTTTATCAATAAAGACTTAATTTCTGTTTAACTATTTGATGTTAAAAACTTTCATATTAAAAACACAACAAAGTATTAAAAAAAAAACAATTTGTATTATTTTATTAAAAAGTTATAGCAAAAAAAACAGGAAATCTAAAATCAAAAATTTTAACACAAAAATAGCATGGTTTTTAATTATGAATTTAGTAAACTAATTTAGAGTTTTTACAAAAATGTAATAATTTTTTTACTTTTAACACTTAAATTTCAGTATTCAAAAAAAGTTATATTTATCTTTTTCTTAATTATGTATTTTTAAATATATTTGGAATTTTTAAATTTTATTGTGTTCTCAATATTGAACAAGATATTGATAAAAAATAAAATATTTTTTCATAAAAATAATTTTTTTTTTAATTTTATGTTAATAGGTAATCATACAAAAATATATGCAAGGACCTTTTATATTGCTTATATGTTTTCCTAGAAAATTAATTTTATCCTTTTTCCCTCATTTTAATATTTAAAAAGATACATGCAAAATACTATATTTCTACCTATTTTCATCAATTTTCAACTGCTATGAGGCAAGGGAAGGGGTTAACTTAGAATGCTCAAAATTTACAAAAAAATTTTTATTTACCACATAGAACAAATTGTTGGGTTCTACCATTAGATTTTTTTTTGGTCAAATAAGGACCACCCCACTGATGATATAAAAATACATAAGGTATTTATATAAAATAAAATCATTTTGATTCATATATTTTAAAGAGTTATGATAGTTTTAAGAAAGATACGTTTAAAAAAATAACAAATTTACTAATTTTAAAAATTGTAATTTTTGTAGATGAATTTCCCCATTTATAGAGAATGAGGACATTTCTTCAATTTTAACAGCAATGTCTTCAACTAGATACGTTTTGTGACCTTTGACATATTGTTAAAAGAAATGGGTCCAATGAAAACTGAGAAAAGTGGCAACAGACAAAAAAAAAAATTATTTAAACATACCAAAGTAAAATTAATACCTTCTCAGTTTCATATCGAAGACAAAAGGTTTTTTTGATAATATAGTGCATTTAGTACAGACCAATTAGAAGTAGGGAATCTTCGCCACTATAAAAATATTTTAAATTTTAAAAATAAGTTTAAATTCATAAATTTAACTAAAATAATGAATTATTCTATTGGGAATTTTATAGTAATGAGTTTTCCTGTTAAAATGGATTTTAAGAAAATTAGTATACATAATTCCAGAAAGTAGAAATAATTAATAACAAAACATTTGTTACTTACCATAGCTTGGTAAAATGATGCATATGGAGAATTTAACTTTTTAAATGCTTCAATAGCTTTCTCATATTGGTCATTATTCATCATATTACAAGCCAGATAAAATTTACCTTCCTCCAACAAATCCGCTATTTCAAGGGATGTAAGTTTTTTTCTATTTTAAGTTAAAAAAATATATTCATTACATATTTTGCTTAAGAAATTGTATAAAAACACACAAATTAATGCACCTTGAAAATTCAAAGAGAGTATGTTTGGGTTGATGCTCAGTCCCATTATATACAATTCTTTCAAGTAATTGAACAGCCATTTTCCAGTAAAGAATAGCTCTTTTTTCTAATCCATCTTTTAGGAGAAGATCATCCACTACTTTATTTGCCTGTTTATATAAAGAATGAATGTATAAATAAAAAAAACAATGAACATTTATATAAATTAAATGTTAAAAATTGAATCAATAATAAAATAGCACAGAAATACTGACTTACACATTGTAATATACCTAAAAAAATATACCTAAAGTTGAGGTTGGCAAGTACTCTCTTTATTTTTAATATTTGGAAAATTATTAAATACAGTAAATATATAATAGTGTATATAATTTATTGTAATATAAGTTATCCATATTTTTATTGAATTTTCCCAGTTTTAATAAATTAATTATTGATAATAAGTATAGTAATAGTTAATACATTTTACATTATCAAATTATTTGATAATAACTAAATGTTCATAACACAATTTTATAATAAAAATAACATAAATGAAAAATTAGTATTAAAATCATTAAAATTTTGAATTACACAAAAAAAGTGATCAATTTTTTATTTTGATTCTGTATAATCATGTTAATATTTAATTATTTAAACAATTGTATAGAAATTAATTATAAAACAAAATAGTTTTTTTTGATACATATTTAACAGCCAACAGTTGTGCACATGTATTACTATAGTACAATCTTATAGGTTTATTATAATAGTTGTCATGGTAGTTTGAACCTACTATGAACACTCTTTCTCATTTCTTATCTATATCTATCACAAAGTGCATTATCATCATACTAGCATGGTTGAAAATAGATAATATCATAGCCCATAAACATTATTCATATGTATTTTAAACTGCACAATGTGCACATAAAACAACCTAATGAAGGTAAAACATACTACAAAAATGTTAATACTTCACTAATAAATCCCACACTTTAATAAGTTCTCACCCAATTTTATCAATACACCAACAAAACTATTCTTTCAGATAAAAAAATATCTGTAGAAAACGTCAACATATCAACACATGAATATAAAATCATTTGCTAAAATAGCTAGTAATTTTAAATTACACATTAAAGACAAAGTTATCCTTCTTAATTGACATCCTATATGAAAATACACCTTATAAATACTATATCTTAGAAATTTTGTAAACTAGTTAAACTAGAAAGTAATATACATGCTTCTCACATCTCGAACAGAAGATTTTGTACATTTTTATCAAATAAAAATCTTGTAGACTAATTAATATAAAATGGTAAAACAATACTCATTCACAGGAAAACATGAAAACATAGACTGCTTAATCCTTATAAGAGTTGTAATATCTAACTTATTGCTAAAATAATCCATCTTTATTGGAAAAACATGAAAAATACAAAATTATGTCTGTTAGTCCAATATAATTCTGCAGAGCTGGTATTCAATTGGAAGGGTATAGACATATCCTTAGTTTTAGAAGGCTAATGTACATTAAACATTTTTTTAAATTGTTCTAAAAATTTAAAAATTATTATTATCAATTTAATACTTAATTTAATTACTATAATAAATAATAATCTAAACCCAACCAAACCGTATAATACATATAAATCATAAAACTTGTCACCAAAATATAAATACTTAAATAGTAGTTCTTATTGCTTTTGGAATAATTCAATAATTTGTTGTAAAACTTAAGCACTACATATTTTTATTGAAGCGTTTTTTGTAATAGTAATTTTAATCACTAATTAAGATAATAATAATAATTTTTAAATTAAAATAATAGACATAATATATTATGCCATGATTTTATGAATCTTGAAATTTCGAAAATTTCTTAGGCGTCTTAAATTTTATTAATTTCTATGGTTTCATAAGTATCTATACAATCAAACGTTACATATAATATCAATATATAATATAATATATATATATATTATATTATATATATATATATAATATAATATATATATATATTATATAATATATTGATATTATATGTAACGTTTGATTGTATAGATACTTATGAAACCATAGAAATTAATAAAATTTAAGACGCCTAAGAAATTTTCGAAATTTCAAGATTCATAAAATCATGGCATAATATATTATGTCTATTATTTTAATTTAAAAATTATTATNTAGAATTAATGAAATTTCTGTAGCAAAGTAGCACTTAAACTTCGAAATATGCAAAAATATAAAACATTAAATTTTTACATTTAACTTGCTAAAATTCAAATGGAGGCTTACAACCCGATTAGGTATAAACCAATGGCTATTCACATACCAGTAATGCCAAGAGATTCCAAGAAAATCTTGGGAAAACAGAACTCTGGAATGAAACACAGCCATCTGGAAAGTCACCATGAAGGTGGCTCTAATAAACAAATTCTATTTGTTAAGTGTGGATAAGAAAAGCAAAGGAAAACGTGGAATGCACAACTAAGGAAAGTTCACCACATAGGAATGCTGGCGGAGAATTACCCATAGGGAGGTTGCGTCGTATAGTGACTGTAAATGAAACTTATATTACACCCTAACCAGTGTGTCTTTTTAAATGTTAGCATCAGTTTTTCTGAATGTATGACAACATAATACAATTTACGCAGATAAATTTGCGTCATAATAAATGTATTGCTAAGGACTCTAACTAAGAGGAATATAACACCCTTACAAATAGATCTTATTTAGGAACCGTGGCTACATGGTATTCAGATTAAGGGACTAAACTTAAAGGGCTTTATACTGTTTTACTAACAATCAGACAAACCATAGTCTTGTATTTTGGTTAATGATAAAATAAAAACCAGTTAGTTATTTAATTGGAACTCTAAAAAAACAAACTGGAACAACTACGGGGCAGATATTTTTCATAACCTAAAAATCCTACAGCTTAGATTAGATCCAGACAAAATACTGAAAGAATAAAATTTGATGAACTCATCTTACTATGGAAAAAATAGTGAAAGGGTTATATACCTCGAATCAAACAGCTTATAAAACAAACTCCAATTAGGCTTTAGAAAAAATAGATCTACTTAGGACTATTTAGCTGATCTAGAGACAAGAATCATTGAATACTAGCTCAGAATCAGACAACAACACTAATATGTCTAGATATAAAAAAGGCATACACAAAAAATACAATAAATTAAAAACTTCTTGTCAGACCAAATATTTAAAGTAAAAATAAAAGAATAGTGTTCTGTCTAACACTTACACAATAGATAATTGAGTTATTCAAGGATCATCCTCAGTATAACTTTATTTTTGATATTTATTAACAATGTAGCAAATAATATTTCAGCAACCACACAAATCAAGCTTTTTACTAATGTCAATCAGTAGTATTTTTAATATAACAGGAGAAAAGCCTTAATCACTAAGAGAACTTACACTTAGATACATTGTTTATTTAATATTTGACTACAAAAACTTCTCAACATCAATATTTTTTTTAAATACAATATTGATAGGTACATTGTGATATCAAATGTGATTATTTTTTTAATATCAAAATATTTATATATAATATAGTACTGACATCCACTATCACTAAGTGTTGCACCAATATCAATTTTTAAAAAAATATTGTTATTGAGCCCTAATTTTTATGAACTAAATATATGTGTTATTATAAGGAAATTATATTTTAAATCTACAGATTACCTGATAAGCAAAGTTTTTGGCTAAATGAACCATTAATTGTACATCAATTCCATGGTCACCAATTAAGCGAATTGCTCCTAATCCTTGTGATACTGTATTTTTCAATTTAGATGTATTTTTGATATCAACATCTTTAGTATATATTTTATATAATGATCTCCACCTAAAGTAAAATGTATTGTTAAATTACAATTTTGAAATGCAAGCTGATGATTTTTCCTATCACAAAACACATGTAACTATAAATGCCCACTATGATACACAAATACATGCACATATAAATTTGATTGCCAGTGCAAATGTGCATTTATCACTCCTATTAAATAAATGTTTCAAGTTATTAAACTTGAAATACTATACTTTATTAATAAGTTTTAAATAACAATAACATACGTTGAAAAGCTACTGTCATAGTGCTTCTTTATCAGTATATGTCATTCATTTGAAGCGTAAACAACAACAATTTTTTTTCACTCAAATATGTCGAAATTTATGCCTAAAAAAGTGTTTTTGCGAAGAGTTCTTTTTCATTACTTTAATATGAAGAAAACAGCTGCCAAAATTCATCGTATTTTGGTGGAAATTTATGGTAAACAAGCTCTAGCTGAGTGAACATGTCAAAAGTGGTTTGCAAGATTTAAAAATGGTGATTTTGGCTTGGAAGATGAAGAACGTACTGAGCAGCCAAAAAAGTTTGAAAATGAAGAACTGGAAGCATTATTTGATGAAGATTGTTGCCAAACACAAGAAGAGCTTGCAGAATCTTTTGAGAATCAATCAAGCAGCCATTTTAAAATGTTTAAAAGCATCCGGATACATTCAAAAGCAAGGAATTTGGGTGCCATATGAATTGAAATCAAGAGACGTCAAAAGATGATTTTACATGTCAGAGATGCTGCTTGAACGTTACAAAAGGAAGTCATTTTTGCATTGGATTGTGACTGGTGAAAAATGGATCTATTACGACAACCCCAAGCGCAAAAAGTCATATGTGAAACCTAACCAACCAGCCAAATCAACAGTAAAGTCGAATATCTATGGCGCTAAGGTAATCCTATGTATTTGGTAGGATCATAAGGGCGCGCTGTATTATGAGCTGTTGGATTCGGGTCAAACGATTACAGGAAACTTCTATCAAATACAATTAGTTTGCTTGAAGAGAGCAGTCACCGAAAAACGGCCGGAATATGCGACCAGACAAGAGGCAATAATTTTCCATTATGACAACATTCGGCCTCATGTTGCAAGACAGGTTAAAAACTATTTAGAAAACAGCAACTGGGAAGTTTTGCCTCACCCTCCTTATAGCCCAGACATTGCCCCTTCTGACTACCATATGTTCCCCGATCGATGTAGAATGCCCTTACAGGAAAACCCTTCACCAAAGTTGAAGATATCAAAAATTGGTTTGATTCATTCTTGGCCGCCAAGTTGGCGCAGTTCTTTTGGGATGAAATCCACAAATTTTCAGAAAGATAGGAAAAAGTTACAACTCTGGAAGGGCAATACTTTGAATAACATTATTGTACATGTTTTTCTTAAATAAACATTAAAATTTTGAAGAAAAAAAACCGCACAAATTAAGTTATAGACCCAATATATTATGGTATAACCATGATTTTAAGTATAAGTTAAACCCTACTTACTGTTGAATAATATTTAAATTAAATAAAAGTTCATTTTTTAAAAATTAGAGATAAAAACTTAGTTTCTGTTTTTCATCAATAATTTATAGCCATATTAAATAAGTATATACAACTAATAATAAAAACAGTAGTTTTATCTAATCAATAAGTATATTAACAGCATATATTTCATAAATTGAACACTGTATAGGTTTTATTTTTAATTAAAATTTAATTATTTCTTTTTTTTATTAGAAAACTTATTTTATAGCTTTATAAAATAAGATATATGACAAAAACTTTGGTTATGATTTATTATATAATAAAATATTATATTACCAAGTATCTTGCTCTATTGAAGTTAATGATTCAGTTATATCTGATGGACATATCTGTTGATATTTAAAATCACTTTTTGATGATTTACAGTCAAGAATTGAAGCAACAGAAAAAACTGAAAAGTGTATAAAAACACTTATAAAAATTGGTTATAAAATAACATAATATTTGGTTGGGTTGGGTTTGATATATATATAATATTTAGTAATTTTTACTGTTATAGCATTTTTAAACATAGTCTAAGAATCCATAAATTATTATTTTTTTTTAAATTAACTCAAAATATTTCGTAGATCAAAAGTTATTAGATTAGTCAAAATATTGTGAATCACTCTGTATAATATAATGTTTAAAAAATTAATATATTATATAATCTCTTATTAATTAAATTAAGATCAAGGTTCGAATTACTAAATTATCTTTTAGTTTATATGTATCAAAAAAAGTGTAAAAACTTTACCTGTAGCATATAAGAAAGTATTTAAATCTATTTGGCATACTGATTCTATATTAACAGAAGCAAAAGAATTGGCTGTTAAAGGTAAATTTTTAAAACCTTTACTTCTAAAACCTATAGGAAAGACAGTATCTTTATTTAGTCGTAATCCAGTGTTTTTACTGTCGTTTTCCAATAACTGCAATCCATACCAAACTAAATGATGCAATGAACCAGGACGACTCGACTCAAATGATAACACTAAAAATTTGAAATTTTTTTTTTTAATTAAAAAAATGGATTATATTAAATTTTAACTAAAAAGTAACTATTTTTAAAATATAACGACAATAACATACTAAACAATATGATACATTAAAAATATTATTAAATGATTGTTGATCATTGAATATTTTTTAATTATATTTTTTTATTATATTTAGTATAAATAAACTATTTAATAGGAAAAAAAATAATTGAAAAGTATTTAACAATTAAAGACCATTCAATAATATTTTTAAAAATATCATATATTTCAGCTTATGCTTTATTTATTAAAAAAGATTAAAACATAAGTTTTAAAATTAGTAAATAATTTATTTTACTTATAATAAACATAAATATTAGTTAAAATACATAAAAAAATTAAGCTTACTTGAGACCTATTAGAAATAAACCATATAATAACGCTAATTATGATATCCACGCTATCAATTTACAACTTACAATTTTGAAATTAAAAAATTTGTATTCTACAGTAAAAATCAAACAATTTTGATATACTAATCATAATATTTAACCAAAAATTGAGTAACAGGCCATTTTTTGTTTTATGGTAAAAGTACTAAAAATATGTTGAGACCAATACAATTTTTTTTTTTTAAATCTCAAATTTTCACAAAATGCCTATTTTAATGTATATAATAAAGTTAATATGGTTCTCCTTAAAATTTTAATTGCTTTTTTTTGATCCACCTTAATATATATATATTAAAAGCAGGAAAAAAATTTGCATGGGCTAGATAAGGTAAGTTAAAATACAATATTGATCGTGTATTCTGATTGTAAAACTCATTGTATTATGATTTTGTTCTCAAAGTAAGTCTTAAATTAATTTAACATGCGTAAAAAAATACTTTTAGTAGACTTAAAATATTAAATAAATTGTATATTATTGTCGAAAGGCGGTCACCTTGTCCTAATAGGTAGAAATTTATGTTTCGTATTTAATGATATTATCATATTCCTAAAATATAACAAATTTTTTAAAGAAATGTAATACAAAATATTCAATGGATTAAAATTTATAATATGAAAAAAATTTAATAACTTGTTATTAAATGAAAATATTTGACTTTTAGTAAGGCAGAAATGTTTTGTTAATTTCAGAATTTGGTAGTGGTTATTTTACTTTACACATCTTTACATATGTAACATTATAATTACACTATTAATACAGTAGTTAATGCATTATAAGATAACCCTATTTTTCTTATTGTTATTTTTTTATTTCCAATAGTTTATATTATGTAAAAATGAATTATTATACTAAATTGATTGTTATGTTATATTTAAAAATGAGATATAAAAAATGGATTTTCTTTGTAGGTAAGTAAATAGTTAGATATTTATATTATTATTTGTGTATAAATAAAAATTTAATAGTTAAATAGTTAGTAAGAAATTGACTACACGACTAGTCAATTTCTCAGATATCAAATAAATTACACATATTAGGGTAAAATATATATTTTAAATGTATAGATTTTATTTTCATATTTCATAAAATTATAGTAATTTTGCATCATTTTCATAAATAACCTGGGTTAAAAAAAACAAAAAATCATTCCTACCTAACAATCATGTGTTGAGAAAGATGACGGTATTCGATATATAAGAAAACAACTTCTTAATAGCATTCACATGTATTCATACATAGTATTCACTATGTAACTCACATATTTTTTTCATTTGATGACCAAGTGTGCCAAATTCAATTTGGAGTTAAGTTTAAAGTTAAAATATCAAAAACTTTAAGTCTATATTTAAGAAGGCGACTTTGTATCTAAGATAATTTTCAAATGAAATATTTAAAATTAATGACAAATTTCTGTATTGTACATGTTGTGATAAAAGTATTGATAGGTTAACATGTTTAACCAAAATTACAGACTTCTATATCATCAATGAAAACTTATAAAAATTTAATAATATTTATTTATGTTCATCATTTATTCACACGGATATCCCTATTTTTACACTAAATTTTGATTTTAATGAATTTTTTAGAACAATACCGCTGGTTTTTTTCAGATGAGTTACTTAGGAAGCATTAAAATATTTTAGTAAGAGTAATTTCTGAAGAAACTTTAACATTAATCAGAAAAAATATACAGAGTGAGTCCAGGGTTTTTATTGACCATTAGACTAATAAAAACAGCAGATATGTGAGACATGTTATTGTAAGCAAAGTAATGTTATTAGCCAAATCTGTTATTTCTCATAAATTGAAAAAATTAGATAAATGCAAACATAAAACAATTGCTAAACTGTATGATGATTCAATTAATTTAATATAGCCAGAAAGTGTAAAATATGAAAATGTTTATTTATTTTTGTCTGATATTGCACCATATATAAGGAATCCCACCAGGTTTTGCTGGTCATATAATCAGGTGGTGTATAGTTTTTTTTTTTCAAAATTATTACACGTCAAATTTCTAGTCGTCTATGGTTTAAATTGTATAGCAGAAATAATAAGATTAGGGTTACTTTGATATCAGTAGTAACAGTAAAAAAATATTTCTTAAGTCATAGAAAAATGTTTGATGCAACAATCATTTTAACAAGAAGGAGACATGGTAAATTATTACACAATTCATTATTGTGAAAATTTTAACAAAATAAATTTTTTTTATCTAAAATCTTGATATTATTTTAAAAGTTTGAAAGGTAATAAAATATATTGATTCAAAAAATAATTTATTCTTTTTTTTTTTTAGATTTTTATTTTGCAAATTTTTGGTTTTTGCTTCCTATAAACAAATAAATTGGAATCCCAAAAAATTCTTTTGACAGAAAGTTTAAGCATTGTTAAAAAAGCAAGGAACAAATTGGGTACAACAAAAATAAATGTACGAATTTTAAATGAAAAAAAAATTGATTTTTTTTTAACTGTTTTTACAGTTAACACTTGACCAACCAGATAGCATAAAATAATTTTGCAACCAAATAATTATTCTTCTTTTTCATCGCCTGTATCCCAACTACTCGGGATTGGCCACCCTTATCTTAAACTTCCACTTAACACAATCTCCCACATCAGCCCAACCTGACACAACTTCATTAGTCACTCCCTTATAACTGGTAGAGGTGCCGTGGAAGTATTCTTATCACCTATCCACAGGCATAAGAATCAAATCATTAAAATTTTAATTTTTTAAAACTAAGAGAATATGTTGTTTTACATTATTTAAGTAATGAATGAGCAGAAAATTAAACTAATTGTTATTGTTACTATTTTTTCATTAGCTATAGAAAAAAACATTAAAGCATATACTATCTAATTTATTTAAGAATAATCTTTAATAAATAAAAAATTGTATCAATTAAATTATATTTTAAAAGTTATATCTTTACACAATACATACTATGTTTTGGCACTGCATATTGTATTAATTCTGGAATAGAATACACTAATTTTTCTGTTGAATACTGAATAAAAAATGATGAAGATACCACCAAAGATGAACCAATATCAATAAATATCCTCTACAAATAATAAAACTATTACTAAGAGATTAAAGGAGTATAATAGTAAAATAAAAAATGTATACCTTATAAGTATTTATTTTCCACTCATTACCCTCACTGTACAATATTTTGATATTATCAATAAAATGTTCATCTTCATTAGCTATCATTGATCTCAAAACAAAGCCACTTTCAATTATTCTTCTAGTACCTTCTGATTCCCATAGTGAAACATTGGATCTTTGTTGTTCACTAAATTCTTTCTTTGACATATTATCAAATGCTTGTTTGTTAACAGTTGGTGCAAGGGACATTAAAAAGAAAGGTGCAGCCAATCTATTAGTTTTTTGCCATGAAACACTATTATCCTTTATAAATAAAAAAATTAATTAAGCAACATTAACTTCAATTTCCTTATTTATATACTGATTAGTAGTTCTTAAATTTAAAAGTATAATTTATGAATATTTTTTTTAGCAATTAAATATAGTATGAAAAAATATACAATAATTTAATATTGTAATTCTTATGGATAAATAATAAAAAATGAATGATAAAGTAGTATATTTTGTTACTTTTATGACAAACATGTATAAAAATTAAAGGGTTTGATGCAATACTTTATAAAAAATTTTTTTTTACTTATGAATAAATGCATTGGTCTACAAAAAACATTCATAGGAATCAAAAATAAACTTTTTGCACAGTTTTAAATTCTGAATTAGACTTTTTCTATCACTTCTTATTTTGATATTATTACTAATTATTAAAATATAAGTATATACAAATAAAAAAATAATTAAAAAAAAAAAAAAAAAAATTGTTTTTTAAATATTACCGATTTTTATTTTTAATATATTAAAAATACCAGTGCAAAATAACATTTTTAATTAATTTTTTTGGTCTTTTAAAGTTGATATTTTGAATGCTTATGATTAAAAATAAAGTGAATCTGTTACCATAACTTTTAACTCAACTCAAAAGTTTGAAATTTACATCATTAAAAAGAAAATTTTATGAAAATTAAACAAATGATATTGTTAAGATTAATATTCAGTCAGGAAATTTTATAATTACTATTTACTGTGAATTTATCAGAAAAGCTCAATATTTTTTTTGCATATTTATCATAATAGATCACTTAAATAGAAATCATAGTAATCATTTCAAAGTAACTATTGGTTTTTAAAAATATTCTACAATTGAAATATTTAGTTTTTAATTAATTTTAATAATTTACTGTAAATAAAAAAAACAATCAAAATGTTGTTAAAAATGTTTACACATTTGAGCGTTTTATAAAATTTGACTATAATTATAAAAATCCATTGTTAAATTCAGGTAAAACTAAAAATTATTTTTTTTTTAGAAATGATTTATATAGTAACATATCACAAAAAATTTTGAATATTAAAAACTGGTAGTAACGCACACAGATAGTGGTAAAAAATTGATTAATTACAAAGAAAAATTATTTAATTTTGTAGTTGAAAACTATTATCATATCAAACCTAATTCGACGATAAATACTTTAAAAATATTAGAAACGAATGATTTTAATTGTCTGTGTGGAGAAAATTGGTTAAGCAACTTTTTACTTGATAAAGGTGATTTTTGTGAACATTATCTTTAACTAGATAATAATTGTGATCATTTGATGAACAGTTAAAAAAAAGTTGGTCAAGTGAGATTTCAGAAAATAAATGAGAGCCAAAAAAAAAAAAATAATACGGTAGCCAAGACAAAATAAAGTTCGAAATTTTTTTTTTCATATTACAGTATATTACATAAGTATTAATTTAAAATATGTATTAAAATGTCTGTATATCCAGAACACTTTTAAAAGCTAATTTTTATGAAAAAGTTGTCCTTTTGAATCCCCCCTTATAGGCAGGTAAGAAGTCAGATTTATAAAAAAAATATACCAAATGATAGATAAATATCTGATGTATCTATTGAAAAAAAATTGTATTAATCCATACATTTTTTCAACAAATTATGGCAGTCTTAAGAAAAAAAATTTAAGGATTTCCCCAATTTATAGGGAACAAGAGTAATTTTTTCAATTTTTAAAGATAATGTCTTTGACTAGATACAATTTGTAATCTTTTGATGTATCGTTAAAAGAAATTGCTTAGTTGAGAGCTGAGAAAAAAATAATAACTGTCACAAAAATTTATGACATATTATTTTTTAATAATACAATATAAATAGGAACAATATATCTGTTATAACAGATAGATGGAAATACATATGCAATTAAAAAATATTAAAAATATTTTTTAGTTATAAATTAATAATGTTTTTAAGATAGTATTAATTTTAAATATAAGCCAAGTGATCAATTTTTAATTCTGTAACTAAAAAAAGCCAAAAATATTATTTTAAGACAAATTGAATGACTAGTGTTAAAAGAATTTCCTTGTATATTTAAAAGGAAAATACCCTATAATATGTTTGGTTACTTAATTATTTTTAGCTTCATTGCGTAGCTGAAAAGCTATTTTCTCCTACAGACCAATTTTACTCAAAAAAATATCAAAAGATCACAAAACCTATCTAAACGAAGCTATCAGAGCTATGATTTTTAAAAATTCCTCTCAATTCTGGTTATAAAAAGTAATCTCAAGATAAATTACAGTTTTCATTAAAAAATCATTGTTGAAATTAGTTTTTACTTAACATTGAAATAACTAGATGAAGTAATTCAGATCTTAATTTGTTGTCATATTGTTAACCACTACTTCGACAATACTGCAAAATTTTTATTGATAATACTACAAACTTTTGCTAGAGTCAAAACAAATTTTTTTTTTGAAAATCCAATCCATTAACAAAGGTTTTATATGATTTACAAAATTATTATTAAATATTTATTTTTTCAATTTTTTATGTTCTAAAAAGACTTCTTAAAACCTACATTAAATATGAATTTATCAAAAAAAGTTAACTTTCTTAATTTGATTGTTCTGATGTTCTCTACTTAAATATTATTTAAGTTATGAAATTTAAATTTATCATAAACCTTTGGTTATTAAAACATTTTTTTTGGTAAGGACAGTTTCCTTCCTTTTACTTATTAGATGACATTAACAGCTGCAAAAACAGTCCTTAAAAAATGTATAATTAAAACTTAAATCATGAAAAGGGGTTCTAAATAGGGGTATTTAACCTACCTTTATGAGTGTCTATTTGACCTAAAATAAATAATAGAAAAAATAAATATTCCAATAGAACATTATAATATCAAAAAACGATGATTTTTTTAACCAAAATAATAATTTACATTTAACTTTTTTACAAATAGAAGACAATTTGTGGAACACAATTTATATTTTTTAACTTACAATAAGTAACATAAGTTTTTATTTATCATATGTTTGAAGCTTAAGTATTTCTGGAACATTTTAAAAATTTATATTTTAAAGGCTTTACTTTCCATATATATATATATATAATTTTTAACATCCTTTATATACACGAAATGACAAGATTTTAAAAAAATTATGTCAGATAAAGGGAATTTATATCAAGGGTTTAAAAAAAATTTCTATTAATTTGTTCATTTTTTAAAAAAACTATAGCAATTTAAAGCTCAAAGCTTATTTCTAAAATTGAAAATTTGAATATAAAAGTAACATGATTTTTAACTAAACTAGTAATTTGTAAATAGTGAATAAGGTCAGGACAATTTTTTTTAACTTATAAGCTTTAATTTAACATAAGTTTAAAGTTTGTACTATTTCTAGAATATTCTCAAAAGTCACCTTATTTTTTTTTTTTGAAAATAGCTACTTTGAATACCTCTGAAGGCAGAGTAAGGATAAATAATTGACGCATTAATAAAAAAAATATTTGTTTTAATTCAATCATTTTTAAAAAAGTTGTGACAGTTTAGTCCAGTGAGGGATAAGAAAAAGTAGAGATGGAAAAGATAAAATATTTATAACATCTTCTCAGTTTTGCATATAAACTAAATATAAAAATGTTTTGAAAAATTGTTCACAAAAAAGGGACAAGTTTCTTCAATTACTACCCATTAGAATTATTAACTAATCATTTCAACAATAGTGGCAATAATTTTTCATTGAAAAATAGTAATAAGAAAAAAATTCAGTCACGACTTGGAATAGAAAATTCTTAGATTAAAATCACTATTACTATAATTTCCATCATATTGTGTTTAAAGACAGGTTAATTATCTTAATCTTAGAACAATTATAATTTTAATACAAATTGAATTTGAAATCTATCATAAACTATTAGTAGCTAGAACATGTTTTCAAAATGAAGAAATCCCAAAAAGCTAGAATATGCTTATTGGACGTTGAATGTTAATTAGATAAATACACTGATATTTACAAAATCTTTCCTAAAAACATTTGTATTTAAAAATAATTAAATATATTTTATTATTTTTTTTAAGGAGACTGTTGTTTATAACAATAAAGATAATTATTAACACCTTCCATGTCCTCTTTATGTTTTTACTGTTTTGGCTTAAGTATAGGCTCTAAAATTTGAAATAAATAATTGAAGAAGAAAATCCCTCTAACTTTTTTGGTCCTTTAAAGTGAAAGTTTTAATTAAAAAAAAATGACTTTATTACCATAACTTTAGCTCAACTTGCAAATTTGAAATTAATATTATTAAATAGAAAAAAATGAAATTGTTAAGATTAATATGCAATCAGGAAATTTTATAATTATTATTTACAGTAAATGTATCAGAAAAGTTAAATTTTTTTTTACATTTTTTACGTTATGGATCACTTAAATAAAAATCATAAAAATCATTTCCAATTAACTTTTGGCGTTTAAAAATTCTACAATTGAAATATGCAGAACTCAATTAATTTTAATGATTTACTTTAAATAAAAAAACCAATAAAAAAAAATATTTAAAAAGATTTACTCAATTGTGAGTGTATTATAAAATTTGATTATAATTGTAAAAATCCATCGTTAAATTCAGGTGAAACTAAAAATTATTTTTTTTGAAATTTAAGATTTATATAGCAACATGTTACAAAAAAATTTGGAATAATTTAGACTGGTAGTAGCACACACAAATAGAGTTAAAAAAATAAAAAATTACAAAGTAAAATTATTTACTTTTGTAGTTGAATACTTTTATCATATCAAATCTAATTCGACATAAATACTTTAAGAATATTAGATATTAAAGATTTTAATTGTTTATATGGAATAAGCTGGTTAAGCTACTTTTTATTTGAATAAGGAATATTTTTTCGATTTTTTAGAGTAATAACTTAAACTAAATACGAATTATAATCATTTGATGTATCGTTGAAAAAAATATAAATTTCTTCTTACGAGGGGAGATTATAGTGATAGGATCCTTTAAATTTATTGAATTTATTGAATTTAAATGAGATAAATATCAAATGATTTGAAAATTTTATTGTAATTCAAAAAAAAATGCAAAATATAAATTGCCACAGACGAATTTGAACCTCGTACCCTAAGGCAACTGTTCGTTGATTTTGTCGCATGATAAAATTAGTTATTTAAGCTAACTCAAATTTAAAACTTACTTTTTTGACATTAAAAGAGTAAAAAATTTTTAAAAAGTTTAATTTCTTGTGTCTTATGAACTTTATTCTTTGTCATTCAAATTATATAATATTCATGATAGTCAGTGTATTCCCCTAATAAGATATTTTAAAATAAAATAAAATACAAAACCCAGAATTTTAATAAAAAATAGCATATTTTTGAATACGGTAGCCATTTGCGCATAGAATATAGGTCGTCGGGATAAATTTTTTTTTTTCATTTAATAGTACATGACATAAGCTTTAATTTGACATATGTTTCAAGGAAGCAGTATTTCCAGAACATTTTCAAAAATTAAGTTGAAAAAGTTAGTTTTTGTAAAAAAGTTGCTATTTTAAATCCCCTTTGTGAGCAGAATAAGTATTAGATTTTCAAAATAAAAATGATATCAAATGAAAGGGAAATATCTAAGGTTTTAGTATAAAAAAAAATTATGTTGATTTGTTGATTTTTGAAAAAGTTATGGAAGTTTTAAGAAAAAAAAGTGAAAAAAATGCGAAAATTAGCGATTTTTAAATTTGTAATTTTTTTGGATATTTCCCCCCATTTGTGGGGAACGAGGGAATTTTTTTCAATTTTTAAGGGTAATGTCTTCAACTAGATACGATTTGTGATATTTTGACGTATTGTTGAAAGAAATCGGTCCAGTGAGAGCTGAGAAAAAGTGGCAACAGACATAAAAAAAAAAAACACATCATGGTAAAATTAATACCTTCTCAGCTTCGCATCGAAGCTAAAACTGGAATTATATAATAGCAATTTGGTTAATAAACAAAAAAAAATTTTTTTTATCTTAAATAATATTCATATTTGTCCCTAAAAATTCTGAATCTTCTATTTAACAATTTAATTTAAAAAATAATTATTGAATATTTTTGTTATTATATACCCTTAAATAAAAACAACTTACGTTTTTGGCAGTTTTCATTATAAGACAAGCTAGATTAAAATACATCTGATTTGATATATGGTGTATTAAACTTCGATAAAATTCAGTTTGTATAGATGGCATCTGTATAGCTTTATATAAAGCTTGATCTAGCCTGAAGTAGAAAAATACATTTTTTTATAAACAAAATTTAAATAGTAAAAATATAATTTGTGTAAGGGCTATCAGCAGTAAATTTAGTTAAATAAACAACTTCTATCATTGATCAATTTTAGAAATATATCGAAACAGGAACTATGAACTATTTTATTTTTAGTATAGTATATTAATTTATAAATTTTGTAAAATTTCCATAAATTTCTGAAATATTAGACATTTTTATTTAAGAGCTTTTAATTTACTATTTTCTTAAGTTTATCTTTAAATTTTATTAAAAAAATAAGAAAATATGACTCCCTTATTTTTAACATATTTTTCTATTAAATACTAATAAACAAAAAAAAAAAAAATTTAAATGAAGTTAGAATAAAATTTAAGTGGCTGTAAATTTTTGCTAAATATAGAGCTAATTAATAAGTAAGTCTAATTTTGTAAGTAGAATCTATTATAAATAACTTTTTACCATAAACCCATAAAGCTTTATTAGTCAAACATAAGTATTTTATTAATTTTAATAACACATTTCAAGGATTTTTAGTGAGTAAAAGCATAGAATTTTAAACTCTTTAAATTCAGATTTACATTATAGAAAATATTATTATCAATAAACTATTTTCAAATAATCATAAAAATAATTTTATACATTTATGTTACTAAATTTCTATTTTAATCATTTTTAAACTTGCTACTCTAACTTACAATGAATTAAATTCTAATATATTTTTCTCCGTATAAAATGTTTATATCTGCTTACTGAAAATAGCATTTGATTTAATAATGTAAAAATTAACATTAAGATTTATATGTTATTATGAAATTTGTTATCACTTCATTAATTCTTAAATCAATACAAATTTACTAGACGTATATAAAGCCTCATTATCAAAATTAATCATTCAGATTTTTTTATCAGTTTTTTCTAAGTATATGCTAAGTCTTTTGGGTAGAAAATTTTTTTAGGAATTTTACAATCTTTAATAGTTTCTCCTATGCAAGCATTATATCAAAAAGAAAAAACATTAGGGATTAACCAATGTGTTTATTGCTAATTAAAAAGTGTAAAAGCATAAAAATTATACATTTTTACACACACAACTTTTATTTTTAATAGCCACATTCCAAATACTCTATTGCTATTTAGAATACAATAATCAATTTTAAAGATTCTTTTAGTGCAACAACCACCAGATGTTTCTGGTAATTAATATGATGTGATAAAATATTATCTATTATGAAAAATATTAATGATTAGAAATGTGAACAATTTTCACAATATTAAAATTATCTAATTCACTCTATATGTTGAAAATGAGCTATTTTTGACAATATTTAAAAATATATTTTTTTTTCAAGAAAAATTTTTAATGTTAATGAATGTATAAAACTTGTTATTTTTTTAATTAAAGAAATAAAAAAAGAAACATTAAAATTTAGAATAAACATCAATTAATTGGTAGTGATGAATAAATATTTTTTTGGAAAAAGGATGTTGATTAATTTATTGTATTTTAAATAAATATTTAAATTATAAAAATGTGTTATTTTGTTTTGAGTATAAATGAAAATATGCCTCTAAGATTAATATATTTAAGATGATTTAAACAAGTTAAAACTGCATATAAATCTAAGCTGTTATTATATGTATACCTATAAAGATATTTGTAACACTCAGATATTTCATTACACTTATTTTTTAAGTCGGCTATCTTCAATGAAACTAGACGGTCATATATAGGTAATACTGTCAAATAAAATTCCCACTGGACTTGATTAGAATTTTCAAAAGACTTAAAAAATAAAAATAAAATATAATTATTAAAGCTTTTTTATGATTATATCAATAAAAAATAAATTAAAGAATAAGTTTACTTCACAAATTTGGGATGCTATGATATACCAATCAATATTGTTTTTTTGGAAATTAGAGGTTTTTTCAATATTAATCACATAGTTGAAGGCTTCAAGTAAACGATTAGTGCTTTCAAATAATTTTAACTGTTTTATTCTAAAATTCACATCATCTGGTCTCGTTATAGTTTCCACTATATATAATAATAGCATTTTTTTTTTTAATATAAAAATAAGTTATACTGATAAATTTAAACAATATATTATACCTGTTAGACTGTTTCCAACTTTAGAAGCATCATAACTATTGTTAGATGTTACCAATCTTTCTCGTAACTTAGAAACTGATGGATGATATGGATACAATGCTTCGACTTGTTCACATATTGTTGTGGCTTGAATATCATCAAACTTAATAGAAGAATCTATTAGAAGTTCACAACCTTAAAACATAATTTCATTTATACATTATGCTACAATTATGAAAAATTAAAAAACCCATTTTATATGTATAATTAAAAATTAACATATATTTAAAAATTAATTTTTAAAATGGAACAACCATAAAATGGGATGAAAATATCAAAAAATTATATTAAACTCTAGACCTACAATGATAATCAAAAATTTTTATCATAATTTAAATTTTAAACGAGTTCTTTAAAAATATTTTTGAGTACTTAAACTTTAATACTCTAAGATATAAAATTCTTAATTTTATAAATAAATAGTCTTTAATGAATATAAAAATTATGCACTGTAAATATTTTAGATAATAACAGAGCATACTTAACATATACAAATCAATTTAAAAATTGTTAGAGCATTATTCAAGTAAATTTAAGGAACATAAAAGAAAATAGACACTATTTGAATCATTGAGTTAAGAAAGGGGTCATAACATTTTTTGGTAAACTTATTATATCATGCAAGTTAAGTTTTTAACACATAAAAAAATATTGGGTGTTGAAAAAAGGCATTTCTTATAATAGATTAAAATATTTGTTGAGTGCAAAATCTAGACATGTCCTAATTAACACATACTATAAATATAGCTTTATCAATAATAAATCAAAATTTTCTACTGGATTTTATAATAAAATTTAAATTTGTATTTTAACTTAACATTTACAGTATGTACTTTTTAGCTTTGATGCGAAGCTGAGAAGGTATTGGTTATACTATGATATGTTTTTTTTTTTTACTTAAAATAGCCATAACTTTTTAAAAATAATCAAATCAATATAATTTTTTTTTATATAGATGCATGATATCATTACCTTTCATTTGGTATATTTTTTTTATAAATCTGACTCTTTACCTGCCCACAGGGAGGGATTCAAAATGACAACTTTTTCAACTTAACTTTTTAAAATGTTCCGGAAAATCTGACACTTTTATATATATCATAAATTAAAGCTAATGTAATATACTTTATCATGGAAAAAAAAATTATTTAATTTTTATGGTGAAAACAGACATCAAAGTTACTAAAAAAAAATTCTTTTTTATATTTTTAACTTTATAATGCTATAACTTTTTGATAGATGTCTGGATCAATATAATTCTTTTTTTTTATGGATGCATGATGTCTTTAACTATCATTTGGTATATTTTTTTTATAAATCTGAGTCTTTACCTGTCTACAAGGGGAGATTCAAAATGACAACTTTTTCACAAAAAATTTACTTTTTCAACTTAACTTTTGAAAGTGTTACAGAAAGTCTGACACTTTTATATATTTCTTAAATTAAAGCTAATATAATGTACTTTATTATGCAAAAAAAAAAAATTTCGGACTTTATTTTCTCTTCATGGTAAAAATACAACAAATACTATTTTTGTGTGAAAATTCTCGATTTTATTTTTTACAATTTTAACTTTATAATTCTATAACTTATTGAAAAGTGTATGGATCAACACAATTTGTTTATGAGAAATAATATTTTTTAATAATCCCTTTTTTATTCGACATACTTTATCTTAATCAGGATATCAATAAGGAAATAGCAGATCATGTAGCTTTTGGAATAATCCACCAATTTTTTAAAATTAAACACTATCTAAAGATTTGCATCAAAGCTTTTTTTTTTTATAGTTATTTTAATCACTGACAGATATCATTATATTTGATCCAACTATGCTAGGTGACCACTGTGCCGCGTCTCCCTGTGCTGAATTTTTAATTTATTTGGTTTAATTATAATAGTAGGTTTTAACTAGTTAATTTTTCAGAAATACAAATTAAAGAAATACTATTTGATTATTTGTAATTTTTTACTAACATTAACTTAAAAGATTATTTACATTTAAATATAAATAATTTAGTTTTAGTCAATGATTTAGATAATTAAAATAATTGAATCTAATATAAATAGAGAAAAAAAATGGTATTAGTTTCTTTAGCATTTGAATTCAAATAGTTTATTTTAAATCCAGTTTAAATGTTGAGTAAAGTTTTAATACTAAAAAATGCTATGTTGATCATTTTTATAGTAATTAATTTATAACTCAACAATAAAAAGTTACTTACAAGACAATAATAATTCTGGTTGATTAGGAGAAATAGTTAATGATTTTTGAAATTCAGAGAAAGCCTTTTCCTTTTTTCCAAGTTTCACATAACACTGACCAAGTAAACGATGACCTTCAGGTGAATTTTCATTTACGCTTAAGTAAGTCATAACATATTGTTTAGCAAGTTCAAACTCGCATACTTTGTAATACATACGAGCAAAAGATAATCCATTTTGTTTTTTCTAAAATAAAATAATGAATATTAGCAATTTAATCTAATTGTTAATTTAATTTTTTTATTCAAATCATCTTAAAGTTACTTAATGTTTGTATTAAAGAAAATAAGTAAACCTGTACAGCTCGGAGGAACATAATTTAATCTTTAAATTAATGCACCAAGGTGTAACACATTCCTGACTATACTATACACAGGTTGCCTAATGTTCTAGATAATCTATATATTATTTAAACTAAAATTTTAAAATGTTCAGATAATTTGTTGTTTCAAAAACTTTCCTTAATATAAGAAATATAAGTAAAAAGAAATTGTAATATAATAATGTTGAGTTATAAGTCAAAAATTTTTAAATTATTTCTTATAAAGCTGATGATGTTTAACATTTATGAAAAGAGTACTATGTACATAATTAGGGCCAGAAAGTGAATGCATATATATATTTTGTTGAAGTGACTCTAAATAGTGTTAAGTTTATGTAACGTTGTAGTAGAAATATATGGCAGCATAGAAATTTTTTTTTGTTTTTGAAATTGGGGGATAAAACTTCTTAATCCACAAAAAACTAAACCTCAATAACTATACATTACAAAGTTGTTTAATAAAAATTTTACTGACCGGTGGTATGTTTAGAATAACTTAACAGTTATAAATGCATAAAATATGAAAACTCTTCTCAATTAAGACTTCTAGTATCTAATAAAATTAAACCTTCTCTAAATGGAAAAAGTCTATAAACCCGGTTTTATATGGATTAAAATTAACTTGTTAAATGAAAATCTTCATTTAATGAATAAAAATTTAGTCTGCTTATATTTTATGATTTTACTTGAGATTACAGAAATTATAAAGTTTTAGATAATTTAACATTTAAATAGATCATAGATAAAGTTATTAAAATAAAATTTTTATTCTTGATAGGATTAGTCAATTCCCCTAATATTAATATTACAATTTTATAGTTTTAAAATAATTCTTATTCTAAAGGAAGCTTAAGGTATTTTTACAACCTTTAAAAAGATTCCATTAAATCTTGCACATAGAAATAACCATTATCCTCTACCTGATTCGATTTTTAAATTAACATCACTAAATAACAACATACACTCTCTACATTTTTTTTATTAATAATAAAAAGAAACGAGCTGTATTTAGTTTGTTTACAAACCTCGTGTACGTTGGGGACTTTTTTCAAGTGTTCTTCAATTAGGCGATCGACATCTTTTTTAGAACGGTAAAGCCCGGACTTTATATTACCAATCATTTTTAATTAAGACTCAATTATAAAATTAAAAAAACACATGAAAAGTAAAATTAAGCTCGGTACGATATAAATATTGAAATAGAAACGAAAAATATTGTCTATTTAACAGTTGTCAAGTAGATTATCAGCAACTCACATTTATTGATAAAAAAATTTAGATAAAAAAAATTTAAAGTAAAATAATAATCCTTAAATTTAAATCGATAAATAATTGATTACGAATAAATAAAAATGTTGTTGATGATCCCACAATAGACCAAAAAATATCCAATACAAATAAAATCCTATAAACACAATCTTTCAGAAGCACGCACCATCACTGAACAACTGCCCGCATTTGTAACCTGTATTCCCGAGAAAAACGGTTATTGTACAATATTTGGTTCAACGTTTATATGTATTATCTGTAGAACGCAAAATGGCTTAATGATAAGACTGGCATACTACAACCCCGGTTGTTATTTTATTATTTCCGCTTGGGATAACGATATTACTACAGCAAGTCAATTCAACGACTCTCTTTGATTTTTTTACTTCGAATATATATAGAAACTGTAAGAAGGCCTAATTATTATAATTTAAGGAAATCCGTTATTAAAACCTTGATATTCCATATTCCACAACGGCACTTATAGTTTTACTATACGACTTTATAGCTAATACAACTAAACAGTGATAATTGGGTCACCAGATGCCACGAAAATTCCATTGGGACACTTTTCTTATTTATGTAAACTTTACATATACTTTGTTCTGAAGGGCTCAATATTAAAAATTATTTTATAATAGCACATGATTTGAATTAGGAAGATTTGATAATTTGTTTAGAAGTAAAGTTATTAACAATTAGGTGTATACGTATTTCGTAAACAATTAAGAAAAAATTTTTCAAGTTCATCGGTAAAGAGGGAGGAGGGAAAAAATTACACTTTTATGTTTTGTATTATTTATTACAGATAACATAATAAGAAAATTATACTATTTTTTTATTTCATTTTTAAAATTTTTTTCAGTCAATAATATTTTGTCCAATATAAAAATTTTTACACCACTTTACAATCAAATTTGATTAGGTAAGTGGTTTTTTAAATATGTTACAGAAAATGGAAGGCCCCCTGCCACCCTCTGGTATTGCCACTGGCTATATACTACCTTTTTTGTTACCAAATAAAGAGTTGATTAACTACTAGATTAATCGCAAAATAAATAAAACCCAGCATAGTGGGGTGGTGGCACAGTGGGGTCGTGGCATAGTTGGGTCCAGTATAGATGATATCTGACAGTGATTAAAATCACTATCATAAAAAACGCTTTGATGCAAAACTGTAGAGTGTTTAATTAAAAAAAAAAAATTTGTCAAAAAAGTAAGTCAAATGAGAGCTGAGAAAATAAATGATAGCTACAAAAAAAAAGCACATAGTAAAATAATATTAATATGAATTTCTTCTCACGAGAGGAGACTACAGTAATGGAATTTTTGATATTTATTGAAGTTATTGATTCTAAATGAGATAAAAATCAAATGAGTTAAACATTTTATTTTAACTCAAAAAGAATTAAAAAAAAATTCAGTGCCACAGTCGTGAAAGACCCAAGTGTTACCGTCTCAAAAACCATACGCCTCATTCGTCACTTAATAAAAATGGAAATTTAGCTAGCTCAAATTTTAAAGTTATTTTTCTCGACTTCAAAGAAACAAACAAATTTAAATATGATTAATTTTTTATACTATGTCATTTAGATTGATATAATATTTATGAAAATCAGTGTAATCCCCTTATAATAAAATAAAATACAAAACCAAGAATTTTAACATAATAATAGCATATTTTTAAATACGGTAGCTATTATCACCATGTATTCTCCTAATAAGATATTTTAAAATAAAATAAAATACAAAACCTCGAATTTTAATAGAAAAATAGCATATTTTTGAATACGGTAGCCATTTGCGCATAGAATATAGGTCGTCGGGATAAATTTTTTTTTTTCATTTTATAGTACATGACATAAGCTTTAATTTGATATATGTTTAAAAAACGCAGTATTTCCAGAAAATTTTCAAAAATTAAGTTGAAAAAGTTGCTATTTTAAATCCTCTTTATGAGCAGAATAAGTATTAGATTTTCAAAAAATAAAAATGATATCAAATGAAAGGGAAATATCTAATATTTTAGTATAAAAAAAAATTATGTTGATTTGTTTATTTTTGAAAAAGTTATGGAAGTTTTAAGAAAAAAAAGACAAAATTTACCGATTTTTAAATTTGTAATTTTTTTGGATATTTCCCCCATTTGCAAGAAATGAGGGAAAATTTTTCAATTTTTAAGGGTAATGTCTTCAACTAGATACGATTTGTGATATTTTGACGTATTGTTGAAAGAAATCGGTCGAGTGAGATCTGAGAAAAAGTGGCAACAGACATAAAAAAAAAAAAAACACATCATAGTAAAATTAATACCTTCTCAGCTTCGCATCGAAGCTAAAATGTTAGAAAAATGATAATTGATTTCTTTTAGTTACTTGTCTTTCTTGATTTATCAGCTAAGAAATCATATAAGCCTTAAAATCATCCCTTATATCTTAAAGGGGTGTCAACTTTATTTTTTTTAATGGGGTAACATACATATTTATTTAACTAATACAATAGAAAATTATGTAATGAAGAATGTGACTGACCGATAACAACTTTTGGATTAATACTTTGGATGTTCCTCTAATTTTTTTTATCTAGACGAGATTAGTGATAAAAATAGCATCACTAACTCCATAACCTCAGTAAGTACTTTAAATTGTTAATAACTTCTGAATTACAGGTCCTAAAGTTGTTATCAATCAGTCTCTTTTTTAATTAAATCATTTATTATTTATAAGATAGTTAAATATATATGATGCCATTTAGAAACTTTTCTTTTTTGTCAAAAAAAATTTCTTTTGAAGTTCAATTTTTTACAGTAAATATTTGTTTAAATTTTTAAAAACTAAGGTTTTTGTCTATATTTGGTTACTATAAGTGCAACTAGATTAAAATCGTGTTTTTTTAAGGTGTTATTTTAATACTTTAATTTATTTATTAAAATTTATTAAGTGGAAGCTGATAATTTTTATGGATAGACAATTAGCATTCATATTCTAGTTTCGCATCGAAACTAAAAAAACACAACAAAAAATGTTAAAAGAACTTACTTAATTGAGCGTAATATAAAAATTGATTATAATGGTACAAATTTATTGTTAATTTCTGATAAAACACAAAATAATTTTTTTAAAAATTTATCAGTAACATATTACCAAAATAATTGTAACACTTTAGAATGGTTTTAGACAATACAAATAGAGTCAAAGAAGTAATAAATAACAAAATAAAATTATTTAACTTTGTAGTAGAATCCTATTATAATATAATACCAAATTTGACAATATATACATTGAAAACATTAGAAATGAATGATTTTAATTATCTATATGGAGAAAATTGGTTATGCAACTTTTTATTTGATTAAGGGGATTTTTTTATAATTTTTGAGGGTAATTGAGGGTAAATAATGCTATAACTTTTTGAAAAATATATGAATCAATACAATATATTTTTATGAGAAGTACTATTTATTTATTTCTTTCATTTGACATACAATTTTTTTAATCGGACCATTTCCCGTTTATACAGGGGTGGTTCAAAACTTTAAAATGCGTATAGAAAGTAGAACTCTTTCAACTTATTTTTAATTAAAATATGGTTATTGATTATTGATACGTAACCTAATAATCAAACATAAATATTTATGACATTAATTAGAAGGATTTTGTTATTATTTAGGCCATATGCGAAAGTCTAATGGCCGATTTGAAATCGGCGCAAAAATGTATTTAGGAAAGTATATATTGGTCTCGGATGAAAATTCCTTGTAGACCAGTAGATTTATTCATAAATAACGAACAATTTTTTTTTAATTGTTGTATCAAGACCTTCAACTTTTATATACGTTTGCCATAAAAGTAATTATTACTATATAATTTTTTATAATTACTCTGTAAAAATTACAATAATAAATCATTAAATATCAATTTCATAGTATACTTAATTGCTATAATAAATATTTATTCATATATTACACTTATAAATCATAAAACTTGTAATTAGTATATAAATAAGGAAATAGGAGATCATGTTGCTTTTGGAATAATCCACCAATTTTTAAAAATTAATAGATTTTTGCATCGAAGCGTTTTTTATGATAATGATTTTAATCACTGTCAGATTAAATCTATACTGAGTCAAACTATGCCACGAACCCACTATGTTAGGTTTTTTTTGTTGCAATTTCTGATTAAATACATGCAACGATTACCGCAGTTACTATCTGATAGTTACTTACAGACACCGCTAGAGGGCGCTACCTCTTTTTATTTTTATTTTATTTTAAATATGTTATATTATGTTTTTTATTATTATTTATAATATAAGCAAATTATAAGAGAAATAAAAAATTCGTTAAATATCTATAATACTCTATATTATACTTGGGAGCCAAATTGTTGAATTGTATTAGTAGCTGTAAATAAAAGTCATGCATTTTTTGATAAAGTTCAGAGACATGTTCAAGCAATAATTTTATACCAAATAAAAGTTTACAAAATTTCGTATTTGGTGGTATAAGACGCAAATGATACTAGTGTACAAGTAACACCGATGAGAGAAAATGCTGGTATGTTCATAATATTCATCAGAGTGACTATCAAAATAGACTAAAAATGTCTATTCTTTTAACGATCTAATCGAGAACTATCTTAGACCGAAGGATTGTATTATTATAATTCATATTTGAAAAGACACATCAGTAGAGACAATTATATAACACAACACTCGATAACCAACAATGTTTGACAAAATACATCAAAATAAACAGAAAACATAAAAACTTTTTGAGAACAAGCACGTGTAAAGATCGATTGAGTAATTTGGCAATTTTGCAAATAAAACGCGAAAGAACAATTTTAATTGTTAAAGATGATGTATATCAATTTTTAATTCTAGTACTGAAAAGCGATTACTTCTTTAACAATAGTATAAATTGTTATTGTTATATAATAATACATTTTTTGTAAATTTTAATATCTTGTTTATTTAATAATGTATCATAGTTTCTATAATTTGTTTAGTCAGATGAAAAGTTGTATTTTTGATAAAATGAAAACATATATTATTATATTTTTTTGTATACAGAGCGAGTCCCGAAGATGTGATAAACCAAAAAAATTCTGGTCTAAAAAACATTTGACTGTAACATTTTATTTTGCAAATTTTGCATTTTTAGACTATGTTAAAAGCATATTTTTTATAATTTATCTTTAAGGAAACAATAAAAATAAATAAATTTCTAATTTTTATGGAATTTTAAAATGCCCATTTTATAACTATTTTATTACAATAAAAATTAATAGGTAATTTTCACTTTAGGATACACATTACACATACAAGTATTTTAATATAATAAGTGGGTATGAAGCGCACATGAGTATAGGTCATATTAATGTATGTGCACTCCACCTACGCTGAAATGTGAAAAGCATGCAGTACATAGTTGTTTGGGTCGCTTATTTTTAATTTTTTCGCTTATTTTTATAAGTTTAAAAACTTAAAACTGGATAAAGGGAAATCAAAATCGCTGTTAGCCTCTCAGAAAACATTTAGCTGAAATTACGCTGCTGTTTCATCATGACCATAAAGAGAAGGGTTCGAGGGAAGTGAATACATCTGTTTAGACTACTCAAACATTCTTTCCTTTTCTGTATACCAATTTTGTTTATTAAAATACCTCAATATAAACACGATAATATTCAAATTTTAAATTATTCTAGAAATTTAACTACATAAATCATCCAGAGATTTTGCCATCAAATTATTTCTCATAATGGAAATTAGTATTTTAGTTCTATTAAATTTTTTATTAAGTTTATAAATCTTCCCCTTGGCTCAATTAATATACAAGATGGAATTCTATTCATTGTACATTTAATTTTAAAATTTTACGCATGCTTTCTATTGTGACTATAAAGGAATACATCCAATTTTCAGGTTTCTAAAAAGAAAAAACTTGTTGTTTAAATACAGAAGGTGTAAAAAACAAATATATGTAGTGAATACGTGTAACTTAACACATGTTTCAATAATTGATACACTGGCAATGGTCTAAAAATCTCCCACCCATGACAGATCTACAAAAATTAAAACAAAATAACATATGTTATAAATTTTAAGTCTAATAAATGGTATTTATACTATTCGAATACTTGATAAATTTTAATTTTTAGTAAGTAAATACTTTTACAATGTAATGAATATTATAACTATAATAATTAGTATTTATGTTTTATAAGTATTCTACTGTGTTATATTTTTTCCTTATTGCATAGCTTAATTCTTAAGTTCAACGAGTAGTGCGCCAAAATTCTAAGGATGTCAACTCTACAAGCTCGTCACCGGGGACATAATATACCTGATGGAGTGACAACATTTAACGAAATAGAATATGATAGAGAAGGCGGTATATTTCTAAACAAGGCAAAACTTATTTTACTGGGAGTTATCATGCTCTTATTAATAGCACTATCAGTCGTTCTAGGACGTTATTCAGTTGAAAGACAAATAAGGCCAGTATGTATAATATAAAGTTATTTTTCTAATTTTAAAACTTCTAACATTTATTTTAATCTTATAGCACACATATATGTGAACATATATATATGTATGATAATATGTGCAAAAATAAAACGCAGAGATGTTAGATATTTCAATGCAAAATGTAAAGTTGTTTAATGTCTTCATTTTAATTGCCAATCTTACTGCACGTACAGTAGTAGTCAATATTATAAAACACCCCCAAATAATATATTTCACGCGTTTAGATTTTGGGCTTGATTTTCGGCAGCCATTTGCACATAAAAGATAATGTAACACTTTTTAACACATCATAAGGACGCACTATTTCTATAACATTTTCAAAAGTTGAAAATATTAATTGTTAATACAAATATTGCTACTTTGAATTCACCCTGTGGTCAAGTATAGGTTTAGATTTCAAAAAATTATGTTTTTCTTTTAGTGTATGTAAAAATGTCTGTAGTATTACGAAGTGATGAAAATTTTTTGTATACCAAGTTCTTTCAATTCTTTTATATAACTTTAAAGTTGTTAATCTTAATATAAGATAAAGTGCAGCATTAACTATTTGTGAGTGTACTATTTTCTGGGAAAAAACACGAATACCTACTCGTACATTTTGGCACTGTGTAAATGATTCAGCTTAAATTATTATCTTCGATGCGAAGCTGAGAAGGTATTAATTTTACTATGATGTGTTTTTTTTTGTGTTTGTTACCACTTTTTCTCAGCTCTCACCAAACCGATTTTTTCAACGAATGTCAAAAGATCACAAATCGTATTTAGTCGAAGACATTACCCTCGAAAATTAAAAAAATTTCCCTCGTTCCTCGTAAATGGAGGAAATCTCCTAAAAAATTATAAATTTAAATATCTAATTATGGACATTTTTTTTACTTAGAACTGCCATAAATTTTTAAATAATGATTACATCAATAGAATTTTTTTTTTTATAGATGCATAATGTCTTTACCTATCATTTGATATATATATTTTTTATAAATTTGACCATTTAACTGCCCACAGGGGGAGATTGAAAATGACAACTTTTTAAAGTGTTACGGAAATACTGACACTTTATATATATATTAAATTAAAGCTTATGTAATATTCTTTATTATGGAAAAAAAAATTTCGGACTTTATTTTGTTTTTATGGTGACAATAATTATCGAATGCTATTTTTCTGTGAAAATTCTCGATTTTATATTTTTAACTTTATAATGCTATAACTTATTGAAAAGTGTATGGATCAATACAATTTTTTTATGAGAAATAATATTTATGTCCCTCTTTTATTCGACATATTTTTTTTTTAAATAACACCATTTTTCTTAATATATATATATATATATATTTGTTTATTCATATATCAAACTTATAAATCATATAAATTGTAATTAGGATATAAATAAGGAACTAGCAGATCATGTAGCTTTTGGAATAATCCACCAATTTTTTTAAATTAAACACTATCTACAGATTTGCATTGAAGCGTTTTTTTATAGTGATTTTAATCACTGTTAGATGTCATTATACTTGACTCAACTATGCCACATCCACACTGTACAGCGACCCTACTGTGGTGGGGTTTTTTTTCTTATTTAGATTTGATTTGTAGGAAATCTTTCAGAGGAGACTCTAGGTATAAAAAATTCTAAATTAATAATAGTAATATAAGTTCTTTAAATTATGTTTGTAAAAACAAAGAAATTTAATTATACATTATTTTTAGTACTTTCCTCTACAGTAGTGGTTAACATTGTAAGACACCCCCAAATCATATATTTCACGCGTTTAGAATTTGGGCTCTTACCCAATCGTAGACATTTAAATCATAAATTCATGAAACTTTTGCCTTTGTATAATATGTTCACAATATTAAAATAAAAACGCTTATTTTGCATTAGTTCTATTTGCAACATAATTTTTACTTACATTTTCGTTAAAAATGTTATTTCTGCAAATACAGAAAATGTCAGTCATTAAATCATTTTAAAGGCTTTCAAAACAATGTTTACTAATATCCAACTGCGTAATTTTTTTCTACATGTTATTTGGATAATTAAGTTTTATGAAAAAAATTTTCAAGCCATCCAGTTAAAAAAATTCAAACCACAAGCAAATAATGAGAATTTTTAAGCAAGGTAAAATTAGATATTGTTAGTAATTTACTGACAAAGAAGTTAATTTATTTAATATGATAGGAAAAATCACATAAAAACGTATTAATGTTTTTGTATATTTATATTTTATGTTATTTCAAAAAAATGATATAAAAACGTAATATAGATATTTAGTAACTTACAAAATAAAATAAAACATTATATTTTTTTAAAAAATTTTCAAAACATTGATAATATTTGGAAACCAAACGTCTTTTTTTTAATTTAATAAAATAAAACGACATATTGTATATTATAATTAACATAAAATAATTATAGGCATTTATTTAACAGTTTATATGTTCAATTATTTAGTATTTAGTTGTCCCACCTTTAGCTTCATAACAAGCTTGAATTCTTCTTATCATTATTCTGAAAGTGTCCTACAGTAAATCTGACTAAAATTTTGTCAAGCAAAGGCTATTTCTTTTTTGACTAATCGAGATTGCGCTCATTGATCATTCTCTCAATTTGATCCCAAGCATTTTTTTTTATGTTGAGGTCTGGGGAACGGACAGGCCATTCTAAAAGAGGAATTTGGTTATCATTCATACATTTTGAATTTTTCTTGAATGTGTGACATGGAGCGTTATCTTGCCGATAATACAAAATTTTGCGTCTTTCGAAAACTTTTTTTAAGAGGAAGCATATAATTCTCCATAATTTGAAAATATTTGTCACTATTTACTGTATCTTGTACAAAATTCTATTCCTTAGTTCCTTTTCCTGACAAGTAGCCCCATACCATTATAAAACTACCGTCTTTCTGAACTTTCGCGGCAAGATAATTGCTATTGCATTTCTCACTACTCGTGCGTCTCATTCGTTTTAGTCGATCAGAGAAGAGTTGGAACGATTACGTTTCTAAATAAATTTGTTAAAATAATATAAAATATATATTTTTATGTGATTTTTACCAGCATATTGAATAAATTAACTAATCATGGAAAATTGTTTTCTTAATATAACTTCATTGAAAAATTTTTCTTCTTTGTTGTTCACGAAAATGTTCAAAAATTGTTTTTGGCTATGGGGACCAATAGCATCAACGTGACGGGAACTGAACAGCGACACACACCTTGCCACTATACTAATTCCCTCTGCTATAATAATGTTACATCAAATCGCTAAGACAATAGTGACCCCAAAAAGTTGAAATGGAGGTTATGGCGATGATGATTAAATGACTGATAGTGGCTTTAATAAATAAGTTATCCTGTTTTTATCTCAACATAAACCACTCTCTCCTACATCATTTTTTTTGACTTTCTAATTAGTTATGTTTTGAATTATTAAAGACACAGGAATCTTTCTAGGTAATTTAACATTTTATTTATTTCTAGGATTTACATTTTTATCGATTTGAATACTGAAATAGGATTTTAGTTACTATTTATAATATACACATATTAAATAAGGGAAATACCATTCGTATGTTTAATAAAAATAAATGAAAGTAACTGGAATAGAGAAAGAACTTAAAGAGTTATACAAATATTTAAACTAATAAAAGGAAACTGCAATATAAAAATCATAAATTGTTTGGTAACTTTTATTCAACGTCTACAAAAGTATAAAATAAAATATAAAAATATATTAATATTCGGTGTTATTAAATTTTTACTTATTTTCATTATTTGTTTACCATGAGTATACGATACCTCAAACCAATTTTTAGAATATTTTATTTTACCATTGAGTAAGTTATTAATTATTTGAAATATGACTAATATTAACTTGCATATATTTAATACATGTATTATATTGCATAACTATTACGCTATCTACTACTAGGAAAATGAAAATCATCGTAGATAATGTTTTTTTTGTATAAACAGGGCCTCAACTTTGGTAATGATTGCCCGGTGGTTGGTTTTACATAATAGTTCAAATATGCATATTAGAGATTAAATAGTATATTCAAGAATTCAAATAGTGTTTTGGGAGTTATTAATTATTTTTTACAATAAGTTTTATTATTTGCTGGTTTTAATGAACTCTAATAATTTAAGGCATTCTGCAAGACTGTTTGGTAATGTAGCTTCATTTCTTTTTGCGGTATTATGATATTTAATTGAAACTATAGTTTCACAAGATATGCATGAATTTGATTCTGAGTTGTTCATCGAGTGTTTATGGCTATGATAGATAAGACACATTCTCAGTCTTTTCATTATTATATCTTGTGAGGTTTATTTTATCGTGTTCACCAATTTTCAACAGTGAATTTTATTTTTCTTAGTTTAATATCTCGTTGGGTTTATTATTCATTTCTCCATGTATTAGCGATGATTTTTTTGTTTCTCTTTTTAGAAAGCTTTGGAATATACATGGAAAAATTCTACTGTACAATCGTTGACGAATTATTTTTTTTCTAAGTTTGTTCATTCATTTCCTTTAATGTCTATATAACTAGAGAGCTGATGAAATTATTTCTTTGTTTTGGAGTATTCAGTTCATTAATGATTGGAGAGGTAACTTAACTGGAGTTGACTTGATTTTGAATGTATTTTAGTGCTCTCAGTGAGTCTGTCATTACGTGTTATTTTATGACATATAATTTAATTAAAATTTTAAAAATTATTTCAACGTTTTTTTAAATATTAATATATTTTTTTAACTGGGAAATTTGAAAGTATTTAATATAAAGAGTCTACAAATAATTAAAAATGTACAAAACATTTTTGAAATTTATTTTTATATTATTACACTTTTTTATAGTACTTAAATGATGGTTCATCGATGAATATAAATGGCGATGACTCGTTTACATTATTCTCAGCTATTGAACCGGAAAATTATAAAGTTTTAATCGACCCTCAACTATACATTACTAATGGTACAGTGTCCAAACATGACGCCGAGTATAATGGAGAAGTGGAAGTAATTTTTAGGCCAAGAATTGACACTTCTGTTATTAAATTGCATATTGGACCATTAAAAATTGATAATACAAAGACTTTGTTAAAACGAAGAGAACATATTAATACGGAAACAGAAAAAGTATTGAACGTAAGTAAACTTAGTTTTAATAAATAATTTATGAATTTAACTAAACAACTGTTTTTCGAAAAATAACAGGACAGATATGAATTTAAGATAAATGTCGATGTAAATGACGATCAAGAAAAATTGACAGTGACCGTAGAGGAGCCATTGAGAATGGGACTGTACTATAGCTTATTTGTCTATTATACGGGTAAAATTGGTCGAGATCCAGATTGCAGTGGGTTTATTAAAGTTGTCTTTGACGAAGAAAACGTTAGAAACCAATGGTTTGTAACCACTAAATTAGCATCAAACAAGGCTAAATATTTAATGCCTTGTATAGATAATCCTAGACACAAAGCTTTTTTTGAAATGAGTGTGGTAAGACACAATAATACTAATGTCATTTTTAACACTCAACTGAAGTCTTCTATTATATAGTAAGTATATATAAGCTATAATATTAATATTTAAAATTTATTTTTATGTTTTGTATTGTTAAACGTTATTATCAGTGATTGTCTACATAATGTGATATTTATTGCCCCAAGGTGCTATAATTAGCACTGACTTAGAATAATTTATTTTTGGTGGGGTCATTTTAATATATTTGACCAGGAAGCAGTTATTTTTAAACTAGGAAAAATACTAAAAAAAGACTTCTAAATTATATAATAAATTTGATGATTTATCGATATAATATATTTATCAATATAACTATCAATGAAATTATGGTATTGCACTTATTTTGCATGACTAGTACGGTTCTTCTATGAATAGATCACTAACTATGGTTATTTTCATAATTTTCTAGAATTTTAACAAAAAAAAAAACTTCTAAATATGTTTAATGACCGAAATTAATTTGAAAAAGTAGCGTTAGGCGTTATAACAGTAAGCTTTGTTGAAATAGTTCTTAAATACTTCTGGTTTATCTTATCCTACCCAATTGAAATAAGATATAACAATGAATGTGTTAAAGCTTTCATGGATTGTCTTGTTTGAAGTGCTTGAGGATATAACAATTTAATATATTTATCTTATTTTCACTTCATACATGATCATTTTTGATAATGGCTAGTTTTTCATGAGATAACCATCTTGGTCTTTCAAAAACTCGTAAACCTCTTGTTTTAATGTAATGTTCAGTTTTATTGTTAATTAAATAAACTTTTAAGAAACTAATTCATAATATCAATGAATTCATTACTTTTAATATATGTATTTACAGAACATATATTGCTAAGTTCTTCAATGTATAATGTTGACAATTTAATAATTTGATCTATTCATTTTTGATTGAGTAAATCATCTGCTAAATTAAAATGGTTTAAACAATCTGCCTCAATAATTGCTTTGGACACTGATGCTTTTATAAATTTCCATAAGAACATACAGATTTAAATCAACTGCTATTTTTCCAAATGTATTTATAATAGTGTTGTTAGCAGTAAACAGTTTCAAGCGTGAGGCATTATCAGGTTTTACATGGTATTAAAGAGATATCTGACCCGTATCTATAAGAAATTGTCCAATTTTTTAAAATTAGATAGTGACTAGATATCTTTTTTAGTTTTCTATCAGGGAAATGAAATTAGCATAATGTTTACATGGCTCTACACACTTTTTAGCTTTTTGCCTACAGTTAGTGTGATAAAAAATTAGTCCATTTTAGTCTGACTGGAATCTAAATTCGTGTTCTTGATCCTTGTGATTTGATGTTGTTTTGAAATTAACATTCTAGTTTCAATTTTGAAATTTCAATGATAAGAATTTTGAGGAGTTAGGCAGTGGTACCAGTAGTTATTGTCACAACTACCTTAGTTTTAATTTTATTTTAGTTACTTGTTAGCTAATGTAGCCAATTTTTCAATTGAACCTTTAGAAATATCCATGGTGAAGGGCAGGTGTTTAAACCATAATGATTTAAGGAATTCTACAATTAAATTTGAACCACTGAGACGTTTCTTTTTATTAGGAGCACAAATGGTTTTCTATCAACTAATTCAATGTCACTTAATAGTTTATTAAGATTTGATTGTTGCTATCAAAAAATAAATCGACTAACCGTGTTATTAAGATTGAATATTTTTCATTATTTGGACGTGATTGCACTATACTTGCTACTTAATAACATGATATAATTTAGTAGTATCATTAGTAATGTTGCATAATGAAAATTGAGTTTCTTTTAAGAAAATCATATGCCTGCGGATCGTTTTTCCAAAAAGGAAGGGATTTTAATTTTAATCTGTTGACATTCAACTGCTCTTCTGGTACGTTACCTAATGTTCCATCGTTTTATATTTAACAAATATCTGGCGGTACTTGTCATAGGTCACCAATTGTGGTTGTTCTCAATAAAAACTATATAAATACCGATTTTAATAGACAAATAATAAATTTTATTACAATGATATATGAAAGGTACTGTAGGTTGTTTTTAATAAGAATTCTATAAGTTAATACAAATTGAATAAAAGCTACATTATCAACTGTTATCAATACAGTATCATCATGTAATTTACATTTAACATTTAAAAAACATTTTAAAAATACAAATATTCTATATATTTTTTTAATTTAAGGGTATATTATAAACATATTTAAAAATGTTTGGAGTATATTTACTTTATATCTTAATGTTCTTAAAAATCTGAAATATCACTCTTTAGAGATAAATGTTATTCTAGTAAAATCTATCAGTTTTTAATAAAAATTATCCGCTTTTTTGTGAAACAAATCCAGACAAATTGAATGTCAATTTGTTAAAAGAGCATTAGTTAACAAATATACATCTTTTAAAAAATAGTTAAATTCTAATTTTTTGAAATTTTAATTGCTAAATATATATTTTTTAATATTCTGAATCCTAACATGTATAATTGATATAAAAAAAGTTTCATCACTACTGCCATAGTGTGTAATTCAATTACCATGATTCACGGCATTTAACAAATGTTGTTAAATTGAATGTTTCAAACAAATTAATATCTCTAAAAATATATTTTTTTCTTCAATAAATTTATTTTGAAGAGAATTTAAGACTATAATGGATAAATTATTATTGGATAAGAACTTCATATTATTTGTATGAAATTTTATTTTTTTTATGCTGCATATTTATAGTGTGACCAATGTAACTTAATAAATTCGATAAAAATATTTTACAGTAAAGGAGATTCGTTTTTAGATAACTTTGAGAAAACTGGACTAATTAGACCAGATTCTCTTTGGCTATTTATATCAAATTTCAAAAATAATACAATTTTCTCTGACGAAAAAGTACATATCAACGCGTGGAGTCCTATTTCCTTAACTACCATAGACACATTAGAAAAATATGTACCGAAAACTATAGACGTTATGGAAAAGTATTTAAAAATAAAGTTTCCAACTAACAAACTAGAAATCGTCTTATTACCCAGCAAAGTAACTTCTCTAACTGACAACTCTGGAATAATAACTATCAAGTTTGTACAATAATAAATATGTGTTTCCAACTAAACAAAAATTATTTAAAGTTTTGTTTCAGAGATTTAACACTTATTGAAAAACAAAATGTTTCATCAGTTGACTATCAAAATTTAGTGGAGGACCTAATACAACATGTTATCCACCAATGGCTTATACCGTTGCGTAGTCTTGATAAAATTAGTAAACAAGATATATGGTTACATGAAGCAATAGCAGATTTCTTGAAAATTATGAGTATTAATAATGTGAGTAATACAAATTGTTTTTGAGCCTTAGGATACTATCACACTAAGACAGTTACACCCCACAGACTAAACTGACGCAGTCCAATCGCTCATAATTTCACAAGTCACACTATGAAAATTTTACTGTTTTTTTTTTGGACTTAAAAAAATACTGGAATTATTTGTGTACTAGGCAACAATGTGTTACTAAAATATAGAATAAAGCAAATGTAAATTTGTGTTGATGTAATAGTATATAATACATCAAAACAAATTTTAGTTACTAATGAAAAATAAAATTATAACATTCTCTACAATATAAAATAGTTGATGTTGAATTTCATATTTATGTCAAACTCCAATGAACTAATTACACTCTAAATGTTGAGATTGAATATATTATAGTTTTAGTACTCAATAATAATATAGATAATTAGAAAAACATATTCTATAACATCTATAATATAATATATTACGATATTATATCCAATAATATCTTAATGTCTACATTATACAAAACAACAATTATTAATAACCAACTACCTATTATTTAGTACAACAAGTATATATATATATATATATATATTTATATAAGTGTTTATTTATATACGTGTATATGTGTGTCCGTCACAATTATTGCAATATACACACACAAAATGATGTCCAAATAAAAATTGTCTGGATTAAAAAAAATATATATAAAACGGGGATAATTAAATAGTTGTTCTAGCATTGGCAAATTTTTAAATGTTTTACTATACAATAAAATATATTTGATAATTTTCAAATGAAAAATCTGTCGAATAACTCTTCCATGTTTTTTATGCTGTGTTTTATTTGTGCGTAATAAATTTATATATTTTATAAATTTAAATATTATTAATTTACAATATAATACTATGTTTAATTAAAAAAACAACCCTCCAGAGTAGGGCTGAATAATAGTTGGGACAAGTATAGATGATATTATATAGTAATTAAAATAATAGTGTAGGACATTTTGCCGCCAAAAAATTCGCCGCGGACGGTTCGCAGAACCAGACTCTTAATAAATAATAAATTTATTATCATTAATTCTTTTCGAAAAATTATAATTATTTGTGCCTAATCCTTCATTGATAAGTCCTTAAATACAGTACAATGATAAAAAATTAATTATTTCTATAATGACACAAATTGTTTAAATTTAATTTGTAATTGATTTAATTATTAAAATTTGACATAGTCCTGTGACGCTCCGCGTTACACGTGCCACCTTTATCAGCCATCGCCTTACTATTTGTATATGGTAGTTTGACTGACTAACACTGCATGCGATATACCACGGTACAAAGTCCAGCAAGTGCCGCACGTCTGTCGACGATCCCCACATATATACGTTTTAGTCAGACATCTTTGTGACACCACGAAAATCACCTTTGTTTAAAGACTACTTTACTTTATTATAGTTTTCAATTTTCGTTATCATATGTTCAGTGCAGACACGTATCCATGGGGGGAGGGCAAGGGGCCCAGGCCTCCCCCGAAATCCTGAAATTCAAAAAATTTTTCCATGTGAGATTTTCTATAGAAAAGTCTTCAATGTAGAATTTTTTCAGTATAGCATTTTCTATTTTTTGAAATTTAAGTTTTCAGTCGTCAGAAATGGACATTCAGCGTTTCAAATTACATACGCAATATAAATATATTATATTTGTACATATATGAATATGTACATTTATGTTGAGTTGTGAATAATGACATTAATTATTAAAGCAGTTATTTAATGTTATTTTGTTTGTTTATAATACATGTCCATTACAAACCACACCACGGCCAAGGCGGAATACCCCTTGACGAAAAAAATCCTCAGATTTCGTTTCTGCTGTAAAATATACAAATGATATATTGAGTTCATTTCGAAAAATGCGGGAAACTGTTAGCGACACTTTCAGAGGAATTTTTCAAGCAGCGTCGAAATTTTCAGCGGACCTTTTTGACGCTGAACTTCAAGCTCCAAGAGTTGCATCACGACAGAAATCTCGTGTAAATTTATTCCTTGTATCGATGTTTTGATACAAAATTTGACGGATAGATTTATCAAGAATGAAGATATTCTCTCAACTCAAGTTTCAACTGCTACTTCCAGGATATGCTTCCGAGAAAAAAATGGATGAACTGGAAAAATTAGGTTCATACTTTGAAGACGAAATGTCATTGTCCGCAGTTCAAGCTGAGTACAAGTTATGGTGTGCCAAAATGTCATCAATTGACCCATCAACAGAAATTTTGAAACTGTTGGAATATTGTGACAGAACATTTTTTCGCGCGATAAATCTTCTTCTCAAGCTATTGGCTACTATTCCAGTCACAACGGCCAGCGTAGAAAGATCGTTTTCCACAATGAAGAGGACAAAAATTTTACCTCGTAGTGTGATGGGTCATGACAGACTAAGTGCACTCGCGATGATGACAATTCACTAGGATACTATTGTTGATCCGGAAGAAGTGCTCAACCACTTAGCAAACAAAAAAACAAGAAAATTACTTTCAAAGGTGTATATTTTTTGTAAAAATTCTTTCAAATATAGTTGAAGTTATTTATGCACTTTTTACTATTTGTACTATTAATAAATTAAATGTCACATAAGTATTTTTTTTTTTTTGCTCGGCGAAGAATTCCTAACTATGATTCTGGAACTTGACCCCCCCCCAAACCAATTTCTAGATACGGGCCTGGCTCAGTGATTCATTTTTTATAACATTAAAAGAATATTGTGGAATTGTTTAAATAAACTGTTCCACGTGCCAACCACAAACTTAAGTGTCGACTACTTTTTTTTATATTTATTATTATTATCACCGAACCAATTGTGTGTCAACTGTTTCAACTTATGGTTCGACTGGAACGATAAATTGAATTCGATAGAAGGAGGAAAAAAATGCGGCGAATCTAAGATTTCAACCCGACCCACCAAATAATCTTCTTCCCCTGAATGATGATATCTCCAACGAAAGGACCATGCAACCGGAAGATATGGAATACGAAAAACACTCTGAAGATGACCGGGAAGTTGGTCACTATCATATGACACATACGATTATTATTATTATTATTATTATTATGTATTTATGTGGGTACGTCGAGGAGAAAGCCAAACGGTACGAGGAATTGAAAGCAACCAGCTCCAAAAAAACTGAGTCATCCAGCTCGAAACAAAGTTGACAACTTGATCAAGCAGGTCAACTTGTCCGCCTGCGATGAACAAGGGGTCCTAAGTACTAGGAACCAATGAACTGTCCCATAAACCTGTTCGTAGAGCAAATTATACCAGATAAGACGGAAAAACCACGGTTGCAGACAAAATTTTCGGAAAATCGTCGTACGAGTATCCAGAGCGTTTTTAATCAATGAAGATAACAATTTCTCTAGAAAAAATGTACGGTTTTCTGATTCAAAACGAGAATCAACCAGAAACTATGAAGTAGTTAGTAGTAAGTAAGTAAGCATGTAAGTTACTTTTACCTGGAGAAAAGGTCTCAGACACTAGAGAACCGTGACTTTTAACAAGTCATCATTACTTCCGTCATACAGTTTGTCATTAGCACGAGCTTCCCTGCCGGAGTTTTCAGCAATAGACAGGAAGATCTGACTATATTTATATCGGAAGTTTAAGCGGTCCTTGACGAGGCAAGAACACCATTTAACAAATGGGTACAAGTGTTAGCACCTTATTTCAAGGAGGCGCACGAAACTGTGGAGAAACATACTTTGTATAAACCCAACTTGGTAGATATTCCTACATTAATTTATGCGATGGTTAAACAGCAAATCTATCCAGAAACAAATTCTCAACGACTTTTATAATGGTACTCAGGGAGAAAACTAGACGTTAGGCGAATTCATAATGTGAAAGTGTCAACTAGCTCGCCGACTACATTTTGGCTTGCGGACTACGAGCTAGTCGACCTTATCATGTCGTGGATGAACAAAAACTATGGGTTAAATGCACATATTAGGTGACCGAAGTCAATAGGTGATCTATCGAGATGACTGACGATCTTTTTTCGAACGAGATATCGATGAGTTCCAACTTTAGATGAGAAGAGATAAAATAGAGGAGGTATGGAACGAGTTCCAACAAGTGCAGGCAGCGCTGGAAGGAGAGAGTAACGAAGAGTCAAACAAAGGGAACACTTACAATATAGAGAAGAATTCGAAGAGCCATATTATAAATTAGTAGCAGAAGCGGAGAGAAGATAAAATAAAGAGGGAGCCCCATCAAATGAAAATAATACAATTACAAACACAGAACGGCTGTTAAAACAGCCTATCGTAAAATTAGCAGCGATAAGAATATAGGTTTTCAATAGGATATATGAAGTGTGGTCGGCATTTTACGATATGTTTAATAGATTAATACACTTAAATAATGACCTAACACAAATTCTTCTTTTTAAGATTTACCCTGCAAGAGAAGTGGCTGACTCTATAAAGTATTTAGAAACTATCGAGGAAAATTATTTATCGGCTGACCAGAGTTTAATTTCCAGATATAATAATATCAAAGTTTTAGTTAGTAGGGTAAAAAGGGAAATTATGGTTCCCTTGCTTCACCTACCAACTGACCGACAAGTCATCAAGAGAGAGGGATAATAAAATTTAACATTAACTAACCTAATGCGATGGGAGGGGTGGAGTGATGAAACATGACCTAATCTAACGCAACTTGTCACGTGCCTAAATCAATTATGCGAAAAAATAAAAATTAATTTTCCGAGGTAGGTACGCATTAACCCTTGAACGTGCGTATGGTGTGCGTCGAGTCCGCGTGTTTGTTGTGCCGTACCCCATATGCAAAAGCTTAATCCACCGACACTCAAGCACATTGCCATATCGCATATATTGTTACACGATCGCCGTCGACACTACTATCACCAACACCTAAGCCGCCGACAACGACGATGATAATCGCTCTAACATATTGATGAATGTTGATTTCAACTAATGTGTTAATAAACTGTATGTATTTGTTTGGATTATCACGCAGCAGGTGGTTATATAGATATACGAAATATCGGTTTTTTGACGAAAAAAACGCATTTTCCAGGTATTTTAAACGTCGAATCCCCTATTTTGATATGCGACATGCACATATTTAGATAAAGACCGTACGTAAAATATTAATTTTACCTAATTAAAAAAAAAACATAGATTTGTTTAAAACAGACATTGTGCCAGATGGCTTTTATAGATGATTATATATATTTATACTATCACACTTAAGATGAATACAGCAGATGGCTTAACTCGGTGTCGATGTCGCCATCAATAATATTAAACGTCAATTGTTAATATACGAGTTAATAAGCTGCGCTTGACTGTTATTCGTATAGTAAATATAGTTATAGATTCGTATAGAACAATAACAAACGGTCACGACTTGATCTCGTTGATGGTATCACATTACCTCAACCTTTAAGTATTCAATACCTTTATATTGTGGTGTCGATATTTAAAGGCAAGGGAGACATACATGAATGTGGAAACTATAGAGGTATAAAGCTTATGATTAATAGTATGAAGATATAGGAAAAGGTAATAGATAAGAGAATAAGAAATGAGACATCGGTATCTAAAAACCAGTTTGGATTTATGCCTAGTAAGTCAACAATGGAGCCATTATTTTGTTTGGGACAATTAATAGAAAAGTATTGGGAAAAGAAGAAAAAGTTGTGTATGGTATTTATTGGTTTTGAGTAGGCGTGCGATATAGATAGAATACTAAGAGTATTCTATCGCATAGGCTGAAAGGTAAATTCTACAAGACTGTAGTGAGGCCAGCTATGATGTATGGTTCAGAGTGTGAGGCGGTTGATAAAAAAGTAGAGCAGAAAATGAGTGTAGCAGAGATGAGAATGCTTAGATGGATGAGTGGAGTGATTAGAAAAGATAGAATAAGGAACGATCATATAAGAGGGAGTATAGGTGTAGCGACAATCGTGGATATGATGAGAGAAAATAGACTTAGATGGTTTGGTTATGTTATGATGAGGAGACAGGAATCGGAAGTTGTAAAATGAATATTGAAGGAAAAATAGGTAGAGGAAGACCAAAAAAGAGATGGAGGGATAAAATTGAATGCGATATGAGGATGGCTGATGTGAGCGTAGATGATGTGGGTGATCGTGTCGTTTAGATAAGTGTAAGTTTAGGATAAGGGTGGCCGACCCCAAGTAGTTTGGATTAAGGCAAGGAAAATGAAGAGGAAGATATTATACTTTTAAATTAAAGAACTACTAATCAGGAATAATGAAGGAAGTAGGAATTCATTTTGCTTTTGTTATAATTCAACAATATCTTAAAATTAAACACTCTACAGATTTGCATCGAAACATTTCGTATGATACTGATTTTTAATCACGTACAGGTACAATTTCACTCCTTCAGGACTCGCCATGCTGGGATGGAGATTCCGCTTGAGAACTCCAAGACTTATCTAGGCCTAGTCGTAGACAAAAGTCTAATGTTCGAACCGCCCATTACCCGTGCGACCGAGCGGGCCCAGAAAGTCATGAACACCCTGGCGGAACTCATGCCTAATCTGGTAGGCCAAGGGATATGCGGCACAGACTATTAGTCAGCGTCGTACACTAGATCCTACTGTACAAGTCCCCAGTATTCGTTAGTACTTTTTAGTATTCATCGAAGAATCGAGAGTCCAGAGTGCAGTGGCAGGTGGCGATCAGGACAGTTTCGGTATACCGAATTATGTCCGGAGTGGCGGCTGGTATCCTGTCGTAAATTTCCAATCCATTGATTTATTTTTTTTAGATAAATATTGTGTTATTATACTATTCCATACAATGAATATTTGATTTTCATATCCAATCGACACGCACATATATGTAACAAAAGCAATCGATCCTCCATTGTGATAATTCTCCTATTCGCTACAAACTAACTAACAAATGCGATGATAAATAAATTCACTTCACGAAAAAAAAAATAGATATACTACTTATTTCATAACTAAAACATATTATAAACTTAAATATATCTTTCAAAATAATAAATTGACAATTCAAACTAATCCCGAGAATAATAAAATTATAACTTGTATTTTAGTATCTATGTAATTATATTTCGCATACCTAGTCTAAAGCTAGAATCATTTAAACATTATTTTCATTTTATATTTTGTCATAAAAAATGATAGCCCGATAAGTGCTTCTGTGTAATATTACGATGTAATCTTAATTATTTAATTATTAATCATTTTTAGGTGTTTTAACAATACAAGAACTTATAAACTAATACTTAATATAAATTTTTAAAATAAATAAATTAAACTGCTGAATACCATCATTTCCGATGCTGTTAATTTAAATCTCGCTTTATGAATACTTAATAATTTACTTTATATAAAATACTTATTCAGTCTGATTAAAAATTCTCAAAGCATATAACTAATATTGTCATACTAGGCTCCGCCTAGTTGAGGCTCCGCCCCAGACCCGAAGCCCTCCGAGCCTTACGCGCCGAAGTTGCGTAAGTCTCTTCGGGCCGTCATCATAAGTAGGCCACTGATTCCGGTAGGGGTACCCGGCTACGCCGGGTATGATAAGTGTTTTTCAGAAAAAATATTACATCAGAATCAGTGTAATAAAACTATATATAAAAATGTTATTATTAAAATCAGGAAAATTCAAAAAGAGAATATAGTAAAATGTATTGGGTATAAGGTTGACGTTTGTTAATGAGGTATTCCCTTTAGGCCTATTCAAAAATTATTTTAGGAGGGTATTTAATATTTTTTACTTTGTAAAACATGTTATAGAAATTTTTTTGTTAAAAATTAAAGTAATGATGAAAAAAAAGGACATTAGGTCCTTATATATTAGAAGTTGCCTAAAAAATATTGATAGCGCTGGTTCAAGGGGGGCCCATATCTCTCTTAAATACACCCCTGTTATACACAAAAATTATTAATAATCTAATTATAATAATTGTGTTTATATTATAGAATAATTAAAAAAAAATTTAGCAGGTTATTATACATGGCACATTGTAAAAAATTTAATTTTAATAAAAATATTGGTAACCGCGATTTAACGTTGAACACCATAGTTATCATAGATGAATCCCAATTCAAACGATAAACTCATAGTCTCATAAATCATATATGAGAAAAAAAAATTATTAATAATGTACTGTTCTGATAATGCTAGTACAAACTTATATAATTATAACGTCTTGAAATTTATATATAACATGTAATATTCCTGGATAAAATATAGTGAAAATACAAAATAGTGTCCTAAAAATAATAAATATTACACCATATAATTAAGGTTCACAATAAACGTATGAGCAGAAATGAATTACTGCGCATATTAAAACCATGTGTGTGGACTTAAAAAAAAAAAAAAAATGCTCGTAAGACGATGAAAATTGAACGGATTGAATTGATTTTTTTATCATATCTCAGGAATGTCATTGGGCGGGTCTGGTGAAAATTTCAAACCTTAAGTCGTAAAACGCTGGCGTCAGCGAGCGTTTTGCCAATAATTTTCCCGAAGTCTGGTGACCGAGTACTTTCGTTGAAAAATAAATTTTGAAAATCCGAGCACGCTAAGTAATGTTTTCAGAAAAGCGTTTTTTTCGTTGTTCTATTATATATTGTCATATAATTTTTAATAAACTTTATAACCTTAATACATGTCATAATTTATTGAGATATTTTGTAGAAAATAAATTTTTTAAGTCAAAACATAATTTATGGTTAATAAAAAATGTATAAGTTTTTAACATCAAAGAAAAAATTTTTACCATAAAATACATATATTTATCTATCTAAAATACAAGATCAAAAAAAAATTCATATTAAAAATTAAAATTAAAATTTATTACACTTTTTTGAAATTATGTAATAAATTTTGGACTTATTGTTTGATAGCTAAACAGTTGTATTTTACGATAAAAGTACTACGATTTAAATGTGCTAATTATGATTTTTCCAAAAACTGTATATTTCTTACAACTTTATACATTTTTTTTACTCTCTAATTTTTATCGGAATATTTTGAAGTAAAGAACAAATGGAGAGGGTATCTCATTAACAATATAAAATTCGATTTTTTTTTTTGCACTACACTAATAATTATTATTATAATATATTATTAGTTTAAAAACTAATCATTGTGGTAGAAAAGAGAAGAATTTTTTTTCATTGATTTCTTATTAAATAATTCAGTGTTACACAATAAAAATTCTTTTAATAAATAATAACTAATAGATAACTTTGTCAGTTGTATATTACTTTAAAATTTTACTATCGCTCATATTTTTTAGAAAACACTTTTTTTCTTTTTTTTTCACATTTTTTTTTTTAAATTTTTATTTTTGAAAGTGTATAAGATTTTAAAGTCACTTAGCTTTTGTAATAATCGTGTCCAAATCGAGAGCAGTTTATTCAGTTTTTGGCTTACAAAATAAAAATATAACGCTTTAATCCACATTTTTATAAACTATTAGATTCATCCTAATTGGAGTTTTGGAGCTAGATACTCGTTTGACACTTTGCAAAAAGTGATGTTTTATGACAGTTTTACGAATACGGAATCATTGGCTCGTAATGACGAAAGTTCCAAATTGTATAAATTTATTTCTCCTGTTAAAGGTTAGTTTTATAAAGTTAGTATAAAATATTAAGTACATTAATAACTTTCAAGTTATTACGATTTTAGGAGCTACAATTTTGTGTATGTTAAATAATACATTGACTGAAGAAGTTTTTAGTAAATCTCTTGAAGAGTATTTACAGGTTGAGTAAGCAAGCAAACACTTTTTAATGAAATCTAATAGTTTTTTTATGGGTAACCTAAGATTTAAAAATTTCTGTTTTTTCTAAGTATGTACAGACGAAACGAATTAAATAGTTTTTGGACCATATTAGAAGAAAATGCCAGAAGCACATCAATTGCACTGCCAGAAAATGCAGCTATCCTACAAGTAGTTAGAAGTTGGACAACGAATAAAAACTACCCATTAATTAGTTTGAGTACAGATGGAAACGATTTGATTGTTAAACAAGTTAATACAAAAAAAAAATAATAATTTTTTACGATTCAACGAAATATACTTAACATTTTCAATGATATTTTTTAGTTTAGATTTGAGTATGGCGATCTAAAACCAACAAATGATTGGATAATACCAATAGTTATTAATTCTGACGATAAAAACAAAAAAAATGTGTGGTTGGAAAATAATCCTGAAATAAAACTATCGGAATATTTTTTAAATGCGAATAAAACTTATGTGTTAGCTCATCAAAACAATAAAGGTAAGAATTCTAACTATCAAATTAAAGAACTAACTTTCTTTTTAATAATAAAATATTGAAAGGAAAATGTTTCCCTAGCTTTTATAAATAATAATACTAAAATAAATGGAATATTTATTCGAAATTGGATGAACGCGATGGCACTCACGCGGGTTCGGTAACGTTTGTTGTTTTATTTTGTCTGAAGTCAGGCTATGTTGAGGAAAAGGAATAAGGTTAGTGGACTATATAAATGAATGTAGAATATATTTTCAAAACATATAACAATTATTTGTATTATACATGAATCATAAAATCTTATATATACACCAATGTGGATAGAGGGACACTTAATACTAATGCCACAATGGTGTTGATATAAATAAATTTTAAAATGAAGATGAATAAGCATTATACTTATCGGCTAATTGTAACGTCTGATGATAATGTTGAATATTGAATGGATCAATTAAAGTCAAATGCAATTAGCTGACCAACGTGTATTATATGCCGTGAGAGGTACTGTGATATATCTCAGAAAACAAATAGACCCAAAGGCTATATACTAAGAGCTCACAAGGGTGTGACAATTGCAAAGGTATTTCACTTATTACAACAAATAAAGAAACAAAATTATGGGCACACAAGCGCCATAGAGCTTATAGCTTAAACGCGCTAAGATGGCGGCGGCAATGCAGACATAGAGAAACTCAGTGTAGCACAATAATAGCAGTAATCACAACACACAATTCACCGACAGCACATTCGACCGATGTGTATCTAACAGGAATAGTCCTTTTATTTTTAACAGTAATATAAAATTTTAATGTTATTGACTTTATAAGTTTGTTATTTTATTGAAATTTGGATTTTCACCAAATTATTTTTGTAAAACTTGAGGACACTATTTCTTTTAGGTTGACTATTGCCAATAATGGTGTAAAATATCAACATTATAATTTATGAAAATACGACAAGTACATAAAATATATATATCAAAAAGTTTTATTAATAGAACTAATATTTTACGTTACTTACTATTTTTTTTAAACTTTAAAAAATTGTAGATATTTTATGTATAATCTTTAAAAAAAAGTTGTAAATTGAAGAAGATTTTTTAAATATTTTCGTTTTGTGTATCATTTTTTTGTTCATCATGTTTTGTTTTTCACCGATTTCTATATTTTTTTCATAAATTTTCTAAAAGTTACCCAGATTGAAAAAGTTTCTTCGATCAATACACAATTCTCAAAAATAGTGTTGTCCTTATTATTGCGCCATTGGCTCAGTTTAATGAGCGTCTTATTAATACATCAAAGTAATGCTATTATTATTATTTTTAGGTACCTTATTAAAAAAATGAAACATTAAGGCTAGTTTTATATTCATTTTAATTATTAAAATACATTTCTTATCCTATAACTAACCGTTTTCATATATATACCTATAATATGTTGCCATAAATGGTGCAAATGTGTACCCAAGGTCATGAGGCAACTTTTTGGGTAGCCAATATTTTTAATATTAATGTAGTGTATCCTCCACACCTTGTTCGTTAGTAGTATTATATTTTATTAATACCACATTAAGTCTATAAGACTACAACTAAANCACTTGTGTATATTCCTTGTTCGTTAGTAGTATTATATTTTATTAATACCACATTAAGTCTATAAGACTACAACTAAACCAATAACTTCTTTTTATTCAAATTAAACAATATAAAATTCTTATTCATTTTAAAAGCTCAATTACAAATGCTAGAATTTAACAGAATGATTCCAGTTATCATGGGTCATATAATAAAAAAGAAAAAGAAAAACGAGGGTTTTTCTAAATATTGCTCTACTGTGATAATATTATTGCCTTCCGTTTCTGTTTCGGTTAATATATTCAACATTTTCTTGAAAACCTTTTTGAATTCTCTTGTTACTTCTTCCTTATCGGTTATTAATATTCCTTCGTCATTATCGTTGATCTTGGTTTAAATCCGTTTTTAACCTTATTTGCCTTTTAAAAAAATAGTTTTGTGTTACTTTTGTAGCTATTTTCGATAGTTTCTATTCTAGTTATCTCCCACATTCTTTTGTTTTTTCTGATTATCTGCTATATTAACATTATTTTTCTTGCATCGTCTCTGTCTACCATAGCAGTCCTGTATTCTTTATTATACCAATTATTTGTTGCTCGTTTTCCTTGAAATCCCAGAATTTCTTCTGCCATTTTCTTGATTGACTTCTCAGTTTTTTTCCAACATCTCATCTATACCGCTCGTCTTTTCCATTAACCGCAATATATCATTTTACCTATTTTTGTACTGTTCTGCCGTTTTTGCGAGTATTTTTCAGTGATTCAATGTTTATCTTTTTGACAAGTGTCGTCTTTCGCTCTTTCCATTTTATTCATAGTCTTAATCTGACTTTTTCACAATGAAATGGTCTGTTTTTCCGCTACTACTTCTCATGTTACATACAACTATTATACATCTTTTAAATCTACCATCTATTACTACGTTATCTATCTGGTTTCTCGTTCCCCCATCTGGCAATAACCACGTTTACTTGTGAATGTTTTTATAAGGAGAGATAGTGTTACTTACTACCACATCTCCTCCCATAGCAAAGTTTATAAGTCTCATTCCATTGTCATTTGAGTTCATATGTAGACTATTACTCCCTATTGCCGGCAGGGCCGGATTTAGGGGAGGGCTGAGTGGGCTTCAACAAATTTGGTATACATTGGTATCACAAATATGATAATAATTGTGATTTAATAAGTAAAAAAATATATTTCCTTGTTTATGTATAAGGGGCCCCCACAAAGCATTCCGCCCAGGGGCCACCACATACCTAAGTCCGCCCCTGATTGCCGGATGGAAGATTGGTACTTGACCTATTTTAGCATTAAAATTTCCAAATATAATTTTAACTTTACTATTTGGTAGTAAGTCATACACTATGTCCAGATATTTCTAACTCACATAAGTAGTCTCGCATAATTTTTTCTTTTTAAGTTTTCGTATGCCCAATTCACCGGGTGGACCGGGCCGTCCACCTATAAAGGTTCTGGCCCCATAAAAGTAACTTTGCACAATAAGACTCCGACGAATGGTCAACTGCCAGTACGAAACGTAAGTCTAAAAAACTTCCTACCAGCACGGTTTCTCCGAATCTACAATACTTATTAGATAATCAACCGCAACTACTCCCAACTAACATACAATTTCAGTTCAATATTAATGAATCGGCCGATAACAATGAAACTAGTACAGCATATCTTAATGATGCCATTACTCTAACGTCGGATAGTAATACTAATACTATGGACATTAATAATGTTATGAATAACAATAGCGACCTTGATATATATTAACACAAATACAACAAATAAAGTAAACAATGATTCTGTAACAGTGCATTCGTGTAATAATTCGAGTGTAGATTTTAATTTGAAATCTTTTTCAAACAATTTTAACGGGTCCCCGTTAATTTTCGTTGAATCCACGGTCAGCGACCAAAGTATCGGCAAATTACACCCGCTAAAAATTGGGAAACTTTTCCACAGCAAATTCGGCGGTATAAAACAAATAACTCCCATTGGCTCCAGAGTTAAAGTTTTATTTGATTCTGAATGTGTTGAAACTCATGGATTGTCATATTATTTGAAAAGCTTGAGGATTTATCCATGTTTGCAGTTGATTGCTGGCGTTTCGGATTCATTGCAGAGTCTATCTTCGGAGCGATAGTTACTGCTCGGTGGCTGAAACTATACTGTTTCAATTTACAAAAGTAAAAATATCGTGGTAATAAAAACAGTTCCCAAACTATCAACCTGCATTTTGTCTTTAATAAAAGTAATGATTGGTCTTCTCCTAATGGCTCGTTTCTCGAATACATATCCACTAACTCCTATGCTGAATTTGCTGAGAAATCCTGGATCACTTCTTTGATTAATCAACTCTCTTCAGCTGTATATAATACTCCTTCCTCTACATTATCATCCCCTCAACCTTTAATCAATTAATTGAGTCTCACATCCTTAACTTTCTCTCTTTATCTTCTAATGACAGTGAGCAGTAACTTTCTCATCTCTTCATTATTAATATATTTTTTTTTTCACTCATTGTCCTTATGACTTTTCATGCATTTGTCTATGTGCGTCTTTATGTAATATATACACGCATGTGTGTTTATGTATGTACATTTGTCTCCTCGCTTGCCTATGTATATTTTTATTCACTTATTTATATTCTTTATATATATATATATATATTTTACATGAACATAAGGTTTATATATATCTGTCATTTATTCCGTTTCCTTTTCTCCTTTTACTTTTACTACAATAAATAAATGTTAAATATTTTGGATTGGAATATTAGAAGTATCTTATCTAGAACACAAGACCTTGTATTTCTTATCCACTAAAATAAATGCCAAATTGTTCTACTCTCAGAAACTTTGTTACTTCCAAATAAAAATTTTCAATTTCCAAATTTTAACTCAGTCCGCTCTGATTGACAAGATGGTTATGGCGGTGTCGCCATCTTCACACATTCCTCAATTCAATATCGTCCCATTACACTTAATAACAGTCTGAAACAAATGCTCAGTACCTTTTCTATCGACTTAGTTGGTATCAATGTATTAATGCCGGACAATAACACCCTTCAACTATGGTCTATTTACATTCATCCTTCATCTAATTCCTCTACTCTAGTAGTTTCTCAAATTTTTATTTCAATAACTCTATTATTGCAGGAGATTTTAATGATCATCATTCTGCCTGGGGTTCACTAAATTCCAATTATAGAGGCAATATTATTCACTCAACCATCAGTCAGCATAATTTCTGTATTCTGAACACAGGCGTTCCAACTAGAGTTAACCGGCCACCGATACCGGATACTGCTGTTGACATAACAATATACTCCCCTAACATTTCCTTGTCCTCTTCTTGGTACGTTTTGTGTGATCCTCACGGTAGCGACCACTATTCTATTGTAACAAGTCTTTCTATACAGCACATTCTGAGTTCGGGTCGCTTTAACTGTGACTCTTTTTCCAATGTTTCAGATGACTTAAGGTTTAATTTAGACTTAGCAGATTGGACCTCTTTCTCTCTAATTATGTCTACCTAACTAGAATCTTGGTCTGAATCCACCTCCCCTACGACAAATTATAACAATTTTGTTGATATCCTAATAAGAGCAGCAAAACTTTCAATCCCGTGTAAGCGTTCGAACAATAAATGTTTTAGCCATTCTTCTCTTTGGTGGAACTCATCCTGCACCACTGCAGTTAAAATGCGCTCATTTCATTTAAAAAAATACAGATCCTCAGGTTTTCTTCATGACTACATAACATATCAAAAATCAAAATCCAACACAACCAAAATTCTAAAAAAGGAAAAAAAAATCTTGGTTACATTTATGCAGCAATCTACACCCTTCAACGTCCATCTCTGAATTTTGGACCATAGCTAAAAAATTCAAAAACTGTATAAATCGTCCTTCTTCCACCACCAACAATGACTGGTTTGATGACTTTTGTAATAAAATTGCACCTTCTTACGTTCCTGCCCCTGATGAACTTGAATTACATTTTTCAGCCAATTTAGCAAATAATAGTAATAATAGCTTCCTTTCCTCTCCTTTCAGTCGTCACGAACTGTCCTTTGCTATTTCTACCAGGAAATCTGCTGCTGCTGGTTTAGATAATATTTCTCCTTTTTTTTTTAAATATCTTCCAATAAAAGTCTTTGATATTCTTTTAACTATCTTAAACGGTTTATGGATTAACAATATCATTCCTGAGTCTTGGAAGCACTTCAAAGTAATTCCTATCCCTAAAAGTGGTGCTGCTACTAACACATACCGTCCAATTGCCCTTCTGCAAATTAACAGAATTTATGCTAAAAACCCGTCTGGATTAGTATCTTGAATCCAACTCTCTATTATCATCTAACATGTTTGGTTTTCGACGTGGACTGGGCATAATGGAATGCCTATCCTCTCTTGTTGATCCCGTGTACCATTAATTTGTAACCGCCAATTTACAACAGCCGTTTTCGTTGACGTTTGTGGTGAATTTGACTCTGTTAACATCCATCTTCTTGTTACACGTCTACTCTCCATCAAAATTCTTATATCGGTGTGCAAATTTATCTTTTCTTTATTTAAATGCCGCCTTCTTCACATTAACTCTCTCTTACCAACGTATTACTTATAAAGATCTTCCTCGAGGAAGCTGTCTCAGTCCTATTTTATTTAATATATATACTGCTGATATAAGCAAACCACTCTCATCTAATAATTACTCTAGTTTACTTTACTCCAATGATATAGTTATTTTCTCCTCTCATAGTTCACTCCAAGTTACTGTATCGAATATAAATAATGCACTCCAGATCCTCTATTCTGTATTCCAGCTTTCCTATTTTGAATCTGCCCCAGAAAAAAACAATGCTATTATATTTACTAGAAAACACATTCTACAACAACCTTCAATTTTGCTTGTTGGGGTTAGCTTATCCTTTTTTGATTGTGTTACTTACCTTGGACTCAAACTAGAACAGAAACTCCGCTGGATGCCTCACTTTAAGTACCTCATCTCTTCCATATCACGCTGGTCTAATCTTCTACGTTCCATTGTAGGTGCCTGCCGCGGCTCCCACCCCTCCTCACTCCTACTTATTTTTAAAGCTCTTATCCGCTCTAAAGTCGACTATAGTTCCTTTTTATACGCCTCGGTTTCCACTGTTCATTATAAAAAAATAAATTCTCTACTCTCTGCTTGCTTACGCACAATTATAGGTGCAGTTTACTCTACCCCTAATATGAGTTTAGAAGTAGAATGTGAATACCCTCTCATTGAAATTCGATCTCGTTACTTAGCCCATAAATTCCTTTTAAAACAGATATCCAGTCCTGCCAATTTAATATTTCATTGCTTTATTTACTAAGCTCACTTTGGTGATATGTACCCAAAACTATTTCTCTGCTTGCCTCTATTTCTACTACCTTAATTCCATAATTACCCCAATCAATCGCCTACCTATATATGACATTCCATTTCACCCACTTCCTCATTTTCCAAAAATTCACTTTAACCATCCATTTCTTTCTTATAGCAAGCCTCAATTACAATATTTCCCAACTAATTTTTTCAATTATCTTTTTGATGAATTTGTTTTCTCTCGTTTTGCTAACTATTGCCTCATATTCCCTGACAGCTCAGTTTATACTAACTCCACCGGCTTTTTCTTTTTTTATTCCTAGTCTAAACATGAATTTCTCAGATAATCTACCCTCAAAAGCTTGTTCATTTACCACCGAATCTTATGCGATATCCACGGCTCTCAAATTTGTCAAATCACTCAATATAATAAATGTTCTGATTGTCTCGAATTCATTTTCAGTTTTATCCTCTCTTTCCTTAGTTCCTTTTAAAAAAAGTAGATCCTTCCTCACAATCAAAATTAATGCCTTAATTTATAGTCTCTATTTAATGGAAATTAATGTTGAATTTTTATGGTGCACGAGTTATGTTGGAATCTCTGGCAATGAGATAGCAGACCATCTAGCCAAACTCACTAACTCCTTCAACCGACCACCTATCCTAAAAATTCCCTCTTTCGATCTCCTTTCCTCTTTTCATCTAACTATTAATAAAGCATAGCAAGATAAATGGACAAATTTCTCTTAAGAAAACTGGCATAAATCTATAGTTCCAATTATTCCTAAACATCCTTGGTTTTACAACCTTCCTCTGTCCTGTTTCCATATTACCTCATTTTCCCGTCTTAGATTTGGTCATAATCGGCTACCTTTTCATGCCTTTAACATGTCACTAAACCATTCGCCCTTCTGCCCCAAACACAATGATGAAGTGCCCTGTAATTTTCCTCATTTACTATTTGATTGTCCAGCTTTACAACATAACCGTTTACTCTTATTCAATTTCCTGTCCTCCCTTAATATTTCACCCATTAATAGTTTTAATATCCTTAATACAAAATCCTCCTCAATAATTATACAAATAATTTCCTTCGTTCATTCAGCTGTCTTCGTTATATAATATTTTTCTGAATGTTAATTTAATATCCATAATATATTGTTTTGTTCTTTCTTTTTTAGTATTTTGAGTACGTTTAATTTATTAATTTAACAATATGTTTAATTGTGTTCAATAACATTACTTTTTTTTTTGTATAGTCTTAGTTTCTATTTTATAGTTTTATTTTAATTGTTTAGCTATAATACTACTTCTGTATTGAATTCTAATAAAATATATATATATCATTTATAATAAGTATTTAATTATATAAAATTTTTTTTTTAATTAGTACATTTTGATTAATATATGTAGAATAGTAATCTGGACACACTTCTATGATATAAACTCGGCATATTAATTTGAGACGTATTGCGTAATCCAAAGGGGCGCACAATTATTCACAAGTATATATACAGTTATCACAACTTAATATGTAATCCAGAGAAGGCGCACAATTATTCACAAGTATATATATAAGTATATATACAGTTATCACAACTTAATGCGTAGTCCAAGAACGGCGTACAATTATCTATCAAGATATATATATATATATATCTATGTATAAGCCGTAGTCGCGTTCGTTAGCACTATGTACGTCAAAAAAAACAAAACGAAACAGAAAAATACACCACTTCAGGTGAACGTCGAAAACGGAACAGGACGCAATATCGGTAATCCATATTCGGCGGCGGCCTTATCTCAGTGTCAAGGTCGGGGAGACGACCGATGACAACCGATTGTCATATTAATAGCTGGACGGCTGATATCGAGAGAGACACGGGTGAGCGCCAGCCTAGAGCAAAAGGCGGTGCCATGTCAGACGTATTGTACAAATCTTTGTCATTTAGCAATCTCGAAGTTTTTTGTAAAAATAAACTCGGGCTTTTACTCTGACCCATCCCAACCAAACCAAACCATACAAAATTTACGGTTTTTTGTATATCGAAATTGTATTAAGTAATAATATTTAGCTAAAACTATGTAGATCACTCTATTTTTGTTTATTAACGTATTATGGTTTGAAAATGAATTAATTAACTATTTTTTTATTTTAGGTTATTTTAGAATTATTTATGATGATTCATTACTCGGCAAAATCGTTGAAGAAATAAGTAAGGGTGGTATAATAGATGAGTTTACTATAGGACAAGTTCTCATTGACCACTTTGAAGGAGCTCTTGCTGGTGCCATTTCTTTTAATACAGCTTTGAATTTACTTAATACTGTAATAGAAAAGGCTGAATTAAATAATGGTTGCTGGAAAGCTGTTTACAACGTGCTAAGCAAACTAGAAATGATTTTACATAATACAATTCATCATGATAATCTTTCGGTATTTATAAATTTAATTTTTCATTATTAAAAAAAAATAACTACTCGAACGACAATTCGCCGAGATAGGTCTCGTTACTGCTACAGACAAAATTAAACTAAAAGCCCATTTTGAGATTCCAGTGTATTTAAAAAACTTTAACTTTATAGTAAGCTAAAATTCGCGTACCTCTCATTTGGCAACTAATTCCAGAGAATGAATTGATACTAATTATCTTACTCGCGTACACGAATTTGTCGATAAATTTGTGATATGTCATATACAAAAACATACCTGATAATGCTCTCACCGTATCTCTGATTAGCGCTCTGAGTCGAACTCGAAAACTTTTGTGACATATCTGATGTTTTATGCCATAAGGTCTAGATTACCGGATTCCATTATACTTAACCAAGGCCAACACCAATACCTTGACGCTCTTAAAACTAATAAAACTATTAACACATTTAAAATACAATATATAAAATAATACTGTAATTATGAGATTTGTAATATTAGAAACAGACAAGAGTATAATGCGCATGTCTAACTGCAAAAATAATCATAAGGTTGAAAAAAAATTACGATATATAGTGTGGTTTTGTTGTCAGCATACGTGTTTGTTCAATTTTTTTGGCGTCTAAATAGTAATAAACGATTATATACCGATCATGGAAGACTAGTCCTTCTTGGCTGCAGTATTGACTGTGAATTTTTTTTATCATTGGTAGTGTAAATATTTTTCAAAATATGGACGAGTTTCGACACAAAATCCAATATTTTGACGAGATTAAATATATCGGACTGTGATACACAGGCTTCGAACAGTCGTTTCTACATAGAGGACGCCCATAAAAAAATAAAATACTACAAATCACGTCGATGATTCAGAGTTTCTTAATCCCTGTTATGTTTTCAGGAATAGTATTAATAAAAAATAATAGCGGCGAGATCGATTCCTTTTTTATTTTATTTTATTTTAAATATAAATGGACGTAAGTCCTTAACAAATAATTTGCGCGTATAAACGTTAATAATAATACAGTGATGTCATAGAAATGACAAATTACAAGCTGAGATACATTGTACATTTATAAGTTACAAATATATACAAGAGAACGAAAAAGGTAAATAACAACATAGAAAGATCTAAGACGAGATATGCTAAACAAAATCAAAGGTAATTGAATTATCTGCAGCCATTAGGATATTAGGAGGAAAGTTCATCATATAGTTTGTTTTATAGGGGACGGGATAGAATAAATCACTGAATCTTATATTACAGTGGTTTATTTTAAAACGGAGGAGGGAAAGGAACTCTTCACAATCGATATTCCCTAAGAGTATATTATGTAAAAATTTGGATAGTAATAATGTGCGTCTAGTTTTGAGTAGAGAGAGATTGATGAATGATAATATTGAATCATAGGAACGGTGAGGTGGCCTATAAATATTAAAGTTGAAAGAAATGAAACGGAGGAAGTTATTTTGAACTGATTCGATCGCATCAATCTGTTTGGAAGTGTTATTAGTCCAAATTAATGGACAGTATTCTAGGTTTGAGCGAACTAGGGCACAGAATAAAATTGTATAACTGTACAATCTTTTACTTGTTCTACGTTCTCTGTTTTCCACATAAAATAAACAATCTGTAATCTATTAATCCCAATGTTATAAGTCATTTAATGTTCTTCCCTCTTTCTAAAATAAGTAATAACCACAGCAAGATCATGTTGCGAAATCCAGGATTATTTCTCCATCCTTATTCTTCCCGACTAAAACGATACCATCCATGTACTCTTTAATATTCTCTCCTCTCATTACCTACATGCCCATTCATATCTCCACCTATCACCGCATCCTCATTACCAGGTTTGGATCACCTTCCAAACTGCACTTGTGGTGCATAGGCACTTATTATATTCAACACTTTTTCTTCGAATATCTTTTTACGACCATAATTCTGTCACTTTTCCTAGCTACTTCTACTATTTTACTTTTCATCTCCGCATCCATTATTATCTCTACACCATTCTCTGTACTAGACTTACCTGAGTATATTATTTTATAACCCTCACCTTTTTCCCTTGCTTTCTTTCTATTCCTCTTAGTTTCCTGCATACAACAAATATTAACTATTCTCCTCTTCAATACTTCTACTAATTCTCTACTTCTATTAGTTAATGTTCCAACATTCCAAGTACCTATTCTTACTTTGTATCTATTTTTCTTCCTTATACACGAGTCTAGCCTAGAGTTAAGTGGTGATGTCCCTACACCGTTGACACTACAAGCGTTGGGTAGACCTGTACACATGATTAGTGAAACAGCTACCGCACAAGTTGTTCGGATGGTATCAAACACTTTATTCCTTAGGTCTTCTCCGTTTTTAACTACTTTCTGTTGTCCACGCGTAGATCCGAGATAGGACAATCCGCCTAAGTTTTGTTCAGGATTCCTCATTGGTTTTTAACCAAGATTTTTACCCCTGCTGTCAACCTGACACAACCTTATTAGTCGCCTCTTACGACTGGCAGAGGGGCTGTGAAAGTATTATTATTCCCTATTCACAGGGAAATAGGTTATTATTATTCTGTATTATATTTATTTTCGAGTATAAATTTTGATGGCAGAGAAAACAATAACCACGGCCCTCAGTCCCCGACAGACCTTAAATAGTCAGAGGGTGCTAAGAATCTCCGATTCAGCTTTGAAGATTGTAACTTGGAATGTAAGAAGTTTGGTTGAAGATGATAAGTTAGAGAATATCTTGAAATAAATGGTCAGAATGAAAATAAACATTCTAGGAATAAGTGTTACGCAGTGGAGAGAATCAGGTAGTTTTATAACAAGAAATGAGAAACACAATATATATTATTCAAGCAGTAATGAATTAAGGCATCTGTATGGTGTTGCCATCATAGTGGATAAATCTGTGATTGGATTTATACTCATTTCAGAAACGGTTATGATGCTTAATATTGTTTATAATGAATGGATTATTAATCTGTTTCAAGTTTATGCCCCAACAGCAGATAAGTCAGACGGAGAAATAGAAAATTTTTACGCAGACATTAAAACATTTATAGCATCAACAAAGAGACACGATATCACTGTGATTTTGGGAGACTTTAATGCGAAAGTAGGGAACATTGTAGTAGATGGATACACAGGAGCGTTTGGGTTGAGTGACAATAATGAGAGAGGTGACAGGTTCATTGAGTTTTGTCAAAATGGAGAAATGATTGTGTTCAATACAACATTTAAACAGCCCAAGAGGCGTTTGTATACTTGGAAAGCTCCGGCTGATGGTCACAACTATAACATTATGATAAATCAGATTGATTATATCTTGATTAGAAAAATATTTTGTAACGCTGTAAAATGTGTTAAAACATACCCTGGAGCTGATACTTCATCAGACCATAACCCTGTAGTTGTTTGTGTTAAAATTAGATTGAAAAAAGTAAATTGTAAAAAACGTAAGAATATTTTGGATCTAGCAAAGTTAAAAAATGTTGAAGTAAAATTGAAGGAAAATATAAACAAAAAATTACTAGATGTTCAATATGAAAACTTTAATACCAATAGTGTTAACATCAAATGGAAAAATATTTAATCAATCCTACTAAACGAATGTAAAAAAGAGCTAATGCCAGATAGAATAAATAAGAAAGAAAGGATGACAGTAGAAATTTTGAACCTTATGGAGCAAAGGCGTAAATTAAAAAAATATTAGTGTGCAACAGTACAAAAAAATCAACGCAGTAATTAGAAGAGAAATAAGAAAAGCCAAGGAGACATTCAATATAGAAAAATATCGAGAAATTGAAATGCTAGACAAAATTCAAGATAGTTTTAATATACATAAGAAAATTAAAAAAAATGACTGATACTACTAGGAAAAAGAAAGTTGGCATTATAAGGGAAAACGATGGTAGTATAGTAACAGTTACAAAAAGAAAGATTAGAAGATGGATGGAATATGTACAAGAACTCTTTTCCCAAAATATGACAGAACAAGTTAGTGTCAGATTGGATGAAGGATTTAGTATAAAGAAAGAGGAAAAAACTGTTATATTGAAGAGTGTCAAACTAAGGAAAGCAGCAGGCCCTGATGAAGTACCATCTGTATTGTTAAAACTGCTTAATGATGATGGATTAGATATGCTAGTTAATTTATTCAATACAATATATACATCAGGAAGTATTCCGGATGAATGGTTAACCTCAACTTTTATAACATTGCCTAAGAAAAATAATCCCAAAGAATGTTCAGACTATCATACAATAGCTCTAATGAGCCATACTTTAAAATTATTCTTAAAGATCATACACAGAAGGATATGTGTTAAATTGGAAAATGAAATAAGTAAGACGCAATTTGGGTTTAAACAAGGAATGGAGACCAGAGAAACATTATACGGTATAAATACCCTTATACAAAGGTGCTTAGATGTCAAAAGAAATATTTTTGTTTGTTTTATAGATTCTACCAAAACATTCGATAATGTACAACATGTCAAATTAATAAGTATATTAAAGAATAAAAATATTGACAGCAATGATATAAGAATAATTTCAAATCTCTATTGGAACCAGCTGCCAAAGTTAAAATGGAGGATAAGTTCTCAGATGAAATAAAAATAAAACAAGGAATTAGACAAGGTTGTATTTTATCTCCTTTATTATTCAATAATTACAGTGAAGCAATATTTGAAGAAACTATCCTCCATGAACACATTGGTATTAAAGTAAATGGGTAATTTGTCAACAACCTATGATATACTGATGACACAGTTATTTTGGCGGGTACCATAGCTCATCTGCAAAGAAGCATGGACAGCTTCAATGTTACATGCCACAAATATGGACTTGAGATGAATGCTAAAAAAACTAAATTCATGTTAATAGCAAAAGATCAAACAGAGAATCGCAATGATAAAGCAAAATTAATTTTGACACAGCGACATAGTAGAAAGAGTATATTCATACAAGTATCTTGGAACATGGATTAATAGTAACGGGGATAACTCAAAAGAGATCAAATGTCAAATTGAAATTGCTAGATTGACATTCTCTAGATTAAGAATAAGTTTTTCAAACCGAGATCTACCTTTAGGTTTAAGAACTAGGATGTTGAAGTGTTACATATATTCTACTCTGTTGTACAGAATGGACGCTTGGACACTGAAGAATGCAGTTCAAAAATTACAAGCATTTGAGATATGGTGTTTCCGTAGAATTCTTAACAGATCTTAGGTTGATAAAGTTACAAACGCAGAAGTTTTGAGAAGAATAAACAAAGAACCAGAGGTGATGAACAATATAAAATCTAGAAAGCTTCAACATTTTGTACATATGCTGAGGGGTGAGAAATATCAACTCTTACATTTATTAATACAGGGAAAAATTTGCGGTAAGAGGAGAAGGGGAAGACACAGAACAAACTGGCTGCAAAATTTAGGAGAGTGGTTCCAATGCAACACTAAGGAACTATTCAGTACAACCAAGAACAAAGGCCTTATAGCCATGATGATTTCCAACCTTCAATAGAAGAGGAACATTAAAAAGATGAAGAAGATTATTCTGTAAGTAATTGAATAGGTTATAATAAAAAAATAAACCTGTATATGTATGGTCAATGTGCAACATGGTTACTTCATTCATTCAGTCCTTAAACATTCTTATGATTTTGGCGGACATCCAAATTACACTTATTACAAACAGTGTTCTCAGATCTCAGCTGTAGGTTCTCAAGTTGAGATACTCTACTATCCGTTATAGGATAGTTTAGCACAAAAGCTCGCTGGCCGCGTTAACACACAACCAGAGTGGTTGCATTAACCGGTATTACAAATAAGTGAAGCTAATTTTGAAGTAAGGTTAATCTTCCTTCTTGGTAGACGTCGTGATGAGGAGAATGTCTTACAAATGGTTCATGAATGGACGATGACCATTCATAATCTATAAGTAAAAAGTTGAAAAAAAACAAACAATTTTAAAACATAATATAACTAACTATATCAAGCTGTAATGTCAGGTACCAACATAAATACATGGATTATATAAAAAGAATAAATAATAGTTAAAAAATTAATTAATATTGCAGTTGTTCATCACATAAAATTTTTTTTTTTTTTACTATAATCTTAATAAAAATCGAACATAAAAAAAAGTCTCATTTTTCAATCAATAAAATGTAACTCATTCATTTTATAATATTAAACCATAAAATTAACAAGGATATATGGAATCATCAGAATCGATGGGCAATACTACTAATTTAACAACAAAGTGGCGCTACACTTGTTTGGCAATTAAACAATCATTATCAACGGACTTAATTATAATAAACGCCTGATGTTCTTCAAACTGCTCCGTATATTTTTCCACAGTCCCACCCGCGAGACAACACAGGTGTTGTTTTGACATATTTATACATACTTTGACCGACAACGTAAATACATTACGCGCTGCCTGCATTACAGTGTCCCTCACGGCTTGAACAAGCACCAATGCCCGAAATAGCTCCGTCCTACCACTGTGCTTTTATTACGTGACATGGAATACTGTCTTTAGTATAATATAACTCATCGACGTAGGAAGAACGGATAAAAATATAATTTTAAGCAGTGAAAATCAATAAATATTAATTTAATTAAATAGGGTAATAAATAACATGTATTAATACAATTTCCTTTGATTTTTAAATAACTACATTTCATTTATAATTTATTATTTTTAAGTCTCATTGACTGCTTTAATTTACATAGGTTAATTTTGTTTATAAAAGGTGTTCATGGAATCCACTGTTAAAAAAGCTTACCGGTATTTTCATAACATTACCACCGAAATCAAACCCGATGGTATTATTGGAAAAATAGATACATTACATTTTGCTAATCATGTGGAATTAAACAATTATGTAAGATGGGCAAAAAACGAGTTCGAAATTTGGAAAAATAAAGAAACCGATAAAAACCCGTAAAAAATTATATAATTATTTAACATTTAAGTAAAAAAAATATATGGATTAAAAAAAAATAATACTAATTTATGTAGATATTAAATATACGGAGTGATCGAAATCTGGTACTCAGAAACTATTAAGAATTTTTACATTTAGTAAAAAGAAAAAATATGCGGCCATCGTAGTGGCAAAAATATGTTATGATAGCCTATAAATTATTATTCATGATTGTTATCAAGAAAAATTTTCATGTCAGTTATCTAAATGAGAGATAATAATAATACATTGTCACTATCGAAATAGATAATTGCTGTTACCATTATTATAAAATCAAATGTATGATAATTTTGACAAAATGAGCGTCTTACTAGATTTTGATCACTAAGTATAATGGTTCATTATATTAATTGCTATTTTTTGAGATAATATTTTCGATAAATGTAATTGAACGTAGGCTAGTAAATAGGATTTTATTTCGGGGGAACGGGAACGCACATTAAAACTTTTGGGTGATAATATCAGGTTTTAATTCATTCATAAAGTTTCAAAATTATGTCAATTTTGTTATTTTTAGTAAAAGCTAAAAATGATAGAAAGCGACTCCACCCTAACTTTTTCTTAATAATTTTATCGTACAAATTTTATTATAAAAAAAAATTCTAAATTTTAGAATCGCACTTGATCATCGTGAGTTTGTTTATTGTACAACCATGCAGTATGCCTCAAAATCAGATCGGCGATTTTTGATGAACAAATATAAAACAACAGAAAATTTTTTAGAGAGAATGACGATCGTTAAAAGCTTTCCTTGTTCCCAGAACTCATTATTTTTAAATAAGTTGGGTTATGATTTAAGAAATCTTAAAAATTTTATTTTAACAATTAATTTTAATTTTTAATTAAAGAATAATATCATTAGATGAAATTAGAGAGGAAGATTACGATGCCCTTTGGCAGTCTTTTATAAAAAATCCAGTTTTGAGTCCACAAATTTTCCATTATTTAAGAAATAATTGGGAATCGTTGTACAAAGAGTAAGTAATTGAAGGCACTGGTGCAAAAACTAGATATATCCACTTATGTAAATTATTATTAAAGCACAAAAAACAAACTTATTTTAAATCAAAATACAGTAAAGAAATAGATATGTCATTATTTATTCATAGGCGCAAACTAAAAAACCATGGAAGGGTTTAGCTCTTTCAAAATTTCAGGAAAAATACAACTACAATTGAATAAAAAAAATTTAGTGAGGAGATTACAAATAATGATCCTTTCCATAAATTTTATTGTAATTGTACCTATGTATTTGTTGTAACTTCGCAGCAAATCTTTAAACATGGCTGATTTTATGCACCTATATAATAAGTAGTTTATGCTACATGAAATCATTTAAAAAGTGAATTTTCAAGAATAGTAGATATATTAGGTTATTTCACCTGAGCCTTTAATTAAGAAATGTTTAAAAATACAATTAAATTATTTTTGCTATTTTAATATTATATTGAACTAGGTACTCTGACTCTAACAATAATTTGTTAATAATTATGCTGCGTGTAGCCATGTGTGGATTAAATAGTATAACTGACTTGGATAATGTAAATCATTTCATCGAGAAATATTTCGGAGTTAATGTTGAAAATAGAGACTTACAACTTTTAGATGTTATACGTTTCGAACTTGAAATACTTGAGCAAAAAATTGCCTGGCAAGAAAAATACGAAACAGTTTTTTTAAACTGGTTAGCACCAAAATTAGAAAAAATCAAGTCGTATATTGACAACAGTGACCATGATACAGAAGAAGACAAAAAAAAGCCTAAAACGGAACCTAGTAAATTAAATAAAAATATTTCTCAATCGGATTCAAATAACAATATTTAAAACAATATCATAGTAAACAGTATTAAATAATTATCTAACAATACGTAATAAAAATACAGCTTAAATTAAGTTTTTATGAATATTTTCGTGATAGTTTAAATTTAGAGTTATTATAAATAGCTTGAACTATTATAAGATTTAGTTAATATTTTATTTTAATTTAAATGTTGTAAGTTAGATTTTAACAAATAGTTGTTAATATATACGTCATATTGTTCTAATACTACAGAATTTTTTTAATTTTTTTAATCCATTACCAGTGGCGGTGTGATATTTCCATAATAAATATATTTACATACAAGGCCATATTCATTAGTATAGTTTACATTTGGTCTGTGATAGCATCATGAAGCATTCATGGCCACAACAAATGAATTTATAAATCGTTAGGAAAGATGCTGGAGTTAACAAAGTTGGTGGCACTATCCACCAAGATTATTATTTAAATTGATGAAAATGGATGGGAGGATAAGACTATAATCCCACTGACGAAAATTTCAAGCTATGTCCGTGGCCATATTTAATTTTTTGAACCTCGTAAAGCCTGATCATACCGACACTGTAGCGCAGCACAACGGATATATGCTACCTTTTCATTTATAGTAGTTCTTTTTATATAGTCAATCGCCTTAACGATTCGCCCATATACTAATACGCAAATATAGTAAATCGCCTGCAATCTGTTTGTATCTTTGTACATCATGATTTCATTGTATTGCGATTACTCACACCTCACCGGTGTTAATGAATTGTACTGACCGTTTGATGATAAAGTAATCCATACAAGGTCAATTCATCCGTTCAATATTCAAGATAACAGTTGTAATGGTGTCACTTTACCATCATTGTACCAAATCATTATAATAAAACACAGACAGCGCATCCGCTTCTAGAGACTGATGAATTGACGATTGATGGTTATTGCAAAATTGATAATCGTCCGAATTACTATTGAAACCCAAAGGACCTGGCCATCGTGGTCAGTAGATTCCAATGCTTTGTATCATTCATCAGTCTCAGTACTCGGTTGTCGCTTTCCGGTTTACAGTATTAAGTCAAGTCTTTGTTTTTTTTTTTACTTACCTACTTTCGTCTTCTAAATCTCAGAGTACTTGTGTCATGCACTTCGTACTCTGTTGTCATCCTTACCTGGTACGCCTAGTATTTGTGTATTGCACTTCGTGTGCACCTCATACCTAAGTTTCAGCCTTATTCCATTCCTATAACAACGGCCTTTCAACACCCACAACTGATACGGGAGTGACTGCCGAGCACAATAACTGTTGTATGATAACACGTGCGTGAATATCCAGGGAGCAGACTTATCATCTTCGTACCTATACTATTCTATGCTTACTCTTCCAGTAAGCTTTTTTGAGTTACGACACAGTAATTGAGAAGTATTTAATTATTTGTCATTATTTAATTACGTTTATGAACATTATTTTCCCGTATTGATATTTATCAGGATTGAATTCTCAGAAAACCAATGAGATTTTTCTTGTAATTTTCTCAATGGCGGTGTCTAGTGTCTGGTGAAAGCCATACATAATACCCATCCCGTCTATCATTAGGCCAATGATAGTCAAGAACAATTTTTGACTCTTTAACATATGAAAGAGAGCCACCATTCTCTGTAACAAGATAAATTAAGGAAATATAAGTATAAATTTATTACTTATGTTTAATATTATTTAAAATTAAAACTATTTTAAAAGTACTATTGACTTAAAATTAAAAAATAAAAAAAATTTTAACTCAAAAAGCCACAAAAAAATAATTAAAAAATGGACGATAATTATTTTAGGAACAATGTTACTATTATTAATACTGAACACATACCTATTTTATTTAATTCTGAATGTTGTTAATGCCAAAATGATTAAATATCCATAAACTTAATTTTTACATACAAATACTATAAAAACATCCATTTGGTTAAAATATAAAAGGAAACTTTATTAAATAATAACAAAAATCTTTTAATAGTTGGGGTTGAGTCAGTTAAATCATTTTGAATTCTGAAAATAAGTATTCATATAAATAATTGCAATACAACATATGAATGTAATACAAGTTTAAGTTCATATAAACTAAAATACTTAATGAATTATGAACTTAAAGATCTATTTCATATTGTTACAATAATAACCAATTGAAACATGATTAAAAAAAGTTTAAACAGATTCAACTAATGATGGTTTTCAAGATTTTTTGTTTGTTTTTATTTGAGTTTTAGTCTGTACAAAATATGGAATTAGTATTCCGTTTCTGTAAATATCCTTTTTTTGTCGACGATCTTAAGATGTTTATGGTAGTTAACACATTAGAAGATTGTTATAAGTTGTAACATTTTATTATCCGTGTCAATAAGTGATGTAAAGATAACCATTTATTAATAAACATCAATAAATGTGATTAGATATAATTCACTTGACTTAAAACCCTGTTTTGTATAATTATTCTATTGATAATCATTACCTTAACTCGGTCTCTTCCATTAAAGATTTGGGTATCATTTTGTCCGCTAATTTCTCTTTCTCTAAACATATTTCATTTATCTACCGTAAAGCAATGCCTATGTTAGGATTCATCAGGCATCAATGCTATGATTTCAAAAATATTGATTGTCTAAAAACATTATATTGTTCCATGGTACGTTCAAATTTAGAGTATGGAACAATAATATGGAATCCTTATCAACTTAATCACGTTAAACTTCTAGATGATGTACAATCTTACTTCATGAGATATTTTATTAATAACTTATATTATAAGTTATTAATGAATCGTTCCATTAAGTATCTTGCAATGAAGTTAGGTCTACACTCACTCTCCTTTAACGCAAATTTAATGATGCATTTTTTATCAAAAAGCCATTTTTCCCCAAATTCGGGTGGTCCTTTACAGTGGTTATGTACGATTTCTGAACATCTCTATTGCTGACACTGGAACACTGGAACTCTCAACCAAGATACACAAATTAAATGTGCGTGAGTGTATGTTTCGTTCTTGATTACAATTCTATATAAATCTGCACTATTATTATGCTCTTTCGTAATTACTGGGATTTAAAAGAAATATTATACATCTTATTTTCGGTCGAATACTTTTGGTGATATAAATATTCTAACACATATAAAACATTGGTATTTATTTATTTTTTTTAATCTACATATATATATATAAATATACTAAAAAAATACATGACTGGATTGCAATGTGTTCTATTACTTATTGAAGGGCCACAACCTAGCTGTACAGAGTACTAGCACAATAACATCATAGTTAATACTCCAACTAATTATAAGCGTTCTCCAATGTATCTCTCCATTTATTGACTAGCCAGTCTGATCTCTGTCACAGTGCGGGCCATCGGAGTGTAGGACACTAACATAACATATTGTGCATAAATCTATAGTACAGTCACATCTAACCTAGGTCATCCTACAGGTGATTGAAAAGAAGTAGGCCACATATCATAAGGCTCTTTGCATAAAGATAAAGATATTATTTGAGATCTCACGTTGGTATAACCAGCTACGAAATAAAAATAAATCAGAGTCAAAATATTATACTAATCACCTAAACAACCAAAAAGTGTCTCTCCACTTATCGACTAGCCAGTCTGTTCTCTGCCACAGTGCGGGCAATCGGAGTGTAAAACACTAGTATAATCTATTGTACAAAGAACCAAAATTGAGCTCGTATCTACCCTAGATCACTCTTTGGACGACTGAAAAGACGTAGGCCACTTGGAAATAGTTTGTTGCACAGGACAATTATGTTGTTTAGAATTTCTTTATTTGTTTTATAAATTATTAAATAACAAATACATTAGTGTAAAACACCACACACAAGTTTAAAAACTATACCACATAAATATAAAAAAGGGTTTTACATAAAAAAACAGTGTTACAATAAACTTAGGTTTCACCTTGGGTAGATTTGATATAGAATTGTACTAGAAAAGTAGTTACACGCGAGTTAATAATAACATAAACCGTATAAAATTAAATGCGTATACTAATGCATATACGTATATATCAATAATTGTTATATCAACTACATCATTCATCTCAAGAGAATATATGTCTTATCAGGATAGTCTGAGGTAAGTGAAAACATTTATTTATATAATAAGTCTATAATAAATCCTTTACTGAAGAACTTTTAGTAATAAACAATTAGAACAAGATAAGTCATTGAGAATAAACTAAAATACTTTTATAAAGAAATACGATACTTGTGACTTGCCAGAAATTCGTGTACGCGTTTCATTGCAGAAGCTAGGTAGTGACCCTTCTTTGCAATTCCATCTTATTCATATATTAGACGTCTTCACGTAAGCATACATACCCCGAGATCCCTTTCTATTTCATTTTATTGTAGTCACTGCCCGGTATCTATAGCCACTTTTACTTTCCATTGCTTTATTGTAATAATTTTATATTATTTGATCACTGTATACATTACAACCTCGTGGTTTGCTTTGTTGTCTTATTAGTATTGAACATTTGAATTTTTATTCTTAATTTTAATAAGATCAATTAAAATTCAATTATTTAATAAAACATTTATCTTTTATCTATGATAATCCATTTATTGTATAGCTTTATTTCATCGCATACGTAACGTTAGGTACGTGATGTTCTTTTCTTTCATCAAATATGCCATGTTTCATGACAGTAGCGTTTTTGGCACATATTATTCACTGAGTCGACAAAATATTAAAATTTTATGGACGCACACATATATACCAATTACTATTAAAAAACGTACTGAATTCTTTGCCTCCTTTCTTATCTTTTGAGCGGGAAGACAAGAGTTGATTTGCCTAATCTAAGCAATTCGTTTTTGTTGTTATTGTTATTTCATCACCGAAATGGAGTTTTTAATAACTGAACAATAGGATTATTTATTGGATTCATTGTTCTATTTTTAATTACCTAACTTAAAAAATAAATACACCCTCTTTCCTTTAACTCACGTCCTCGAATACACGTAGTTGTACAAAACGTCTTTGATGCAAGTTAAAAATTGCTTCACCTCCAAAACCACCACTGTTTAATTACTATTAAATTTTTTTATTAAACTGCATGATTGAACTTTCTAACCTCTAAACTCTGCTAGCAAATTTAAGTTTTCCCCACTTTTTTGTTCTTTTATATTGATCGGTTATCAAATACAAATCATTTTTTAGCACAAGATGATTCCTGGAAAAGAAAGAATCGCCAAATATAGACAAAAACTACAAGAGGACGCAGAAAAATAAAAGCTCACAGAGAGAGAGAGCGTGAACGCATGAAAATTAAAAGAGCTTTAGATAAAAATGACCAAACCAGGATGATGGCAATACGTGAAGCAAGTCAGTAGAGAACAAAAAAATATCGGGATAAGAAAAAACAAAAGCAAGAAATTTATTTAAATTTAATTGGTTCTTTTCGCAATCCACGATATTTAAAGCGAGCAGTCAATAAGGAAAAAAAGACACTTCCGGATAGCCCGAGAAAAAAAGAGCTGTTTTAAGTCGTCTTGTAATCGAAAATTGTAGGAAAGAGTTAAATTTAGTTCAAAAGAAGAAAAAAAAAGGAAAATCATTGTTAGCAGAAAGTTGAGAAAAAGTGATTAATTTTTATTGTAGGGATGATATTTCTTGGCAAGCTCCAGGCATGAGAGACTACGTTTCAGTTCAGGACCCTGATACTTGAAAACGTAAAAAAATTCAAAAACTATTTCTTCTGATGAGTGTGGCAGAAGCAAAAAGTATTTTTAACGAGGGAAATCAAGAAAACATAAGAGTTTAGACAAATTTGATAAAAATCGTCCTAAACACGTTCTACCTTTTGCCGATATACCCCATTCAGTATGCGTTTGCAGCATTCATGCAAATATTAATTATATTTCAAAAGATTTATCACCATTCCTCGATGATAGTATTAATTCTTATAATGACATTTAAAAAAAAGCAACTGCGATGTAAAGAATGAACGATGTATGACCAACAAGTGCGAGAAGTGCAAAAATTTTAACGTGAACTACCTCCTCAAACTGTGTTATAGGAAAAAAGGTGACCAAAAAATAAAGTGAAGAAATGGGGTACAGTTGATAAGTGTACGCAAGTAGTTACTGTTTTTGAAACACTAAATGATACAGTAAATAAATTCAATAAAGACCTCAAGTTTTTTAAGTGCCACTCATTTGTGAAAGTTACTCAAGCTCAACATTTTGAAGATACAAAAGGTTCATTAAAATCGGGTTATGTTTTAACCCAAGTTGATTATGCTGAAAATACTTTATTAGTACCCCGAGATGAAATTCAAAAATCTTACTGGAACGATAAACAAGTTACTGTTTTTACGGGCGTTCTTTGGACTACTGGCAGGGTAGATTCGTATGTTGTTGTAAGTGATGATTTGAGCCACTCAAAACATTCATTTGGGTTTTTTTAAAAGCTATAATTGCTCATTTCAAGCAAGGATATATTTTAGATCATATTTTTATGTGTTCAGACAATTTTTCTACTCAGTTTAAAAGCAAATATACTACAGCTAATATTTGTTACTTAGGCAAAGACTTTGGATTCAAAACTGTTTCTTGGGATACATTTGCACCAGGACATGGCAAAGGTTCTGTCGATATAATAGGAGGGTCAATTAAGCGTGCGGTATGGCTTGCTGTTAAATCGAGGAGAGTTCAAGTTAACTCAGCTCAGGATTTTTACGAGTGCGCTAGAAATGAAGCTAAAAAGATACATGTGTTATATGTGTCTTCTTCTGATGTTAAGGAAACTACTCCTTTACTTGATGACAGATGGAAGGATGCCCAGGAAATCAAGGGACTGCAAAGCTTTCATTTTGAAAAGTTTGACAAAACCAAAGTTTCTAACGTAACGTACGTAACGTGAGTTAGTTTATTAATAATGGAATCATTCAAAAATATCATATAAACTTCTGATCAGAGCAATAGCTTTTTGAATAGTCAATGACATTTCGCATATTTATTGCAGTTAAAAACTTCTATTATCATTAAAATTCCTATGAAAAATTTAATGCATCACGTACGTAACAGAAATAATTGCTGATATTCAGTGTTAAATTTTTGTCTTGGTGATTATTGTACCACATGACACGGCCCGCGTCGCTTCGGTATACACGGAGGCGACCTTTATCAGCCGTCGCCCTACTATGAGTATTTGACTGACCAACACCGCGTGTTATACGCTACGGTGCAAAGTCCAGCAAATGCCGCACGCCCGACGACGACCCGCCGCAATTGGTGCGGGAGTGTTCTTCCCGTTGTGAAAGCGACAACGTCGACCATCCGATCCGCACCCGCGCACCTTCGCCTACAACGCTACTACCTGTTGCCGTCCAAGGATTACGCCGGACATCGCGTCGTCGACGCCAGCGAAAGTGCCGCGATATTATGCGAAGATTATTATTACTGTGTTTATCTTTTCGGTTTGTTTTATTTTGATTAAAATAATGTGTTGTCGCTCATTTAATAAACGGCCCACGGGTCTCTACCCTCAAAACCAGTGTCGACCACTTTTTTGCGACGTAAGTCGTGTCACACATCCTTTCAAGGCGCTAGCGCCAGGACACAATGGGCCACCACAATGCCACCTTGATAAAATTTTTACATAAATAAAAATATTTCTGAATCTTATTTTGGCCAAGCCAGAGGAAGATTTAAAAATTATTGGTGTCGATCTTTCAATAAAATACTCCTCTCAAAAAAATTATTTATTCAACAAAGGCAAAAAAATTAATAAGAACAAATAATAAAATTATATCTTTAATAAAAATATACTCTAGTACGAGGACGGGGCGCATATATGTTGTACAAGTCATTTTCGTAACACCGCCCGAGACTGATCGCCGATACACTGCGTTTTAACCAACTTATATTGTGTTACTTAATAATACCGTCCATATTAAATATTTAGTTTTTTACTCTTATGTGTGAAAAACTTAAACACATAGCTATCAGAAGTAGATCAATTGTTTCTCTTTTTTTTGTGATTAATTTTCTGACAACAATATACGACTTTGTTCGTAAAAAGCTGTATTAACCTATATTTTTGTGTTTTATCACGCTAATCGTGACATATGTACCAATTATAAATGTTGTCCTACCACTACCACGTATAGAGACAAACAATTGTTCTATACTATCGATGGGGATAGAAATAACTTCTGAAAATAAACGCTTATTAACACATATTGCAAACCCGCCTCTTCACAAATAACTCGTTTTGTAGTTTCGGTCAACATGATAAACATTAAATCTTTGAAGCAAAACTCATTAATCTAAAATTGAATCATTAAGCCATGATTCAAATAGAATAATATAGTCAATCTTATATAATGACATGTTACATTTTAAAGTATTTAATATAAACGTACGCCACGAATATTTTGGTAATAACCCGTTAACACATATTTATTATTTATAATTTTTTCCTTACAATCTAAACAAGTTGAATTGTGACTAGAAAAATATTTTGGGAGTCTATTTAGTGTTTTTGTACAATTAAGTATATCGTTATTATATTTATTATACTGTTAAGAATCCCTGTTTATTATATTGTAATTGCGTAGAGTATAGAATACATGACCGTCCAACTGTGATCAAAGACTGTAATTTTCTTTAAAGAAAGATTTTTTGACCATGTATTCTTAATAAAAAGTAGTTAGTTTATCATCTGATAAGAGAAGGTAATGGACTTTAAGACTTTAATTACTATGATGATTTTTCGCTAACAGAGTTGCTTGTAAATGAATATTGAACTACTGATGGCTTGCAATATTCACTACTGTTTTATTACTAATCTAATTCATACACCATTTCTCATTATTATAAATAAAACAAGAAAGTAAAAATAATACATGCATATAAAATTTAATTTAATGTTTATGCATTGTACATTAAATATTTGAAAACAAATTTATCTTTTAAAATTTATAATAATTAAAAAAATTAAATACAAATTTGATAATAAATATTTGAAAAATAAATTGTATACAATAGACTATTAAAATTACTAAGGAAATTCAATTAAATAAAATTTTTACTTAATTAAAAAATTTTAATGTTCAATTATTAATGTATTATATGTATATGATGATAAAAATCAATAAAAATTCATAGTTAAAAAAATTAAATAAATCATTAATATACAGTTTTCCATACATTTTTTCGAATGTTAAAACTACAATATAAAATATTTGGAATTAATGGTATATTAAATTAATTATCACAGTAGTGCCATTATATTAAAAAAAAAATTATAAATAAAATATTAATAAAGATAATTTAACCATATAAATTAACATAAAAAAAGTACTTTATAATCAAATTATTTTTTTAAATTTCAAATTTATTGCATTTAATGATATTATTTTATTTGTCTTTTAAGAAATATATATGGCACACTATTCATGTTTGTTAAGAATCACTATTTATATTTTTTTTGCTGTCTTTAAGAGTGGAAGACATTCTTTGGTAGTGTGGTTTCCATGTTCCATTAGGTCGCTGATAATCTAGGTGATCATATTCTTGTTCTAAAAACAAAATAAGATATACCTACATAGTTATCTATTTAAAAATATAGAAATTCTTTAAAAATTACTCTTAAGAACTAATGTCATTTTAAAATCGTTCACTTTTCACTATTATAATTAATTGAAAAATAAAAATATTAATAATATATTCGCCGTAGTATTGAATATGCACGTATTGTTTAATAAATATTGTATACTAAAAATTATATCATTTATTACAGAAAAGTAATATGTGTATCAACATATTTAACTAGGTTAGGCTGCATGCAACAGAGAGCTCGTAATGTTGTTTTTCGTCAACAATGGACTTGTAAGAAAATAAAACTACTCAACTAAACCAAATTAAAGGTATTGGCTTTATTACATAAGGAAAATGAATCATTGAGAGAAATGATAGTAGAGTTCCAAGCTAGCATTAAATAGTTGAGAACTCAACAAGTTAATCAGGATATAAACATCATATATGATATTAGTAAAAATGAAATTATAATTAATCAGGCTGTAGTACAGATGATTCATTTAGTCTACCAAAAAAATGGACAAATGAAATAAAAACGAATATTTTTATGAAAACCAATAAGTTGTGAAAACTGTTAGTCATTCGGACATACTCAAAAAAATCTATTTGTGTAAAATATGGTAAAAAACATAAAACAGAATATTGGTCAAAATCAAAATGTGCCAATTGTAGAAAAAGCCACACTGAAATTTTGGAATTCAGTCGATAAGAGAGCAGAAGAAAGAACCCATCCAAAAAAACTTATCAGGCAGAAATCAATAAAAAAACTGTAACATAGGAGTTTCATATGCACATATAACGACTTATTGCAATAAAAATAATATGTTCAAAAAAACAACAAATACAGTCAGCTAAAAATGATAACTCCATTTTAATGGAAATTTTATCAGCTCTTAAAAATATAACAAAATCCTTAACAAATCTGAAGTAAACTTAGTATTATTAATTATCTTAAATCTTCTAGACTTCTTTGCTATTAAAGATATCTTTTTTAATTATGTTAAAGCTGATGAGCTGATAGATTTATCATCTGACTACATTTCTTTGTTTCCAATAATTTTGGAATATCATAATAATAAAGACAGAATATTTTACTAACAAATAAACAGAAAGACTGGGACAATTAAAAAAAAAAGAAATTAGTTTTGTTTCACACAATTTTCAAAAAGTTACTATAGTGTTAAGTAAAAAAGTTTAATAATGTCGATAATTAATTTTAATTAAATTTGTATTTTTTGGGGCATTACTTTCATTTATGGGAATGAGGGATTAATTATTTATTTATAATTTATTTTATTAACTGTTTGTTTTAAATAAAAATATCTTTTTAACTAGGGTAAACATTAAAAAATTGATTTTATTTTTATTAATATTGTAAACAAGAACGAATTTTTTAAAAATATTTTTTTTTATATAAAATTAATTTAGTAATTTTATCAGGTGGGATAAATCACGAGCCAAGCGAGTGGCTTTATGAAATAATAGGCTGGTTAAAAGTTTGCTCCTATCTAATATAATCTGAAATGACGCCTAATAACTGTTTAATATAATTGAAAATACACAATTGAAAAAAAAATTTATTGACATTAAGTTAATAAATATTTGGTCATAATAATGATGACTTTTTTTGTAATCTTAAAATCATACATAATTAATTTCATTATTATTAATACATATTTTTATTTTTTATTAATTAATTAAAAATAGAGCTGAAATTTTCATGCAATGATTTAATTTTATAAACTTATCAATTTGTTGATACGGTGTATTTCATTTTTAATTTTTTGGTGGGGAGGGGGGGTGCTAAGCCTACACCACGGTTTTTGTGCTGAATTTGTTAATAATTAAATAATAAATAATTTTCGTATAAAAGATATATTCGTATTTCTAAATTTTTGTCAATTATAATGTAGTATTCGTAAATATTCTAATTTCGGCAAATCGATAAAATATAGTAAAATTTTAAATTTTGCTTGAAAACTAATGAGTTAAAAAAAAGGGGGTAAGGACTAAACTTATAGTTCACAACATTGTCAACAATTTATATTCTATAATTTTTTTTCTATGATCGCTCATTTCCGAATTAAGTACAAAACACTAGAAAACTACCCCTATTGTCCAATTTTCAACCCCGCATAGGCACGAGTTAAACTTGGCTGATTGACGTGAAATTCTTTAAGGTTCGTTTTTACATGTATATAAACAAATTTGGGTGGTGAGACCAAGGAATTTCTAAAAGAAAATTTTCATAATCTATAACTAAGGACCATTTTATAATATTTATAAATATATATATATATATTATTAGTTTCAACCATAAAATAACAATAATTTATAAAAAAAGTAGCAATTTACTAAACTTTAAAATAACAGGGGTCACATGTCAAACTTAACGAATCAGAAGTGCCATATTAAAGATATATTGAATCTTTGGCTACACTGTAGTGCAAGCCGTACCATAGGTGTAGGAATATATTCAATACATAAATTGTTAGTTGGGTGCTCATTTATTTAAATCTATGTTCATATAAACATGGTGTATAATAAAAATCGATCACAAGTGGCTAATATTATTTAAAATTAAAAATATTAATATAAAACTAATAATATTTAATATATTTTAGTTTTAAACTAATATGTTTTATATAAATGTTAATCTAAAATAAATATGTTGATTTACTTATCATGCACTACATAATTAAAAAAAAAATAAAATAAAATAAATGAAATTTTTAATAGTTTCTTTTAAGATTATGTTTTTCTCAACTAATAACATAAAGTTCTTTTAAAGTTCATTTCTTAATCCCTTATACTTATGAAGGGTGTCGACTTTATTTTTTAAATGCAACATACATAATTAACAAGTTTATTTAATAGTTAATGATCTAATTAAGAGAATGACTGGTCGATAACTTTTGGAGTAATATTTCAGAAGTAGTTAACATTTTTATACCTTAGCAGTAGAAAGAGTGAAGCTAAGAAATGTCTAAGTTTTATATTGATTACTTAATTTTTACAACTAAGACCACTAACACTATTGAAAAATGTATACAAAAATAAATTAATTTTAATAAAATAAAAAGGTAATTTTTAAAATTTTTAATTATTTACATACCAATGTTAAATTGAAGATACACTTTTACTTTTGTCTGGTATTTATAAAATATTTGTATGCAATTAGATAAATATAGAAATTATATTTAAGTAAAATAATTAATTTGTTAGTTAAATAATTATATTTTAACATCATACCTGCAGCCGCTAATTTTTTATCATCTATCTCATCATACAAATTTTCAGACTTCAAATCCTCCAGACTATTGTAAATATTTGGATTATTAAGATCAGCTTCTCTGTTTTTGGAAATAGAAGTACTACTTGATGGTAATACAAAACTACCACTGTCATCATTTACCAAAGAGCAGCTAGCTTGTATTAAATTATTTGGTTTAACTTGGAGATTATTTATAATCTGAAAATTATTTAAAGATTGATGTTCATCCGCTGTACTAGATGACGAGTTAGCAGTACCAAAGGAATAAACAGGGTTGTCAAAGTGGAGTCTATCTGTAAAAGAAATGTTTTTTTAATAATAATAATAATATAAACATTCTATTTAGAAGATTGATTAATTAAAATAATAGATAATATTGAAGAATGGCGTATTGAATATCTAAATGAGTTCATTATGAAGAAGATTGATGGAGAAGAATTTTATGATAATGATTAATAAAAAGATGGTTTTAAAAATACATCTTGGCTTATAATTATTGGTGTATTATTTACATATAATTAATAATTATATGTAAATAATACATATTCTATAAAAAAAATGTTTGAATTTTCAAATACACGTATTAGAAGTTTTTAATAATAATGAATGTACTACTGTTGGATACTATAAAAATAATGTAAACACATTAAAATTTGTTAAAATTTAAATGAACAGCGAAAAAATCATTAATATATAATAGGAATAGAATAGGAGCTATATGTGATCCTAATAAAATTGCAGTTGTAATTTTAAAAGACATGGAAACATAATTGTATTTAATAAATTGAACATTATTAGTGTAACAAGAAATATCGTCACACATAGGGACGTCATTTTTTTCGCGACATTGATGTGTACATTTATTAAATTTTTATTTTTAAACCATAGATTCTAAAAATATCGAAAACTTGAAATAAAATCGATTATCTTATTACATAATAAAACAAGGAAAAAACAGATTTTCTGGAAAAATTACATAGCGTGCTCGGATTTTCAATTTTTTTTTTCAACTAAGTACTCGGTCACGAAACTCCGGGAAAATTAATGGCGAAGGTCGGAAAATGTTTGCTGCTAGCCCGCAAGCATTTTAAAATTTCACAAGAACCGTCCAATGACATTTCTTAGATATCATACAAAAATCAATTCAATCCGTTCATTTTTCACTGTTTTACAACCTTTTTTTTTTTTAAAGTTCACGCACACGGTGTTTATTTGGGCATTGACTCATTTCTGTTGTGCATGTTTATTGTAACCCTTAATTTGTAAAATAAGAATTATTATGACAATTTAATTTTCTATTCAATTCATTATTAATATATGCTATGGCTATCATATATGAATTGATTGTGGTTGTTATAACTATCCTTTTTTATGATATTATGTTTGTTATTTTTATGTATTAGGGTTTAGTTTATTTAACATACTTTTATTAAGATACTTTCTGTTGATTTATTTAATCATGTTTATAGTTATACAAATCTTTTGTTTGAACTTATGCTTTATAATTAGCTTACTGTTCAATTGTACTTTTTTCGCTTTGAACTTTTTTTTATCTACGCAGAGTATATATTATGATATTATTTTGCCTTTGCACATACCACTATATTCTGTATATTTTATCAGGGAATGATATGTGTTACGTATAAATTTTAGGAAGGTTATAAGTATATAAGTTTGTACTTTTACTATCAGAATAGTACAGTATTAATAATCTTATTTATCTCATATATGATGTAAAAGTCTATGAGTTTATCGTAAAAATTGGTATCCATCTAAGACAACTATGCAGTCCAACATAAAATACAGTAACCAATATTTTTATAAAAATTAAATTTTTTATATAGTCCCAAGTCATATAACCTGCCGAATATTTTTGTTATTACTCTATAATATAAATACAATTATTATAATTAGAATATTAATGATTATTATGTATACTAGGTTCGTATTTAAGGAGGATGTGGGCAATTGCCCACATTGAACCAGCGCTATCAATATTTTTTTAAGCACCTTCTAAAATAAAATTTGATAATCACTTCAACTTTTAACAAAAAAAAAGTTCTATAGCAAGTTTAACAAAGTAAAAAAAATTAAATACCTTCCTAAAATAATTTCTGAGTACGCCCAAGGGTAATATCTTATTAACAAATGTCAACCTTATACCCAATACAATTTACTATATTCTCTTTTTAAATTTTCCTTATTTTAATAATTAAATTTTTAATATATTTTTTTTACACGTATCTTCTAATGTAACATTTTTCCTGTAAAACACTTATCGTGTCCAGCGTAGCTGGGTACTCCTACCAAAATCAGTGTACTTCTTATGAGGATAGGCCAAAGAGGCCAACCTGTCAAAAACGCGTGAGGCTCGTAGGGCCCCAGGTCTCAGGCGCAGCCCCAGCGAAGCAAAATCTAGTCAACTATTAATAAAAAAAAATGTATTTTTAACGTAGTCCAAATCTATAAAAATGATTTTAAAAAAATTTAGCATAGTGATATAGTGTAGAAGTGGCATAATTACAACATGTATAGATGATATCTGACAGTGATTAAAATCACAATTATAAGAAACAACGCTTTGGTACAAATCTGTATAGTTTTTGAAAAATTAGTGGATTATTTTAAAAGCAAAATTAATAATAAAAAAATCACAATTAAAACAAATTTAACGCTAGATATTTTTTTAAGATATGTTTAAAATCAAAAACAATTTAATTAAGTAAAAAATTAGGCGGTTTGTCCCTTTATTTACGGTAATTGTACAATGTATTTCCAGGATTATAATATAGGCAATTAAAGCTAAATCAAATTTTCAAAGTTGTTTTTCTTAATTTAGAAAGTAAACGTAAATAGTTGGGATTAAGATGTGGAAAAAGAAGATTTTTTCACTTTATATATTTAAAAATAGAAAAATTTATCTATTGTGATTTTTTATTAAAGAACTTTTAAAATATGTATTTATAGTAACTATACTTTGAAATATTATTATGTTATATTGAATTTTTTATATAGGCATTTAAATAAATCATATAATTTAATCAATTGGTTATCGACTTAACTTTTGAATAACAACGTTTTAATAAAAAATTGTTATTTGTAAATATTTGATACACCAATTAAACAAATGAAGTTCGAAATCCTATCCATTTATACTTATTTAATCGAAAATTGTATAGTTAAGTTCTTATTTGTTTTTTAGTTTCCATCTGAATTAAAAGGCTTCGCTTCCCTCTTGCATTAAAATCATACACATGTATTTTATTTATTTTAGTTCATGCTTGAGCAATAATTTTAAATAAACTATTAGACATATAATAAAAATAATTGTTGGAATATGGAACAAATTTAATCACCAATAGAACTAAATTATTATGAATAAAATAGAATTAATTTATGAATGTGTTAAAGCTTTCATGGATTGTCTTGTTACTTGAAGTGCTTAGTGTGCAATTGTAGTTGAGTCCGAAACGTCAGAACTCAACTACAAACATGGTTAAATCCTTAAGCACTTCAAGTAGAATTAATTTGTTATGAATTTTGATTAGATTAAAGAAAAATTCTAGATATTGATTAAAATGTCATGATAATTCAAATTTCATTTATATTTTATGTCCTTTATGAAAAAATGTTTTATGAGTTAGAGTGGACAAGGAAACCTATACTGTTCAGCACAATAAAATCAAATCTTATTACCTACACATAGAAGGAAGATGCCTTCCCAACTAGTCTATTTACTTTGTATGACTAAACACCAAAAAAATATGAGGTCATTCATTGAACCCTTTATTAGACTAAACTTCTTTTAAACAAAAACTTTCATTGGTCCCGATTTCTTTATAGATTAAAATTTACCTCTATAAAATGAAAAAAGTGTGGTTTGCAGCGTTTTCATTGAAAGGAGGTTTCATGGTATATATTACCTATGGAAATTAATTAAAATGAGAGGGTGTTATTGCATAGTAAATGGTTATTTATGGCAATAAAAATATTTATATATAAATTTAACTATACATATCATAGAATTGACAAGATATCCATTGCCCAGTACTTAATAACACTAATTGTAGTTAAATCAAACGACATTCAGTTTTCTTATTGTATAGATTATATTGTAATTAAATTTTTAGGTATTTGTAAAATTATAAATATTTTATATTAATTGTTATTTGTTAATATTTGATATTCAGTTTTTATAATAAAGGTGTAATCTAAATCAAATAAGCATGGTATTGAAATAAAATGATTTTATTACCAGTATTCATACTATGTGGATCTGCTCCATACTGTACATGTGCAATAACAGTCTTAAGTGTTGCAACTCTCTTACGATAATAGAGGAATATTATTATAATTACACCTAATAATAGGATTGCGACAAAAATTCCAGCAAATGTTCCTGATGAACTTTTTTCTGCATCATTTGAACCAATTATACGATTAGCTAATGATTCATCACAATTTTCACCTATAATAATATAAATTAGTGATTTTCATTTTTAGTAACAATATAAAGCAAAAAAAAATTATTTTTGTTATAAATAAAGTTTTTTTCTGTAATTATAAAATTTATTATTACATCAATACCTCACAATTATAATGTTTACCTGTATATCCTTGTCTGCACACACATCCATCAACTGTATGGCAAATGAACATATCATTAGGACAACTACAAATTTTCATGCAATAGTCACCATAATACTGATCAGGACAAACTAAGACAAATTGTGATAGTAAGTTTATAAAGCTTGTTAAAAATAACTAATAAATAATTAAAAGTCACCTTCTGAGCATGATGGTCCAGTAAATCCAGGTTTACAATGACAAGCACCATCAATTGCTCTACATGTAGCTCCATTTTGACACTTACATTTGAGACCACAATTTATACCATAGGTTCCATCTGGACAAACAGATGAACAGTTGGAACCTCTCCATCCGGGATAACAATGACAAACTCCTACACACATATGAAAAAATATACATTGATTTGGCTAAATCAAATAAATGAAATATTACATAATTTACTAATCAATTAATATAAAAAATATTGTGGACATCAATAAAAATTAAACAATATTTATTTAAAGAATAAATAAAAATTTAGAATTTACCGGTTACATGATGACAGTCACCAAATTCACAATTACATAATTTTGAGCAATCTTGTCCATAAGTTTTAGAGGGACATGCATGTTGGCACATTGGTCCTATATATCCAGGTCGACATTTAAATTCACCAGTTACATGATCACAAGCTTGATTTTCTTAGTAAAAATTGCAATAAAGGTCAATTTTAGATTGATAATACTCATTAAAAAATATTTTTAAGTTTAATAAAAAGCTAAGAAGAAATATCTTTTTTTTAAATTTTTAAGTCCTTAAAAGGAGTTACACAATTATATACATAAATTAGAAAGTAAGATACAAGCAAATGTCTTACTACCAGAATTGTATTGGTTGAACATTTTTATTTGTAATCTTAAAGAATAAACAATCTCTGTCATTGATTAAATATTTTGTTTTATATAGTCATCTGAACAGAGATGCAGGGTCTACTTATCTGAGTATATTGTAGATATAAAAGGAACAAATAGGACCATTTACATAATTGTGATAATTTACATAAAATATAAAATTTGTTTTCATATTTAATTTATTGACTATTTATTTTACTGTAAATTTATCGAGCACTATGAAATAATGACGTAAAATTTTTTTATTTTAAATTACCTCCAGAATTTTTTTCAGGACATTCTTCTTTACACCCATATCCATAAAATCCAATTTTACAAGGTAAATCACATTTTGGTCCTTCCCAACCACGAGAGCATGTACAAAATCCATTGTTTTGATCGCATGAACTATCATTCTGACATTCACATTCATTTTGGCAATCTTCACCAAAGAGACCACGAGGGCAAAGTGTTTCACATTTTACTCCTGAAAAAAATATTAATACAAAAAGGTTTGTATTTGATATTTATTAGTAGAATATTTCTGGTTCCTTAGAGATCCAAAATCGAAAAAGGTGGCGAAATTCATATAATCTAAATTACATCTAATAATATTGTCAAATAGGTTAAAATATATGTTTTTGAGGTCACTAAATTTCAATATCAATTATATCACTAAAACAGAATAAAACTTTGGATATCAATATTTAAATTTGAGCCCTTATTAAGAGAGGTCAAAAGAGGTATTTTTAAAAAATTTAATCAATTTTTCAAATGACATAGATTTATACTATTCAAAATCACAGAATTCAAATTTTTTATAAATCTTTTTAATGGGTGGATGTTTTTTTTTAAATCAAGCCTATTTTTTAAGTGATACATCAATTCATATTTTTATTAATTTAAAGTGCATAACATTAGCTTTATTTTAACCCATGTTTGAAGCTCAGAGTATTTACGGAACATTTTCAAAACTTAAGTTGAAAAAGTTAAATTTTTGTACAGAAGTTGCTATTTTGAATCCCCCCTGTGGACAGGTAAAAGGTCAGATTTTCAAAAAATTTATATTAGATAGAAGAGAAATATCTTTGGCTTAAATATATAAAAAAAAATGTCGAAATGTATCTAAAACTCTAATCATTAAAAATTCTGAAAATGTATTTGTCACTATTTTCTTAAAATAGTTTCCTTCTATCACTGTGTCTGAAGTTTTTGATTTGTTATTTAATTAAAATCTTGATACTAATTAAGGATCTGATAATGTCCCTAAGATAGTTTATGCATTTTGTTTTTCACTAACTTGTTCTATTCATTACCTATTTGATTTAACTTTCGATTTGTTTCATTTACGATAGAAATTAAGTTTTAATTACCCGATTTTTAAATCTGGTAATAGAATCAACATCTTTATTTATCAGCCCATTTCAAAAATAAGTGTATTACATAAGCATTAGAAAAATCATATTAAAACTAAAATTTTTATTTTATTTAAGAATGTTCTGGATAATAAACAACATGGATTTAAATTATCAAAATTACCTATTTTATCTAGATTTATTTTACCTATGTGAAAGACAATAGCAAATAAAAATTGGTAACTCATTATCATCAATAATTAATGTTATATCTGGTATTCTAAAGAGTGGTCATTAGGAAGGATATCCCAAATGGTGATTTTTCTTAAGACTACTAAAGGTCGCACTGTATACATAAATACCAAGAAGAGTTTACTAACTGACTTTAATTGCATCTATAAGAAGAAAAGAGCAGCAAAATTTCATTCAAAGAAAAAATGTTGGAAGATTAATCCTTTTATAAATGCGATTAAAATCAGTTAATAAACTCTTTTTGGTAATTTTGTATACTGTGCGACCAGCAGTAGTCTTAAGAAAAACCGCCATTTGGGATATCCTTCTTCCTAATCTGACAAATTTTTTCTTTTATTTTTTTAAAAACTTTTATATTAAAATTATAAATAAAATACTAAATCTTGTATTATTAATTAATATGTTATAATTGGACTAATAATAAATTAATTTAATTTCCTAGTAAATAATTGAGATAACATCATTAATGCTCTTACAACTTATAACTAATTTGTGTTAATTTCTCTTGAAAGTTTTGGCAGAGCGAAAATCTTAGTACATTTGCAGGTGTAAACACTAGTGATAGAAGCTTTTAATATCACAAGTTATAAAAATGTATAAAATAAATTTAAGTTATAGATAAACTCTAGTTAAAAAATAAATTAAAAAATCTATTTATTATTGAACATTTAATACTATAATAAAAATATAAACTTAAATTAAAAACAATAATACCTTTCCAGCCTTCTTTGCATTTACAATCACCAGTTACTGGATCACAGGAATCTGTTTCTTCACTGCAGTCACATTCTTGTTTACAATCTCTACCATAAGTTCCAGCTTTGCATTTAAATTCACAGTTTTTCCCATAGAAACCAGGTTGGCATGTACAAGTACCTTATTATTCAAAAATATTAGTAAGCAATTACAAAATAACTATTTTTTTTTTTTTTAGAATATTAATTTAGATAAAAATTGATTTAGATATATGGTCGGTTTATGTGAGAAGGTTGGTTAAATCAAATTGTTATTTTAAGGTATTAATCAACTTTATTAGAAAATGTTCACTGTACCTATTAGTCATTATAATCTTGTTTTAATAGGTAATTAGTTTTTTTAAATAATTTTGATTTGAATTTAAAAAATCATATTTTTGACTTGACCATTTTTTCACAAAATCACATAAATTAAGAATAAAAATAAAAACACATTAAATATCAAAGGATTATTAACTTATACTCATATGTAAACAAATTTTTTCCTCAAAAATTAAAATAAAATATATAGAGTGGACACAAATCTAACTGACAACTTTAATAACTTTCATATAATACAAATTACACTATTTTGATTCTGATTTTTTATTTTACATTTTTTTAATTCTTAAACTATGTTCAAGGCATATATTTTATTTTTAATAGTATTAAAAAAATTTTTTTAAGTTTATCAGATTTTAAAATTACTCATAATATACTAATTGAGTTATAAAAAATTTAATAAATAATTGGTATGTAGCACAGGTGGATTATGCGTTATAAATATACAATAGTACTAACTGTATACACCCACATGTAATTTAAGAATGCAAAATTTTTTTTAAAAATTATAGTAAAATTTTAATTGTAATAAAATTTATAAGAGTTGTCTATTCCAATCTGTACAATTATTGTATGTTAATTTTTTTTTCATCGTACATTAAAAGAAAAGCATGAATATTTAAAAATTATTGTTAGTTAAAAAAGGATTAAACTTTAAAAAAAAACACAATATGTTACTTGGAAAACTTAATTACTATTATTTATTATATAATATGTATCACTATTTTTATTTTATTTTTTAAATGGTTTCTCATAATAAATATTAAACATAAAGTTTAATGCTACATGTATATCATATAATACATTATCATCTTAAAAATAATGTATGTTTTTAATTACCAATTGAATATAACTATACATAATTATGTTACAATTAATTTCAGATCCTTAAAACATTTTTAGTATTTATAAGATATACATTGTTTCTATGAATTCCCAATAAAAAATTTAATAAAATTAGATGATTAGGTATAATTTTAATAAAGTAATTTAAAAAATCTGCAAAATTAACTTAAAATTTTCATTAAATATTTATTTATTCTTTAACTTTTTTATGAATTAAACTAAGTTTCAGAATTAAAGAACACATATTGATATTTAAAATAGAAAGGGGTAATTCAGATAGCAGACAATCCTAAATTAGATTTAGATATAAATATAATAAAAAATTAGTTATAGTTCTAAAAATAATTACCATCAAATGGATTACAAGCAGCATCATTTTTACATTGACATTCATGTTTGCAGTTTTCACCGAAATAAGATTTTTCACATGGTAAATTACATTGTTGCCCTCTCCATCCAATAGGACATATACACATACCTGATTCCGGTGAACATTTTGCATTGTTATTACACTTACATTCATTAGAACAATTTTCGCCATAAGTACCTTCAGGGCATGTAATATTACATGTAACACCTCTGTATCCTAAATGAAAAAACTGTTACTTTAGACAAGTTTAAATACCTTTAATAAAACTTTAAAAAATTGGACAAATAACATTATGATTATTTAATCATTTTCATTTATATTATTCTGGTTGATATTGCATCATTATACTGTCTTTTAATACAAAGAATAAATAATAGTTATCTATACATATTTAATATTTTTAATATAATTAAAACTTAAAATAAATTTGAAGCAAAAACTTTAAATTTTAATTTCTGACCTATAATTTACTTTTGTATAAGAGCAAACTTTAGGATTAGATAGAATAAGTGCATCACCAAAAAAAAGTTTATCTTTGATTCATTATATTCTAAATTTTTGATAGTGCATATAGTGTTAATAAAGTGTCAACTCCTATAAAAATAGTTAAATGACTAAATGAAAAGTTTTTAGTAATTTTTTTATGAATTTTAATAATTTCACAACATAATATTTTTGGGGCATTATTATATAATATTTTTAATAATTTAAAACAAATTTTTTGACAGTTAAATTAGAATTGACTTCCATTTATTCTAGGGAGTGAAGATAATCTTATCCCCTAAAAACATTTTTAGTTCCGATGGATACAAATTAGAGAATTATTAAATTCTTCACTGATATTAAAAAACCACTTAAACAAATTTTTGCTGATGCATAGAAATACACCGAATACAAAACACACGAGACGCCTGCTAAGTAAATATTAGGACATTCAACAAGAATAATTTTGATTTTTTAAATAATATTGATTATTCTATAATCGAGTGATTATTCTATAATCGAGTGATTATTTCTAATGATTTCTTGATCTTGAAATGTATATAATCGAATAAAAGTTATTTCGAATGATGTCCATGAAACGATGAAACGAGAGAATACTATTTTTAAGTTTTTATTTAGCATAAATTATAGTCGAATTATTGTTAAATTGTTGACTTCGAGTCTTCTTATTTTCAACTCGTTCAATCGCTACTCATGGCAACACCTTATCTGTCACATTTTTGGGAAGTATGTGACGATTAGAACAAAGTTTTGTCCTGAACTGTCTAAACTACCGAGTTCTGATTCTCTCACTAGTTGTGAATTTATGAAAAATCAATTAGGTGTGGAATTAGGTGTTTTAATTATGATGGTCAAGCAGGCTATTGCTACCTCATCTTAAGTTTTTATTTTTAAATTTGTTATCGGTTTTTTTAAAATATAGGTAATAATTATTAAATAAAAAATATAACAACTTGTCTTTTATTTAAAGCGCTTATTAATAATGCATTATTAATATATTATTGTTATTATTATTCCTAAATTATAGTTTAATATATTAATTATAAATAAACACCAACAAATAAAAAAAGCAAAATTAAATTAATAATTATTTACTATAGGTATATTTATTCATATTTCGAATAATTTTTCGATTCTCTCGATAAATAATAATAGTTGATTATTCTTATCATACGAGCAGACGATTTTAACTTCGAGTGATTTTTCGAGAGATTCACTCGATTATGAAAATGTCTCGATTACTAATCATTCGATTAT